TGAGGGGTACCCAGAGCTCTTCAGGGTCACCCACACGCGCCCCATCTACCAGAGAGCCATCGAGGTGGGCACACCTGGGGCACCTGGGCACACCTGGGGCACCTGGGCACACCTGGGGGCTGGACACAGGTGGACACACCTGAGGGGCTGGGGACACATGGGGGGCTGGGGACACTGAGGTGGAGACAGGTGGGCACTGGGAGACACAGGTGGCACAGCTGGGCACAGGTGTCCCAGGTGTAACAGCTGGGCAAAGCTGGGCACAGGTGTCCCAGGTGGGCACAGGTGGGCATAGTTGTCACAGGTGGGCACAGGTGTCCCGGGTGGGCACAGCTGTCACAGCTGGGCACAGGTGTCACTGCCATGCCGTGCCCAGGTGGGCACAGGTGTCCCAGGTGTGCCCAGGTGTCCCAGGTGGGCACAGGTGTCCCGGGTGGGCACAGCTGTCACAGCTGGGCACAGGTGTCACTGCCATGCCGTGCCCAGGTGGGCACAGGTGTCCCAGGTGTGCCCAGGTGTCCCAGGTGGGCATGGGTGTCAGCGCTGCGCCGTGCTCAGGTGTGCACAGGTGTCCCGGGTGGGCACAGGTGGACACAGGTGTCCCAGGTGGGCACAGGTGGGCACAGGTGTCCCGGGTGGGCACAGGTGTCCCAGGTGTGCCCAGGTGTGACCCCTGCCCCGTGCCCAGGTGCTGGGTGACGACGCGGCGCGGGAGCTGTGCCTGCGCTTCGCTGACATGGAGTGCAAACTGGGCGAGGTGGATCGGGCCCGCGCCATCTACACCTACTGCTCCCAGATCTGCGACCCGCGGGTGAGGGGGGCACTGGGATGGTACTGGGAGGGACTGGGGGGCACTGGGGGGCACTGGGGGCACCCCCTGCTCCCAGATCTGCGACCCGCGGGTGAGCGGAAACTGGGATGGTACTGGGAGGGACTGGGGGGCACTGGAAGGGACTGGGGGCACCCCCTGCTCCCAGATCTGCGACCCGCGGGTGAGCGGGGCGGGCATGGGGGGCACGGGGGGCACTGGGGGGCACTGGGAGCAACTGGGGGGCACTGGGGCACCCCCTGCTCCCAGATCTGCGACCTGCGGGTGAGCGGGGCAGGAACGGGGGGCACTGGGGGGGACTGGGGGCACTGGGGGCACTGGGAGGGACTGGGATGGTACTGGGGGCACCCCCTGCTCGCAGATCTGCGACCTGCGGGTGAGCGGGCACCGGGGGGGACTGGGATGTACTGGGAGAACTGGGGGGCACTGGGGGCACCCCCTGCTCGCAGATCTGCAACCCGCGAGTGAGGTGGCACCAGGCCAGGAGTGTCCCCAGGCTGTCCCTGAGCCTGTGTCCCCCTGTCCCTGACACATCCCCATGTCCCTGTCCCTGTCCCAGGCAGCCTCTGGCAGACGTGGAAGGAGTCTGAGATGTGACACTGTCCCATGTCCCTGACACGTCCCCCTGTCCCTGACACTGTCCCGTGTCCCTGAGGATGTCCCCATGTCCCTGACATGTCCCCATGTCCCATCCCAGATCAGGGGCAGCTTCTGGCAGACGTGGAAGGAGTTTGAGATGTGACACTGTCCCATGTCCCTGACATGTCCCCATGTCCCTGACATGTCCCCATGTCCCTGTCCTGTCCCAGATCACGGGCAGCTTCTGGCAGACATGGAAGGAGTTTGAGATGTGACACTGTCCCCGTGTCCCTGACATGTCCCCATGTCCCTGACATGTCCCCATGTCCCTGACATGTCCCCATGTCCCTGTTGCAGATCACGGGCAGCTTCTGGCAGACGTGGAAGGAGTTTGAGATCCGCCACGGGAACGAGGACACCATCCGGGAGATGCTGCGCATCAAGCGCAGCGTTCAGGCCACCTACAACACTCAGGTCAACTTCATGGCCTCCCAAATGCTCAAAGTGTCCGGCAGCGCCACCGGCACCGGTACGGCACGGGGGGCATGGGGGGTACAGGGGGCACCGGTACAGCACGGGGGTATGGGGGTATGGGGGGCACAGGTGAGGCGGGTGAGTGGCACAGGTGAGGGGGCACAGGTACAGCACAGGTGAGGGGCACAGGTGAGGGCACAGGTACAGCACAGGTGAGGGGCACAGGTGAGGGGGGTGAGGGGCACAGGTGAGGGCACAGGTGAGGGCACAGGTGAGGGGGCACAGGTGAGGGGCACAGGTGAGGGGCACAGGTGAGGGCACAGGTGAGGGCACAGGTGAGGGGGCACAGGTGAGGGGCACAGGTGAGGGGCACAGGTGAGGGCACAGGTGAGGGGGCACAGATGAGAGGGGAGGAGTGGGAAACAGTGGCAGGGGGAGGGCACATAAGGGGGGGAGGAGGGGGAACACCTGGGTGGGGCTGGGGGTGCCCTGGGGGGCCCCTGGGGGTCCCAGGGGTGCCACGGGGGCAGATCCATGGGGGTCCTGGAGATGCTGGGGTCCATGGGGGTCCATGGGGGGGTCCAAGGGTTCCATGGGAGGAATCCATGGGGGTCCTGGAGATGTGGGGGTGCCTGGGGTGCTATGGGGGTCCCTGGGGGGTGTCCCTGGGGGTCCCGGGGGTGCTATGGGGGTCCTGGATCCATGGGGGTCCTGGGGGTGCTGTGGGGGGTCCCAGGGGTCCCAGGGGGTCCATGGTGGGGTCCATGGTGGGGTCCTTGGGGGTATCCATGGAGGTCCTGGAGATGTTGGGGTCCTGGAGGTGCTATGGGGGGTCCCCGGGGTGCTATGGGGGGGTCCCCAGGGGTCCATGGGGGTAATCCATGGGGGTCCTGGAGATGTTGGGGTCCCGGGGGTGCTATGTGGAGTCCCGGGGGTGCTATGGGGGTGCTATGGGGGGTTCCTTTGGGGTCCTGGGGTGCTATGGGGGGTCCCCGGGGGTCCCTGGGGATGTCCCCGGGGGTCCCGGGGGGTCCCTGGTGTGCTATGGGGTGTTCCCTGGGGATGTCCCCAGGGGTCCCTGGGGTGCCATGGGGGGTCTCTGGGGGTCCCGGGGGTGCTATGGGGGGGTCCCGGGGGTGCTATGGGGGCTCCCTGGGGATGTCCCCGTGGGTCCCTGGGCACTGACCGCCCCTCGGGGGCAGTGTCGGACCTGGCCCCGGGGCAGAGCGGCCTGGACGAGATGAAGCTGCTGGAGCAGCGCGCGGAGGCGCTGGCGGCCGAGGCCCAGCGGGACACGCCCCGCCCCGCCCAGCAGGTGCTGTTCGTCAGGTGAGGGACACGGACACGGACACGGACACGGACACGGACACGGGACATGGGACAGGGACACGGGACAGGGACACGGACACGGGACACGGGACACGCCCACGGGACACGGACACACCCAGTGCCACACCCACCAAACCCTGCCATGCCCACCTAACCCTGCCACACCCAACTCTGCCACGCCCACCCAACTGTGCCACACCCATGCCCAGTGCCACGCCCACCCGACCCTGCCACGCCCACTGCCACACCCACTGCCTCCCCAGAGCTCCCCTGTGGGTGCTGATTTTGGGGTCTCAGTGCGGATTTTGGGTCTCTGGGTGCAGATTTTGGGTCTCTGGGTGCAGATTTTGGGGTCCTCCCGGGTTCCAATGGATTTTGGGGTCCCAGTGCTGAGTTGGGGGTCCCAGTGCTGAGTTGGGGGTCTGCCCTGCCCATGGATTTTGAGGAGCCCTGGTGCAAATTTGGGGTCCCCTGTGACGATTTTGGAGTCCCTGGTGCTGATTTTGGGTTTCTGGGCGCCGATTCTGGGGTCCCCCCAGTTCCAATGGATTTTGGGGTCCTGATGCCGATTTTGGGGTGCCCCGTGGTTCTGACGAATCCGGAGACTCTGGGTGCTGATTTTGGGGTCCCCCCGGGGTTGTGATGGATTTTGGGGCTCTGGGTGCCAGTTTTGGGGTCCCCCCAGGTTGTGATGGATTTTGGGGGTTCTGGGTGCCGATTTTGGGGTGCCCCGGGGTTGTGATGGATTTTGGGGTGCCAATACCGATTTTGGGGTGCCCCGGGGTTGTGATGGATCTGGGGCCTGTGGGTGCTGGTTTTGGGGTGCCCCCGGGGTTATGATGGATTTTGGGGTGCTGATGCCGATTTTGGGGTGCCCCTGGGTTGTGATGGATTTTGGGGTGCCCCGAGGTTGTGATGGATTTTGGGGGCTCTGGGTGCCGGTTTTGGGGTGCCCCGGGGTTGTGATGGATTTTGGGGTGTCCCCCGATGTTGTGATGGATTTTGGGGTCTCTGGGTGCCGGTTTTGGGGTCCCCCCGGTGCTGATGTGGGGTTGGGGCAGGGCCGAGGCCCCCGTGGGGGCTGAGCCCCCCCTGTCCCTGCAGGGGAACCCCGAGGAGATCGAGCTGGATGAGGAGGGGGAGGAGCCCGACGGTACCGGGGGAGGGGCTGGGGGGGAGGGGCTGGGGAGGGGGAGGGGCAGGGGCACGGGGGAGGGGGAGGGGGGGAGGGGCACGGGGGGAGGGGGAGGGGCCCAATGGTACCAAGGGGGGAGGGGCAGGAGGGGAAGGGGCACGGGGGGAGGGGCTGGGGGAGGAGCCCGACGATATCGGGGGAGGGGCACGGGGGGAGGGGGAGGGGCACCGGGGAGGGGCACAGGAGGAGGGGGAGGGGCCCAATGGTACCAAGGGGGGAGGGGCAGAAGGAGGGAGGGGCAGCAGGATTTTGGGGGAGGGGTCACTGGGACTGGGGGGGGTCCTGGGCAAGGCCCTGGTGGGGGATGGGTGAGCGCCCCTCCCCCACCCTGACCCTCCCCTCCCCTCCCCCCCCCCCCCAGAGGTGCAGCTGGAGCAGCGGCAGGTCCCCTCCTCCGTGTTCGGGGGGCTCAAGGACGACTGAGACCCCCGGGGGCGCCCCTCCCCCACCCCCACCCCCCAATAAAAACCCCCTTTGGACACGGCCTGGCTGCTCTCCTTTCGGGGTCCCCTCCCTTCCCCCCACCAAGTTTTGGGGTCCCCTCCCTGTTTTTGGGGTCCCCTCCCCATCCCCGAGTGACAGAGAGACCCTGGGGGTGGGGGAGGGGCAGGGCTGCCCCCCCATTTCAGCTTTTATTGCCCCGGGGGGGTTTTGGGGGGCCCGGGGAGGTTTTGGGGGTCCCCGGGGGTCCCGAGGGTGTCCAGGAGCCGCTGGGCGAAGGCTTGTTCCATCTGGGGGGAGGGGAAAGGGGGGAGACCCCTGAGAGACCCCCCAACATCCCCCAGGAGCCCCCAACTGCCCCTGGGGACCACCCAAGCACCCCCAGGGCCCCCCAAAATACCCAAGGACCCCCCAAGATCCCTTAAGTACCCCCAGCATCCCCCAGGGACCCCCCAACCACCTCTGGGGACCCCCCAACATCCCCCATGACCTCCCCAGGACCCCTTAGGGACCCAAAACCCCCCAGAGACCCCCCAATCCCCCTCAGGGACCCCCAAAACCCCCCAGGGACCCCCTCAAAACTCCTCAGGGCCCCCCAAAACCCCCCAAGGACCCCCTCAAAACCCCTTTAGGGACCCAACATCCCACAAGAGCCCCCCAGGACCCCAAATCAGCCTCAGGGATCCCCCTAGGACCCCGTAGGGACCCCCAAAACCCCCCAGGAGCCCCCCAAGGGCCCCCCAAAACCCCTTAGGGACCCCCAAAATACCCCAGGAGCCCCCCCAAGGGCCCCCCGAACCCCCAAAACCCCCCATGACCTTCCCAAAACCCCTTAGGGACCCCTTAAGGACCCCCAAAATACCCCAGGACCTCCCCGAGGACCCTGTAGGGACCCCCCAACATCCCCAGGGACCCCCCGAGGACACCCAGAAGCCCCCCAGGACCCCCCCAAAACCCACCAGGAGCCCTTTGGGACCCCCGGGCCGCCCCTCGCCCACCTCCAGCAGCAGCCCCTCCCCGCCGGGGCTCTCCCCCGGGTCCCGCAGCTCCAGCGTCACCCGGTGCGGGGGGCGGGGCCCGAGCCCGGCCCGGTGCCGCTCCAGCTCTGGGGGGGGAGGGGCGCTGGGGGCGGGGCGGGGCCGGGCCCCTCCCCCACCCGGAAATGGGCCCGAGCCCCGGTCCCTCCCCTCCCCCACCCGGAAAGGGCCCAACCCCCCGGGTCCCCTCCCCCACCCCGAAAAAGGCCCGAGCCCCGCGTCCCCTCCCCCACCCCGCGTTTCGGTGTCCCTCCTCCCCCACCGGAAGTCCCCTCCCCCATCCCGGAAGTCCCCTCCCCCATCCCGGAAGCGCCCCTCACCCTCCCGGAAGTCCCCTCCCCCATCCCGGAAGTCCCCTCACCCTCCCGGAAGCGGAGAGCTTCGAAGGGCTGCAGCAGCTCCCCGTGGCAGAGCGGCCCGTGCGGGGCGTGGGGGGCGCGGAGGGCACCGGGGCCGGGCCCGGGGCCGGGGCGGAGGCGCAGGAAGAGGCCGCGGGGGGCGCTGCTGAGCAGCAGCTCCGGGCCCGACCCCCGCGGCAGCCGCAGCCGCGGCAATGGCGGCGGCGGTGACAGCGCCCCCTGGCGGCCGGGAGGATCGGGCAGCGCCCCCTGGCGGCCCGGAGGACTCAGCAGGTCCTGCCCCGCGGGCAGCGCCCCCCGGCGGCCCGGAGGATCGGGCAGCGCCCCCTGGCGGCCGGGAGGACTCAGCAGGTAATCCCCCGCGGGCAGCGCCCCCTGCCAGGCCACGAACGGGCCCCGGCGCAGCCGCAGCAGCAGCGCCGCGTCCCCTGCGGGAAAAGGGGCGGGGTCAGTGCGGGGGGGCGGGGCTAAGTTTTGGGGGAGGAGCCATGACTGGGTGTGGCCATGGCCACGCTGTGATTGGCCGGGCTCGGCTCCTCCCCTTTGGGGCGTGGCTTACCGCACGCCGGGGGGAGGGGCTCGGCGCTCTCCACCTCGATCCGCAGCGGCGCTTCCGGGGGCGGAGCCTCGGCTGAAGGGGCGGGGTCAGGCGGCGGCCACGCCCCTCTGCCCCGCCCCCAGGGCCGCCCCAGTCCCGGGATTGTCCCGGAGTGTCCCCAGCGCCCCCCCCCCCCCGCTCTCACCGGGCTTCTCGTCCTCCTCCGGGGCTCCCTCCTGGCTCTCGGGGGGCGGGGTCGGTGGGAGGGGCTCCGTGGGGCTCAGCCCCTCCTCCCGCTGGCTCTGCCGCCCCTTGGGGGGTTTGGGCTCTGTGGGGGGGGTGGCACCGGGTTGGTCAATTGGGCTCTGACCCCGGAGCCCCTCCCCCTTCCCTTCCCTGACCCCGTTTGGCCCCTCCCTCGCTGCTCCTCCCTTTGGGTTCCCCCATCTCGGGGTGACCTCAAGACCCTCCCCCACCCGCGCCCCTCCTGATTTGGGGGTTCCCCCTCTGCCCGGCCCCACCACGGTTCCCCCACCCCATTTCTGGTGTGTCCCCCCAAATTCCTTCCTCTCACCCCATTCCCATTGTTTCCCCCCGTATTTAGTCCCTATTTCCTATGTGACCCCCCCCCGCCCCATACTCTGTACCCATTTCCATGTGCGCCCCCATATTCCGTCCCCCCCCACCCCATTTCCCGTGTGCCCCCAGTCTCCATCCCCCCCTGGCTGTGCCCGCAGTTCCCGGTGCCCGGCCCGGTCCCCTCCCGGTTCCCGGAGCTCACCGCGGGCGGGCAGCACCCGGTACACGCGGTAGGGGCAGGGCCCGTCGGAGCGGCCGCGGCCCGGCAGCGCCTGGAACTCGGGGCTGCGGGCCAGGGCGCAGCGCAGCCGCGTCTTCCACCCCGCGGGGTCCGGGGGGTCCCCGGGCCGCAGCCGCCCCTTGTACTCCGCCCAGGCCTGCCGACACGCCCCTCTCATTAGCATAGCGCCGCCACACCCACTCGCACTTTGTATTGCTCGGCCACGCCCCCTGCTCAAAGCCCCACCCCAAAGGTTTCCTTGCCCCGCCCCCTCTTGGCCCCGCCCCTCTTGGCCCCGCCCCCTCCTAAAGCTCCACCCCTCCGCTCTTCAGGCCCAACCCCCTCAAACATATCCCTCAAAATTCCCGGCTCCGCCCCCTCTTTGGCCCCTCCCCCATTCTCAGCCCCGCCCCTTCAGACCCTCCTCTCGAGCAGGCCCCGCCCATTATCGCGCAGAGCCCCGCCCCTCCCATGGCCCTGCCCTTGGTCCCACCTATCACCGTTCAGAGCCGTCCTTGGCCCCGCCCCTGACCCTGCAGGCCACGCCCCCGGCACGTCCCTAGCTCCGCCCCTTCCCGAGACCACGCCTCTCCCTAAGGTCCCACCCCATGGCAAGCCCCGCCCCTCCTTCAGGCCCCGCCCCTCACCCTGCAGAGCCCCGCCCCTCCCAGGCCCCGCCCCTGACCCTGCACAGCCCCGCCCCTCCCTCAGGCCCCGCCCCTCACCCTGCAGAGCCCCGCCCCTCCCGCAGGCCCCGCCCCCTCAGGCCCCGCCCCCCTTAGGCCCCGCCCCTCACCCGGCACAGCGCCGTTCCCGGTCCGTCGCGGGCCCCGCTGCGGCCGCCGTGGGCCCAGGGGATCCTCAGCGCCGTCCGGGCCGCGTCGTCCCACTGCAGCCCCGGGTAGCGGCCGCTCTGCAGCTGCGCCAGCAGCCACGGCCGCAGCCGCCGCGGGCCGCCCTCCGCCATGCCCGGGGCTCCGGGGCTCGCTGGGGGCTCGCCGGGGGCTCCGGGGCTCGCCGGGCGCTCCGGGTCTCGCCGGGGGTTCCGAGGCTCGCTGGGGGCTCCGGGGCTCGCCGGGTGCTCCGGGGGTCGCCGGGCGCTCCGGGGGTCGCCGGGCGCTCCGGGGGTCACCGGCGGCTCCGGGGGTCGCTATGGGCTCCGGGGGTCTGGGGGTTCCGGGGGCTCCGGGGGTCGCCGGTCCCGCGGGGCCCGCGGGGCGATCCCAGACTCGCGGCGCCGCTTCCGGGATTGACGTCACCGCGGCGGCCACGTGATCTCCCCCACCAATCAACGGGCGGCCGCGCGGCACCGCCCCCGTGCGTGAAGGGGCGTGGTTATAGAGCACAGCAGCGCGGATATTTGCATAAAGGGGCGTGGTTATAGAGCACAGGACGGCCTCTCTATTTGCATAAAGGGGCGTGGCCATTCTTGCAAGCTCCGCCCCCTCCCCCTTTTCCCGCCCCCCCCCGGGCAGAGCCGAAGTTTTGGGGTCCCCCTGGAGCCCCAGGAGGTCCCCCCAGAAAGGCCCTGCTCCCAGACTGGGGGACACACCCACATTGAGGGTCACACCCACATTTGGGGTCTCACCCACATTTGGGGTCTCACTGACATTTGGGGTCACACCCACATTCGGGGTCACACCCACATTTGGGGTCTCACCCACATTTGGGGTCTCACCCACATTCGGGGTCACACCCACATTTGGGGTCTCACCCACATTGGGGGTCACAGAAGTTTGGGGTCTCACACAGCTTTGGGGTCTCACACAGCTTTGGGGTCTCACACAGCTTTATTGCCCATCCCTCATGTGGGGGGTCAGGGGGTCTGGGGGTGATTCTGGGGGGGGGTCTCACCTGACCCCCGCCCCTCCCCCACCCCCCGTGCCCCCCCCCTGCGCCCCCCCGGCGTCGGGGGCTCCGGACATCATGAGGAAGAGGACGATGGGGATGATGTACATCCACTGTGGGGAGAGGACGGGGTCACCCCAAAATACACCCCAAATCACCCCCAAATCCACCCCAAAATCACCCCCAAATCCACCCCAAATCCACCCCAAATCCACCCCAAATCACCCCCAAAATACACTCCAAATCACCCCCAAATCCACCCCAAAATCCATCCCAAATCACCCCCAAATCCACCCCGAAATACACCCCAAATTACCCCCAAATCCACCCCAAAATCCACCCCAAATCACCCCCAAACCCACCCCAAAATCCACCCCAAATCCACCCCAAAATACACCCCAAATCACCCCCAAATCCACCCCAAAATACACCCCAAATCACCCCCAAAATATCCATCCCAAATCACCCCCAAATCCACCCCAAAATCCATCCCAAATCACCCCCAAATACACCCCAAAATACACCCCAAATCACCCCCAAATACACCCCAAAATCCATCCCAAATCAACCCCAAAATCCATCCCAAATCACCCCAAAATCCACCCCAAATCACCCCCAAAATCCATCCCAAATCCACCCCAAAATCCATCCCAAATCAACCCCAAAATCCATCCCAAATCACCCCCAAATCCACCCCAAAATCCACCCCAAAATCCACCCCAAATCACCCCCAAATCACCCCAAAATCCATCCCAAGTCACCCTAAAAGCCATCCAAAATCAGCCCCAAATCACCCCAAAATCCACTCCCAAATGGGGCTGGGTCACCCCAAAATCCCAATCCTGGGGGGTGCAGGGACACTTTGGGTGTTCAGGAGGGGTTTGGGATGGGGGCTGTCACATGATTTTGGGTGTCACCGGTGGTTTTTGAGGTGTCCCAGATGATTTTCGGCGTGTCCCAGGGTTTTTTTTGGGGTGTCCCAGTTAATTTTTGGGGTGTCCCAGCAATTTTTGGTGTGTCCCAGATGATTTTTGGCCTGTCCCAGCTGTTTTTCAGTTGTCCCAGATGATTTTTGGGCTGTCCCGGTTGATTTTTGGGCTGTCCCAGATGATTTTTAGGGTGTCCCAGTTAATTTTTGGGGTGTCCCAGTTCATTTTTGGGGTGTCCCAGTTAATTTTTGGGGTGTCCCAGGGGGTTTTGGGGTGTCCCTCACGTATTTGGCGAAGAAGGATTTCTGCTCCTGCGGGTTCCGGGCGCGCTGGGCCTGCTCCTGCTCCAGGTGCCGGATGAAGGCGGCGGTCTCGGGGCTGGGGACATTGGGGACATTGGGGACATCGGGGACATTGGGGACATTGGGGACATTGGGGACAGCCAGGGGACATTGGGGACATTGGGGACATTGGGGACAGCCAGGGGACATTGGGGACATTGGGGGAGTTGGGGACACTGGGGACATTGAGGACACTGGGGAGAGGACACAGTGTCCCCAGTGTCCCCATGTCCCCCAGTGTCCCCATGTCCCTGTCACTCACGTGGCAGCAGAGCATGGCACAAGGCCACCGAGGCTTGGGGACACTGAGGTCAGTGTCCCCCACGTCCCCACCATGTCCCAGTGTCATTCAGGAGCTGGCGACTCCCAGCTCAATGTCCTCCACTGTCCCCCCCTGTCCTCGTGTCCCCTGGAGTTGTCCCCCCATGTCCCCCTGTCCCCACATCCCCGTCCCCTGTCCCCTTGTCCCCATATCCCCATGTCCCCTGGCCCTGTCCCCCCATGTCCCCTGTGTCCCCCTGTCCCCCCATGTCCCAGTGCCACTGTCCCTGTCCCTTGTCCCTCTCCCCATGTCTGTTATGCCTGTCCCCATGTCCCCATGTCCCCATGTCCCTCCCACATCCCCCTGTCCCTGTGTCCCTGCTGTGTCCCCATGTCCCCCCCATGTCCCCATGTCCCAGTGCCACTGTCAATGTCCCCGTGTCCCCGTGTCCCTGTCCCTTGTCCCTCTCCCCATGTCTGTTATCCCTGTCCCATGTCCCCATGTCTCCCCCATACCCCCCTGTCCCTGCTGTGTCCCCATGTCCCCCCCACGTCCCCATGTCCCCCATGTCCCCATATCCTGTCCCCTGTCCCTGTCCCTTGTCCCTCTCCCCGTGTCTGTTATCCCTGTCCCCATGTCCCCCCCATATCCCCCTGTCCCTGTGTCCCTGCTGTGTCCCCATGTCCCCTCCATGTCCCAGTGCCACTGTCCCTGTCCCCGTGTCCCCATGTCCCCGTGTCCCCATATCATCGCCATGATCCCCTGTCCCCGTTTCCACATCCCCATGTCACCCCCATGTCCCCATGTCCCCCGTGTCCCCCTGTCCCCCCCCCATGTCCCCATATCCCCATGTCCCCTGTTCTTGTCCCTGGTCCCTCTCCCCATGTCTGTTATCCCTGTCCCCATGTCCCCCCCATGTCCCCTCCATGTCCCCGTGTCCCCGTGTCCCCATGTCCCCGTGTCCCCGTGTCCCCTTGTCCCCCCCATATCCCCCTGTCCCTGTGTCCCTGCTGTGTCCCCATGTCCCCCCCATGTCCCCACGTCCCAGTGCCACTGTCCGTGTCCCCGTGTCCCCGTGTCCCCCTGTCCCCCTGTCCCCCCCATGTCCCCATGTCCCCACTGTCCCCATGTCCCTGTCCCTCACGTGGCGGCGGGCAGGGGCTGTCGCAGTGCCACCGAGGTGTTGAAGAGCTCCAGGTGCCCGTCGGGCACGGCGCTGCCCCGGCAGGTGCCCGGCGCTGCCACCACCCCCAGGGCCACCACGTGCCCGGCCACGTCCAGGTGCAGTGACAGCTGGTCCGACAGGTGAGACTCCAGCAGGGCACACTGCTCGGGGACAGGGACATGTCAGGGGACAGCGGGGACACTGCTCGGGGACACGGGGACATGGGACATGTCAGGGGACAGCGGGGACACGGGGACACTTCAGGGGACAGCAGGGCACACTGCTCGGGGACACGGGGACAGGGACACGTCAGGGGACAGCGGGGACACTGCTCGGGGACACGGGGACATGGGGACACGTCAGGGGACAGCAGGGCACACTGCTTGGGGACATGGGGACAGGGGGACATGTGAGGGGACAGCGGGGCACACTGCTTGGGGACATGGGGACACGGGGACACCTCAGGGGACAGCAGGGACACGGGGACACGTGAGGGGACAGCGGGGACACGGGGACACGTGAGGGGACAGCGGGGGACAGGGGACACCTCAGGGGACAGCAGGGGACACGGGGACATGTGAGGGGACATCAGGGGACAGGGACATGGGGACACGGGGACATGTGAGGGGACGGGAACATGGGGACAAGAGACGGAACATGAGGGGACATGTGAGAAGACATGAGGGGACAGGGACACATGGACACGGGGACATGTGAGGGGATGGGGACACAGGGACACGTGAGGGGACATGTAAGGGGACAGGGACACAGGGACATCGGGACACGTGAGGGGACAAGGACACAGGGTGTCCCAAGATGTCCCCAGAGTGTCCCAGGGGTGTCCCCAGGGTGTCACAGAGGTGTCTCAGGAGTGTCCCCAGAGCTGTCCCAGGGTAGGGGTGTCCCAGAGGTGTACCCAGGGTGCCCCAGAGTGTCCCCAGGGTGCCCCAGAGTGTCCCCAGGGGTGTCCCTGTCACTCACCGCCCTCACGAAGGAGGTGACAAACTCAGAGCCGCCCTCCTCGCCCGGGCCCAGGGGCCTGCGGGGGACCCGCACCCGGTACAGCCCGTCCCGCGCTGCCACCTCCTGTGGGGACACCCGTGTCACCTCAGTGTCACCTCAGTGTCACCCTGACCCGCACCCGGTACAGCCCGTCCCGCGCTGCCACCTCCTGTGGGGACACCCGTGTCACCTCAGTGTCACCCTGACCCGCACCCGGTACAGCCCGTCCCGCGCTGCCACCTCCTGTGGGGACACCCGTGTCACCTCAGTGTCACCCGTGTCACCTCAGTGTCACCTCAGTCACCCAGTGTCACCTGGTGTCACGTCAGAGTCATCCAGTGACATCTCAGTGTCATCCCACTGTCACCCGGTGTCACCATAGTGCGCCCAATGCCACTGTGATGTCCCTCCTCTGTCCCTCACTGTCCCTCAGTGCCCCCCATGTCCCCATGTCCCCCCCATGTCCCAGTGTCCCTGCGGTGTCCCCCCGTGTCCCCATGTCCCGCTGTCCCCCCGTGTCCTGATGTCCCCCGCTGTCCCCGCTGTCCCCGTGTCCCCCCGTGTCCCCGCTGACCCTGAGCCGCGCCCGTTCCTCGTCCCCGAGCGGTTTCTGGGTCAGGGTCAGGGTGGGCTCAGGGCCCCAACTCAGCGACAGCGTCCCCCGGCGGCGGAACCGCGGAGCGTCGTCTGCGGGGGACAGGGGGACAGGGGACAGGGGGACAGGGACATGGGGACAGGGACAGGGACAGGGGATGGGGACATGGGGACATGGGGACATGGGGACAGGGACATGGGGACAGGGACATGGGGACAGGGATGGGGACAGGGGACATGGGGACAGCAGGGACAGGGGCAGGGATGGGGACAGGGACATGGGACATGGGGACAGAGACGGGGACATGGGATAGGGACAGGGACATCGGGATGTGGGGAGAGGAGACAGGGACAGGGACAGGGACAGGGACATGGGAACACAGGGACACAGAGACAATGGGACATGGGGACAGGGGACATGAGGAAAGGGGCACATGGGGACACAGTGCTGGCACTGGGGACAGCCTGGTCCCCGTGCCCCCAGTGCCACCCCATGCCCCTAGTGCCACCCCTGTCCCCGTGTCCCCAGTGCCACCCCTGTCCCCGTGTCCCCAGTGCCACCCCATCGCTGTGTCCCCAGTGCCCATGTCCCCAGTGCCACTCCCATCCCCATATCCCCAGTGCCACCTCCAGCCCCATGTCCCCAGTGTCCCTGATGTCCCCAATGCCCCCAATGTCCCCAATGTCCCCAATGTCCCCGATGTCCCCAATGTCCCCAATGTCCCCAGTGTCCCCAATGTCCCCAGTGTCCCCACTGTCCCCACTGTCCCCAATGTCCCCAATGTCCCCAGTGTCCCCAGTGTCCCCAGTGTCCCCAATGTTCCCAATGTCCCCAATGCCCCCAGTGTCCCCAATGTCCGCAGTGTCCCCAGTGTCCCCAGTGATGTCCCCGGTGTCCCCAGTGCCCCTGTCCCTCACCCAGCTCGAAGGAATGCTCCAGGCTCAGGCTCACCCGGCAGCTCTCGGTGTCACCGGCCTGGGGGGACACAGGGGGACATCGGGGTGACACAGGGGTGACACCAGGAGGTGACACCAGGGGCACACAGGGGTGACATCAGGGTGGGGACACCCCCAGAGGGGTGGGGGCACCCCGAAGGCCTCATGAATATTAATGACCAGCCCCACACCCTCATTAATGCTAATGAGGTTCTGCAACCTCAACTCCCTCATGAATATTAATCAGCTGGAGGGAGCCAGACCTGCCCGTCATTAGCATTAATGAGGTGGAGCAGGCTCATTACTTTCAACCACGTTAATTAATATTAATGAGGGCAGAGAGAGGCCCTGCGCCTCATAGCTACAGTTTATAAACACCCTAATTAATATTAATGAGGGCAGCACGCAGCCCTGCCCCTCGCAGCTACAGTCTCTATTAGTTTATACACCCCTAATTAATATTAATGAGGGCAGCACACGGTATCGATCGGCACACCCCTCATTAATATTAATGAGGACAGCCACAAGGTCCCGCCCCAGGGCTCCTGACAATTTACACTTTCCCTAATTAATATTAATGAGGGCGGCGCGTGGGGTCCCCGGGCACTATGGTCAGCCAGCCACGCCCCCTCATTAATATTAATGAGCCCCAATCCCGCACGGGGCCCTCCCGAACACCGAGAACCAAGAACCGAACACCGAGAACCGAACACCGGGTACCGGGTACGGGGTACCGGGAGCCCCATCCCGGTACCGGGGCTGTTCCACCGCTCTCTCCCATCCCGGTACCGGGACTCCCCCACCGCTCTCTCCCATCCCGGTACCGGGACTCCCCCACCGCTCACTCCCATCCCGGTACCGGAGCTCTCTCCCATCCCGGTGCCGGAGCTGAGCCCGCTCTCTCCCATCCCGGTACCGGGGCTCTCTCACCGCTCTCTCCCATCCCGGTACCGGAGCTGTTCCGCTCTCTCCCATCCCGGTACCGGGGCTGTCCCCGCTCTCTCCCATCCCGGTACCGAGGCTCCCCCACCGCTCACTCCTATCCCGGTACCGGGGCTGTCCCGCTCACTCCCATCCCGGTACCGGAGCTCTCTCCCATGACGATACCGGGTTCTCCCCCGCTCCCCCGCACCCCGGGCTCACCCTGGGGCCGGTGCCGGTGCCGGAGCCCCCCCGGCAGAGCCCTCCGGCCCGGCCCAGCGCCGCCCCCGCCGCCAGCAGCGCCAGCACCGGCAGCGGCCACGGCGCCGCCATCTTGGAGCGCGGGGCACGGCGGGAACGGGGCGGGGCCGGGGCGGGTGGGCGGGGCCAAGGCGGAGGGGGCGTGGTCGGAGTATGAAGGGGCGTGGTCGAGAGGGGCGGGGCTCCCGTGAGGGGGCGGGGCAAACAACGCGCCCCATTGTGTGTCCCCCCCCCTCCCCCACCCCAAATCCAGCTTGGGAACCCCCGGATGGACAGAGGGATCCCCCAGTAATGCCTGGGACCCCTCCCAGTAACCCCTGGGACCTCCCAGTAACACCTGGGACCCCTCCCAGTAAGCCCTGGAACCTCTCCCAGTAACCCCCGAGTGCTCCCAGTAACCCCTGGGACCCCTCCCAGTAACACCTGGGACCTCCCAGTAACCCCTGGGACCTCCCAGTAACCCCAGGGACCCTCCCAGTAACCCCTGAGTGCTCCCAGTAACCCCAGGGACCCCTCCCAGTAACCCCTGGGACCTCCCAGTAACCCCTGAGACCCCTCCCAGTAACCCCAGGGACCCTCCCAGTAACCCCTGGGACCTCCCAGTAACCCCTGGGACCCCTCCCAGTAACCCCTGAGTGCTGCCAGTAACCCCTGGGACCTCCCAGTAACCCCTGAGTGCTCCCAGTAACCCCCAAGTGCTCCCAGAAACCCCTGGGATCCCTCCCAGTAACACCTGGGACCTCCCAGTAACCCCTGAGCGCTCCCAGTAACCCCTGAGACCCATCCCAGTAACCCCTGGCCCCTCCCAGTTACCCCTGAGCGCTCCCAGTTACCTCTGAGATCCCTCCCAGTAACCCCGTGACCCTGCCCAGTAACCCCTGGGACTTCCATTTTTTTTTTAAATAAACATTTTTATTTTTACAAAAATACATTTTTCCATTTTTAAACAGGGGAAGGTTCTCAGCAGAAAATTTATTTTTTTTAATTTTTATTTTTATTTTTATTTTTATTCTTATTTTTATTCTTATTTTTATCAATTTTTCCCTTTGCAGATGGGGGAAGGCTCTCAGCAGGGAATATTTTAATTTTAATTTTAATTTTAATTTTATTTTTATTAAAATCCACCGCTCTCTCAGGGTCCCTTTTTCAGGCTCTCCAGGAAGAGCCGCTCGCTCTCCAGGAAATCGTGATCCTGGGGAGGGGGGGATGGGCTGAGCCCCTTCCAGAAGGTTCCGAGCCCCTTGCCCAGCCCAGCTCCCCTGGCCAGTCCCAAACCCCTCACAGAGAATCCCAAACCCTTTCCCAGACAATCCCAATCCCTTTCCCACAATCCCAAACCCCTTCCCACAATCCCAATCCCTTCCCACAATCCCTTTCCCACAATCCCAATCCCTTTCCCACAATCCCAAACCCTTTCCCACAATCCCAATCCCTTTCCCACAATCCCAATCCCTTCCTCACAATCCCAATCCCTTTCCCACAATCCCAATCCCTTTCCCACAATCCCAATCCCTTTCCCACAATCCCAAACCCTTTCCCACAATCCCAATCCCTTTCCCACAATCCCAATCCCATTCCCACAATCCCAAACCCCTTCCCACAATCCCAATCCCTTTCCCACAATCCCAAACCCTTTCCCAGACAATCCCAAACCATTTCCCACAATCCCAATCCCTTTCCCACAATCCCAAACCCTTTCCCACAATCCCAAACCCTTTCCCACAATCCCAATCCCTTTCCCAGCCCATTGTCCTCTTTCCATTCCCAAGCCCATTTCCTTTCCCACCATTCCCAAACCCTTCCCAGTTCCCAGTTCCCCCCTTTCCATTCCCAGTTCCCCCCTTTCCATTCCCAGTTCCCAATCCCCCCCAATCCATTCCCAAACCCTTCCCAGTTCCCCCAGTTCATTCCCAGTTCCCCCAGTCCATTCCCAGTTCCCCCAGTCCATTCCCAGTTCCCCCAGCCCGTTCCCAGTCCCCCCACTCCATTCCCAGCCCGTTCCCAGTTCTCTATTTCCATTCCCAGTTCCCCCAGCCCATTCCCAGTCCGTTCCCAGTTCCCCCAGCCCGTTCCCAGTCCCCCAACCCATTCCCAGTTCCCCCAGCCTGTTCCCAGTTCCCCCAGCCCATTCCCAGTTCCCCCAGCCTGTTCCCAGTTCCCCCAGCCCATTCCCAGTTCCCCCAGCCCGTTCCCAGTTCCTCCAGTCCATTCCCAGTTCCCTATTTCCATTCCCAGTTCCCCCAGCCCGCTCCCAGCCTGTTCCCAGTCCCCCCAGCCCACTCCCAGCCTGTTCCCAGTTCCTCCAGTCCATTCCCAGCCCGTTCCCAGTTCTCCCACTCCACTCCCAGCCCATTCCCAGTCCGCTCCCAGCCTGTTCCCAGTTCCCTCAGTCCATTCCCAGCCTGTTCCCAGTTCCCCCAGTCCATTCCCAGCCCGTTCCCAGTCCCACCAGCCCGCTCCCAGCCTCTTCCCAGTTCCCCCAGTCCATTCCCAGTCCATTCCCAGCCCATTCCCAGTTCCCCCAGCCCGCTCCCAGTTCCCCTAGTCCATTCCCAGCCCGCTCCCAGCCTGTTCCCAGTTCCCCCAGTCCATTCCCAGCTCGTTCCCAATTCCCCCACTCTGCTCCCAGCCTATTCCCAGTTCCCCCAGTCCATTCCCAGCCTGTTCCCAGTTCCCCCAGTCCGCTCCCAGCCCGTTCCCAGGTCCCCCAGCCCGTTCCCAGTGCCCCCAGTCCCACCCTGCGTGCGCGCTCCTTCAGCAGCAGGACGTGTCCGTAGAGTGCGGCCACGCCCGCCCGGGCCCCGCTGTGCCCCAGGAGCGCCGCCAGGCCCGGCAGCAGCCCCGGGGACACCGGGGACACCGGGGACACCGGAGCCACCGGAGCCACCGGGGCCACTGGGGCTGCCAGGCCCGGCAGCAGCCCCGGGGACACCGGAGTCACCGGAGCCACCGGAGTCACCGGGGACACCGGAGCCGCTGGAGCCGCTGGAGACACCGGAGCCACCGGAGGGGCTGCAGGAGGGGACACCGGAGCATCCCTGTGATCGCTGCCAGCACCCCCCACCACAGCCCACCCACCCCAGCCAGCCCAGGAGCGCTGGGATCCCAAAAACGGGATCCTAAAAACAGGATCCAAATCCTAAAAACGGGATCCAAAAATGGGATCCTAAAAATGGGATCCAAATCCTAAAAACAGGATCCAAAAATGGGATCCAAAAACAGGACCCTAAAAACGGGATCCAAAAATGGGATATCAAAAATGGGATCCCAAAAAGGGGATCCTAAAAACAGGATCCAAATCCTAAAAAGGGGATCCAAAAATGGGATCCAAAAACGGGACCCTAAAAACGGGATCCAAAAATGGGATATCAAAAAGGGGATCCCAAAAAGGGGATCCCAAACACGAGGGACCCAAAAATAGGATCCTAAAACTGGGATTCAAAAATGGGATCCAAAAATGGGACCCTAAAAACGGGATCCAAAAATGGGATATCAAAAATGGGATCTCAAAGAGTGGATCCCAAACACGAGGGACCCAAAAACAGGATCCTAAAAAGGGGATCCAAAAATGGGATATCAAAAACGGGATCCCAAAAAGGGGATCCCAAACACGAGGGACACAAAAACAGGATCCTAAAACTGGGATCCAAAAATGGGATCCCAAAAACGGGACCCTAAAAACGGGGGATTCCCAAAAATGGGGATCACAAAAATGGGGATCCCAAAAATGGGGATCACAAAAATGGGGGATCCCAAAAATGAGGTATCCAAAAAACGAGATCCCAAAAATGGGGGATCCCAAAAACAGGATCCCTAACACGGGGGATCCCAAAAACTGGATCCTAAAATCAGGGATCCCAAAAATGGAATCCCAAAAACAGGATCCTGAAATCAAGATCCCAAAAAGAGGAATCCCGAAACTGGGGATCCCAAAAATGGGGGATCCAAAAAATGGGATCCCAAAAAATGGGGGATGCCAAACACGGGGAATCCCAAACACGGGGCATCCCAAACATTGGATCCCAAAAACGGGACTCCAAAAACAGGATCCTAAAAATGGGATCCCAAAACAGAAACCCAAAAATGGGATCCCAAAAAAGGGATCCCAAACACGGGGGATCCCAAAACCAGGATCCCACAAACTGGGGGGCCCCACAGGGCTGAGCCCCACCCAGACTGATGGGGACAGTCCCCAGCAACGTCCCCAGCGCTGTCCCTGTCCCCAGCAGTGTCCCTGTCCCCAGCGCTGTCCCTGTCCCCAGCAGTGTCCCTGTCCCAGCAGTATCCCCATACCCAGCAGTGTCCCCAGCGCTGTCCCTGTCCCAGCAGTGTCCCTGTCCCCAGCAGTGTCCCTGTCCCCAGCGCTGTCCCTGTCCCCAGCAGTGTCCCTGTCCCCAGCGATGTCCCTGTCCCCAGCGCTGTCCCTGTCCCAGCAGTGTCCCCATACCCAGCAGTGTCCCTGTCCCAGCAGTGTCCCCATACCCAGCAGTGTCCCCATACCCAGCAGTGTCCCTGTCCCCAGCAGTGTCCCTGTCCCCAGCAGTGTCCCTGTCCCCAGCAGTGTCCCCATACCCAGCAGTGTCCCTGTCCCCAGCAGTGTCCCTGTCCCCAGCAGTGTCCCCATACCCAGCAGTGTCCCCATACCCAGCAGTGTCCCCAGCGCTGTCCCTGTCCCCAGGCCGGGGCCCAGCTCCTCCCGCAGCTCCCGGAGCTGTTCCCGCTGCCGCTCCAGGCTCCGCCGCTCCTGGGGGAACAGGAATATTTATCCGTACATTAATATGAATAACCATATTAATATTATTAATTTAATATTAATAATTTATATTAATAATTTAATATTAATAATATAGTTTTGATAATAAGAATTATTAAGGATTAATTATTCATATTATCATAATTACAATTTTATCATATTAGAATTGTTATAATAATTATTATTCTATTATCAATGTTATTAATATTATTCTATTAATATTATTAATAAGGATTACTAAGTGAAGGGTTTATAATGGAGGGGTGTGTATGGAGTAAGATGAGAATTAGGTAAAAGTAAAAAGAAAATTAAGAAAAAGCAAAATAGACCTTGTGGCAACTGCCCATTGAATTAGGAACTTAAATAATATTATACAATAATAAATATTACTATTATAATATTATAGATATTATATATTATAGTTCTAGATGTAATAAGTAATTATATATATGTAATATATAATTATGTATAATATGTAACAAGAATATAAAATATTATGCCATCTAATATAAATATATATAGTACATAATTATAATATATAATACATATAATATATATTATTATACATATATAGAGATTATAATATATAATATGTGTAAGATAAATATATAATGTATATAATAACTAAATACTATATAATATATATGTTATATATCATATATCATTTATAATACATAATATATGATAAATATAATAACTCTGTATAATGAATATAATATATAATAAACATACAATAAATATATAAGATACATCTAAAGTATCTATTATATATTTAATATCTATTAAAATATATTTGTATTTATAAATAATTTATATTTATATATAAATTATATATATTTATATTATATAATATATATATAATAAAACATAATAATATGTAGAAAAACTTATATATTATGTTATATATATAACATATATATAATATTATATTATAAATTATAATTATAATTTTTTTATGACTTCTCTGAGCCATGGCCAACTGCTCGCTCTGATAAAACCTCCTGGCCTCTGAGACCAGTGTTTGTGTGAGCATAAAAACAAAATAAATAATTTAAAAATAAATCGCTTTTTGCCCCAAGCAGCCCCATCCCTTCCATTAAAGTGGAGATAACAGGAAAGAAGGGGGATTTGCCCAGGAATGGCGATTTTCCGGGGGGATTTTCCGGGGGGATTTTCCGGGGGGATTTTCCGGGGGGATTTTCCGTGGGGATTTTCCGGGGGGATTTTTCCGGGGGATTTTCCGGGGGGATTTGCCTGCTGCAGGCGCTGCTCCTGCTGCCGCAGCCGCTCCCGCTGCTCCTGCAGCCGCTGCAGCCGCCGCTGCTGCTCCTCCTGCGCCCTGCGCGCCTCCCGCAGCGCCCGCTGCCCGTCCTGCTGCTGCTGCGCCGCGCGCTGCGGGGACCGGGAACGGGAACGGGAATGGGAACGGGAATGGGGATGGGGAATGGGAACGGGGATGGGAACGGGAATGGGAACGGGGATGGGAATGGGAACGGGGATGGGAACGGGGATGGGAATGGGAACGGGGATGGGAATGGGAATGGGAACAGGAATGGGAACAGGAATGGGAACAGGAATGGGGAACGGGAATGGGAACGGGAATGGGGAACGGGAATGGGAACGGGGATGGGAACGGGAATGGGGAATGGGAATGGGGATGGGAATGGGGATGGGGATGGGAATGGGGATGGGAATGGGAATGGGGAATGGGAATGGGAACAGGAACGGGGATGGGAATGGGGATGGGAATGGGGATGGGAATGGCAACGGGGATGGGAATGGGAATGGGGACGGGAATGGGATTAAGGTGTGGGGAATATCAGGGAATGGCACTGGGACAGGGGAATGGGACTGGGACAGGGAATGGGAGTGGGACTGGGACAGGGAACAGTACCGGGATGGGGAATGGGATCGGGACGAGGAATGGGACTGGGATGGGGAATAGGACTGAGACTGAGATGGGGAACGGCACCGGGATGTGGGAATGGAACTGGGACAGGGAATGGCACTGGGTTGGGGAAAGGTACTGGGACAGGGAACAGTGCTGGGACTGGGAAGGGGACCAGGACTGGGAGAGGGATTGGGGAACAGCAATGGGGCTGGGACAGGGAACAGCACCAGGATGGGGGAACGGCACCGGGATTGGAATGACACCGGGCATGGCTCACGGGGGGACATGGAGCCCCAGCTCAGGGGATGTGGAGCCCCAGCTCAGGGGATGGGGAGCCCCAGCTCAGGGGGATGGGGAGCCCCAGCTCAGGGGGATGGGGAGCCCCAGCTCAGGGGATGGGGAGCCCCAGTTCAGGGGATGGGGAGCCCCAGTTCAGGGGGATGGTGAGCCCCAGCTCAGGGGATGTGGAGCCCCAGTTCAGGAGGATGTGGAGCCCCAGCTCAAGGGATGGGGAGCCCAGCTCAGGGGATGGGGAGCCCCAGCTCAGGGGATGGGGAGCCCCAGCTCAGGGGATGGGGAGCCCCAGCTCAGGGGATGGGGAGCCCCAGCTCAGGGGGATGGGGAGCCCCAGCTCAGGGGATGGGGAGCCCCAGCTCAAGGGATGTGGAGCCCCAGCTCTGCTCCTGGCTGAGAACTCCAGCCTGGATGCTCCGTTTACCTCGGCCAGGTCACGAATCTCCTCCTCCCGCTCCTGCAGGCGCTGCTCGGCACGGAGAACCTTCTCCTTCTCCAGCCTCAGCTCCCGCCAGGCCTCGTCCAGCTCCTCCCTGTCTCTGACCAGCTGCTCCTCCTTGGATCTCAGCTCCCGGCTCCGGAACTTCAGCTCTGCCTGATCCTGGCCCGGGGACAGCGAGTGTCACCTGTCCTGTCCTTTGGAGCAGGGGGAGGTGGTTTGGGACCCCGGGCAGGGCATCGGGGACCTTGGCCAGGCTCCTCAGCGCCGAGTCCAGGCCCAGGGCACGCTCCTTGTCCTGCTCCTCCCGCTCCCGGCTCAGGCGCTCCCGGCTGTGGAACTCGGCCCAGGCGGCCGCCAGCTGCTGCCGCTCCTCGGAGCGATCCCGCAGCTCTGCCCGCTGCTCCTCCAGCCACGCATCCTGCGGGCCGGGGACAGCTCCAGGTGCTGCTTCCCGCAGGGTTTGCCCTCATTTAGCCTGGCCCTGCCGCTTCCAGAGGCAACTTCCAGAGGCTGCTTCCAGCTGGGGAGCTCCGGCTCCGTGTGGCACCCAGCAGGCTGTTCCGAGCCCCTTCCAGCCCCGAGCCCTGCTCCCATCCTGGCTGGTCCCGAGCCCCTTCCAGCCCTGAGCCCTGCTCTCACCCAGCTTGTTCCGAGCCCTTTTTCCAGCCCTGCTCCCATCCCAGCTGGTTCTGAGCCCCTTTCCCAGTCCCACTCCCACCCTGGCTGGTTCCGAGCCCCTTTCCCAGTCCCACTCCCACCCTGGCTGGTTCCGAACCCCTTTCCCAGTCCCACTCCCACCCTGGCTGGTTCCGAGCCCCATTCCCAGTCCCACTCCCACCCTGGCTGGTTCTGAGCCCCTTTCCCAGTCCCACTCCCACCCTGGCTGGTTCCGAGCCCCTTTCCCAGTCCCACTCCCACCCTGGCTGGTTCTGAGCCCCTTTCCCAGTCCCACTCCCACCCTGGCTGGTTCCGAGCCCCATTCCCAGTCCCACTCCCACCCTGGCTGGTTCTGAGCCCCTTTCCCAGTCCCACTCCCACCCTGGCTGGTTCCGAGCCCCTTTCCCAGTCCCACTCCCATCCCAGCTGGTTCCAAGCCCATTTCCCAGTCCCACTCCCACCCGGCTGGTTCCGAGCCCCTTTCCCAGTCCCACTCCCACCCTGGCTGGTTCCGAGCCCCTTTCCCAATCCCACTCCCATCCTGGCTGGTTCCGAGCCCATTTCCCAATCCCACTCCCACCCTGGCTGGTTCCGAGCCCCTTTCCCAGTCCCACTCCCATCCTGGCTGGTTCCAAGCCCCGTTCCCATCCCAGTCCCCCAAGCCCAGCCGGCTCCCAGTTCCATCCCAGTCACTCCCAGAGCGGGTCCAGGCCCAGCCCCGGCATTCCCCAGTGGATCCCTGGGGAAGCTGCGGCCCCTCCCTGCTCCGGGCTCACCTGGGGCCCACCTGGGGCCATGTCCCCGCTCACCTTGGCCTCGTCCAGCGCCGCCCTGTCCATGGCCCGCAGCTGTGCCGAGAGCCGCCGCTGCTCCTCCAGCGCCTCCCGCAGCGAATCCGCCCGGCAGCGCTCGGCTGCGGCGCGGCGGCGCTCCTGGAGCGGCAGCAGGATTGGGAGCGGCCGGCACAGACCAGGCATGGACAGGGATGGGGACAGGGGACAGGGATGGGGACAGGGACAGGGGATAGGGGACACAGACAAGGACAAGGTATAGGGCACGGGGACACAGGACATGGGACACAGACAGGGACAGGGATGAGGACAGAGACAGAGGGACATGGCACAGGGACATGGACACAGCTCCAGGAGGGGTTCCAGTAGAAAGCTCCTCCAGCCAGGCACAAACAGGGACATGGACACAGGACACGGGACACGGACACAGGACATGGGCAGGGATGCAGCTTCAGGACAGTCACAGCTGTCGGATGGGGCCTCACCTGCTCCAGGAGCTGCTCCTGCTCTCCCAGCCTGGTCTCCAAGTTGGCCACAGCCTCCTGGAGCCGGCTCTGCTCCCGCTCCGCGTCCTGCTGCTGCTGGCACAGCCTGGCCTGGAGCGCTGCGAGGGGCACGGGGCAACCCGGGATGCAGGAGGTGGGATCCACCCTCCATCCACAGGGAAATCCCACATGGAAAAAAAGACCCTGTGCTCCTGCTCCATCCCCTCCCAGGACAGGGAGATCCCACATGGAAATCCCCAAGCTCATGCTCCATCCCATCCCATCCCATCCCATCCCATCCCATCCCATCCCATCCCATCCCATCCCATCCCAGGGAGATCCCACAGTGGGATCTGCCCACCGGGGGCAGGACTCTGCCAACCTCAGCTCCTGGTGTCTGGCTTGCCAGGGACAACTTGAATTATGTGAATTTAGTTAATTCCATGAATTCTGTGAATTCTCTGAATTCTAAGAATTATGCAAATTCTGTGAATTCTGTGAATTTGGAGAATTCTGTGAATGTCCTGAATTCCATTAATTCTGAGAATTCTGCAAATTCTGTGAATTTTATTAATTTGGGGAATTCTAATGAATTTCATTAATTCTGTCAATTCTGAGAAATCTGTGAATTTCACAAATCCCATGAATTTAAAGAATTCTGTGAATCCTGCAAATTCTGTGAATTCTATGAATTTGGAGAATTCCGTGAATTTCATGAATTCCGTGAATTCTGAGAATTCCATGGATTCCGTGCATTCCGTGCATTCCGTGAGTTCTGTGAACTCTGTAAATTCTGTGAATCTGGAAAATTCAGTGAATTTCATGAATTCTGTGAATTCCATGAATTCCATGAACTCTTCCCCTTTCCTGAGGATCCAGTGGGATCCCGGACGGAGCCAGCCCCTGTTCGAGCGCCGCTGGGCACAGGAGCAGCCCCTGTTCGAGCGCCGCTGGGCACTGGAGCCAGCCCCTGTTTGAGCGCCGCTGGGCACTGGAGCCAGCCCCTGTTCGAGCGCCACTGGGCACTGGAGCCAGTCCCTGTTCGAGCGCCACTGGGCACTGGAGCCAGCCCCTGTTCGAGCGCCGCTGGGCACTGGAGCAGCCCCTGTTCGAGCGCCGCTGGGCGCTGGAGCAGCAGAGCCTCTGGCCAGGAATCCCCCCACGAGGGCTGGGACAGGGATCTACAGGCCCAGGAATCCTCCAGGACACCAGGACTTGTCCCGGGACCGCCTGGATTCTGTGGGATCGGCTCCGAGCCGTTGGGAAGGAGCAGAGGGTCCCACTGGAACGATGCACTTGGAGGGAATTTACCTGTGAGCTGCTCATGCTGCTCCTGGGTTCCGGGGTGATCCTGGGGTCTGAGGTGATCCTGGGGTCTGGGGTGATCATGGGATGTGGGGTGATCCAAGGATCTGGAGTGATTATGGGATGTGGGGTGATCCTGGGGTCTGGGGTGATGCCAAGATCTGTGATGATCCTGGAATCTGGTATGGTCCTGGGATCCAGAGTGATCTTGGGATGTGGGGTGATTCTGGGATCTGGGGTAATCCAGGAGTCTGGTGTGATCCTGGGATCTGGGATGATCATGGGGTATGGGGTGGTCCTGGGTTCTGGAGTGATCCTGGGATCCAGGTGATCCTGGGGTCTCAAGGATCCAGAGATCTGGAGTGATCATGGGATGTGGGGTGATCCAGGGATGCGGGGTGATCCTAGGGTCTGGGTGATCCAGGGATGTGGGGTGAACCTGGGATCTGAGGTGATCCTGTGCCCCAGGGTGATCCAGGGATCTGGGGTGGTCGTGGGATCCAGGGTGATCCTGGGATGTGGGGTGATTCTGGGATCCAGGGTGATTCTGGGATCTGAGGCGATCCAGGGGTCTGGGGTGATCCTGGGATGTGGGGTGATCCTGGGATGTGGGGTGATTCAGGGGTCTGTTGTCATCCAGAGATCTGGGGTGATCCTGTGCCCCCAAGGTGATCCTAGGATCTGGGGTCATCCCGGGATCTGGAGCAGGGAACTGGGAGCCCAGGTGAGACCCCGTTACCTGTGGCCGCTCTCTGGGAGGTGCTGCAGGACCAGTCCCTGCCGTGCCCGCTCCAGCTCCAGCGTCCGCACCTGGCGGGAATGGGACGGGCTGCAAGTGCCACCCTGGAGTGGCCGTGCCCCCAGATGACCCCCCAGGTGACACCCTCAGCCCCCACCTGGTTTTCCAGCTCCTCCAGCCGGGCCTGGAGGCTGCGCAGGGCGATCCCACAGCCGGGATGCTCCTGGCACGGGTGGGATTGGAGAGTTTGGGAATCCTGGTGGGGCCGGGACGGGTGAGCTCCCAAATCCTCCTGGTGGGGCTGGGACGGGAGAGCTCCTGGAGCCTCCTGGTGGGGCTGGAATGGGAGAGCTCCTGGAGCCTCCTGGTGCCTCCGGGCTGGGAAAGCTGCGGGATGCTCCGGGAAAGCTGCAGGATGCTCCGGGCAGAGCCAGGACGGGAGAGCTCGGGGGTTCTCCGGGCGGGGTGGGGCTGGAGGAGCTGCTGGATCCTCCTGTGGGGACACAGGGATGCTCCAGGAGAGGCCTGGGAAGGGCAGCTCTCCTCTCCTGGGAATGCTGATCCATGCCCAGCCCCCCCAGATCCCAGGGGATCCCCAGGGATCCTTTCCCGCTCCTGACCCAGCACCCACCTGAGTGGGAGTGGCAGGACTCGGCACCTCCTGCACGGCTGGAGTGGAAAATGGGACAAATCCATCACTAGGACACATGGAAGGAAGGGAACCGTCCCATCCCATGGATCCCATGCCATTATCCCATCCCATAGATCCCATAGATCCCATGGATCCCATCCCATCCTATGATCCCATGGATTCCCTTGATCCCATGGATCCCATCCCATCCATCTCTCCCATTCCATCCCAATCCCATCCCATTGAACCCATCCCATTCTGTAGATCCCATCCCATGGAACCCATTATCCCATCCCATGGATCCCTTCCAATCCCATTAATCCCATCCCATTCCATGGATCCAATCCCACCCCATTATCCCATCCCATGGATCCTATCCCATCCAGCCCCATCCCTTTATCCTATCATCCCATCCTGCTATCCCATTATCCCACCCCATTACCCTACTATTCCATTATCCTGATATCCTACTATCCCATTATCCTGTCCCATTATCCTATTATCCCATTACCCCATTATCCCGATATGCCACTATCCCATTATCCCATCCTGATATCCCGTTATCCTGATATCTCATTATCCCAATTTCCCATCATCCCATTATCCCATTATCTTGATATCCCATTATCCCAGCCTGTTATCCCATTATCCTGATATCCCATTATCCCAGCCTGTTAGCCCATTATCCCATCCTGTTAGCCCATTACCCCATCCTACTATCCCATTATCCTGTCCCATTATCCTATTATCCCATTACCCCATTATCCCGATATGCCACTATCCCATTATCCCATCCTGATATCCCATTATCCCGATATCTCATTATCCGGATTTCCCATCATCCCATTATCCCATTGTCTTGATATCCCATTATCCCAGCCTGTTATCCCATTATCCCATCCTGTTAGCCCATTACCCCATCCTATTATCCCATTATCCTGATATCCCATTATCCTGATATCCATTATCCCATCCTGTTATCCCATTATCCCAATATTCCATTATCCAATTATCCCCATATCCCATTATCTCATCCCACTATCCCATTATCCCGATATCCCGTTATCGCATCCCACTATCCCATTATCCCATCCTATCCCATTATCCCACTATCTCATTATCCCATCCTACCCCATTATCCCGATATCCCATCCTATCCCACTATCCCATTATCCCGATATCCCACTATCCTGTTACCCCATCCCCCCACAGAGCTCCCCGGTTCCCGGGCTCCCCAGGTGTCCCTGGCCAGGCCAGGTGAGCTCGGGGACACCTGTGGCACCAGGGCCTCACCTGCCGCCAGCTGCCCGTGGGGCCGGGTCCCACCGGGTCCCGCCAGCCTGGAGCGGGAACAGATCCCACAGGGAATGAGCGGGAGGGGGGGCAGGACCCGCCCCAGCCCGGGCTACATGTGCCACAGTGCCACATCACCTGCGTCACCTGTGCCTTGTCACCTGGGCTACCTGAGCCACAGTGCCACATCACCTGTGTCACCTGTGTCTTGTCACCTGGGCTACCTGAGCCACCTGTGTCATCTGTGTCATCTGTGCCTTGTCACCTGTGCCACCTGAGCCACCTGTGTCATCTGTGCCATATCACCTGTGTCATCTGTGCCACCTGTGCCATGTCACCTGTGCCACCTGAGCCACCTGTGTCACCTGTGCCTTGTCACCTGAGTCACCTGTGCCACCTGTGCCATGTCACCTGTGCTACCTGAACCACCTGTGCCACCTGTGTCATCTGTGCCATGTCACCTGTGTCATCTGTGCACCTGTGCCATGTCACCTGTGCTACCTGAGCCACCTGTGTCATCTGTGCCATGTCACCTGAGTCACCTCTGCCACCTGTTTCATCTGTGCCACCTGTGCCATGTCACCTGTGCCACCTGAGCCACCTGTGTCATCTGTGTGATGTCACCTGAGCCACCTGTGCCACCTGTGCCATGTCACCTGTGCCACCTGAGCCACCTGTGTCATCTGTGCCATGTCACCTGAGTCACCTGTGCCACCTGTGCCATGTAATGTGTGCTACCTGAACCACCTGTGCCATCTGTGTCATCTGTGCCATGTCACCTGTGTCATCTGAGCCATGTCACTTGTGTCACCTGTGCCAATTGTGTCACCTGTGCCATCTGTGCCATCTCACCTGTGCCATTTTTGCCACCTGAGTCACCTGTGCCATGTCATCTCTGCCACCTGTGTCATGTCACCTGTACCACCTGTGTCAACTCTGTCACCTGTGTCACCTGTGCCACCTGGGTCATCTCTGTCATCCGTGCCACCTGTGTCATCTGTCCCTCCCCACCTGTCCAGCGTCAGGGATCCCACCTTTGGGATTCGGAGGGAACGGGGATACCCCAAACCTCCAACCCGGGGTGCCCTCCTCGACACCGGTCACCTGAGCCCTCCCAGGTGTCACCTGAGCCCTCCCAGGTGTCACCTGAGCCCTCCCAGGTGACACCTGTCCCAGGCGAGCTGAGCCAGGGGAGCCCCAGCCGGGAGGTGGGAGGAGCTCAGGTGGGGGAATTCCAGAATAGACACATTCCCGGGGACACCTGGAGGACACCTGGGACAGGGACATCCCCTGGCACACCTGGAGGACACCTGGGTCGGGATCCCTGGCCCAGGACCTCTCCTGGATGCCAGGTGGGAATTCCCAGGAGCTCCTTTACCTGCCGGGCTCGGGGGGCTCCGGAGGCTCCGCCGGGCACCGCTTTGGGGCCGGGGCAGCGCCGAGCCAGCCCCGTCCCCGCGGGGATCCCGGGGCAGCGGGAGCCTCATCCTTCCGGGAATCCTCGTCCTTCTGGGAATGCTCGTCCTTCTGGGAATCCTTGTCCTTCCGGGAATCCTTGTCCTTCTGTCCCAATCCCAGGAAATCCTTGTTCTTCAATCCCAATCCTGGGAAATCCTCGTTCTTTGATCCCAGTCCTGGAGGACCCTCATCCTCCGATCCCAATCCCGGGAAATCCTTGTTCTTTGATCCCAATCCTGGAGGATCTTTGCTCTTCAGTCCCAGAAAATCCTTGTCCTGTCCCAATCCTGGGAAATCCGTGTCCTTTGATCCCAGTCCTGGGAAATCCTGTTTCTTCGATCCCAGTCCTGGGGGATCCTTGTCCTTCTGTCCCAGTCCTGGGGGATACTCGTCCTTCGATCCCAATCCTGGGAAATCCTTGTTCTTCGATCCCAATCCCGGGAAATCCTTGTTCTTCAATCCCAATCCTGGGGGATCCTTGTTCTTAGATCCCAGTCCTGGGGGATCCTCGTCCTTCAGTCCCAATCCTAGGAAATCCTTGTCCTTCGATCCCAATCCCGGGAAATCCTTGTTCTTCGATCCCAATCCTGGGAAATCCTTGTTCTTTGATCCCAGTCCTGGGGAATCCTTGTCCTTTTGTCCCAGTCCTGGGGGATCCTCGTCCTTCGATCCCAATCCTGGGGGATCCTCGTCCTTCAGTCCCAATCCCGGGAAATCCTTGTCCTTCTGTCCCAATCCCGGGAAATCCTTTTCCTTTTGTCCCAATCCCGGGAAATCCTTTTCCTTCTGTCCCAATCCCGGGAAATCCTCGTCCCCTAATTCCAGGAAATCCTCGTCCTTCAGCCCCAGCCAGGTGGCCCCGGAGGGACGTCGGGAGCTGCTCCCAGCCGGACACCTGGCGGGGAGAGGGACACTGGGGACACTGGGGACTGGGCAGGGGACACTGGGGACACTGGGGACACTGGGGACACTGGAGACAGTAGGGGATATTGGGGACAGTGGAAACTGGGCAGGGGACAATGGGGGACATTGGAGACACTTGGGACACAGTAGACATTGGGGACAACAGTGATTCTGAGGACATTGGGGACAATGGGGACATTGGGGACACTGGGGACTGGGTAGGGGACAATGGGGACAAATGGTGACTCGGAGGACATTGGGGACAATGGGGACAATGGGGACAAATGGTGACTCTGAGGACATTGGGGACAATGGGGACATCGGACACACCAGGGCATTGGTGGCAATGGGGACACGTGGACAATGGAGACAATGGGGACAATGGTGACTGGGCGGGGGACAATGGGGGACATTTGGGGACACTGGGGGACACTGGGGGCATTGGGGACACGGCTGGGTGGGGACATCCCCCCCTCCCCCGGTACCTCCGTTCCCGTCGTCGCGCTGTCCCCGAGGCCACCGAGGGCTCGTAGGATCCAAAGGGAAAACCCGGCTGGATCCGGGCCCCGCCCGGCCCTGCGGACACAAAATTCCCAGAATTCCCAAAATCCCCAACGGGATTGGACTTGGAAAACCCCAGTGCTGCTCCTCCCTGGAATTCCCAACAGGATTTGACTTGGAAAACCCCTGTGTTGCTCCTCCCTGGAATTCCCAATGGGATTTTGTCCCTCTGGAAAACCCCTGTGCTGCTCCTCCCTGGAATTCCCAGTGGGATTTTGCTCCTCCAGAACCCCTTCCCATGGCTCTCCCACCCCGGCCCCGCTCACCTGGCCGCTCCTGCCCCTTGGGGTCCGGCTGGAATTCCGCCTTTCCCGGCAGCTCCCGGATCCCGGCGCGGCCCTTCCGGAGCCCCTGGCTGGGCACAGGCCGGGTGGCACCGGGGGTGGCACCGGGGGTGGCACCAGGACCACCCCGTGCCCGTCCCCGTCCCCATCCCGCTGTCCCCTCACCCCCCCGGCGTTCCCGGCGCGCTCCCGGCTCCGTCGGCGCCGCTGCTGAGTCCCAGGGAATCCATCAGGTCATCGAGGTCGTCCCCAAAGGTGACATCGGGACGGGGCGGGGCTGGGGGGATGGCACTGATGGCATCTGGGACAGCCTGGTGCCACCAGCGCTGGGACATCTCAGGGACATCCCTGGGCGTCACCAGCGCTGGGACATCTCTGGGTGTCACCAGCACTGGGACATCTCCAGTGTCACCAACACCAGGACATCTCCAGTGTCACCAGCACTGGGACATCTCAGAGACATCCCTGGGTGCCACCAGCGCTGGGACATCTCCGGGTGTCACCAATGCTGGGACATTTCCAGTGTCACCAAAGCTGGGACATCCCTGGGTGCCACCAGCACTGGGACATCTCCAGGTGTCACCAATGCTGGAACAGCCCTGGGTGCCACCAGCGCTGGGACGTCTCCAGTGTCACCAGCAGCTCTGGGATGTCCCTGGGTGTCACCAACTGGCCCGAGAACATCGCTGGATGTCACCAACATCCAGGGACAGCCCTGGTGTCACCAACACTGGGACATCTCAGGGACATCTCTGGCTGTCACCAACACCAGGACATCTCCAGTGTCACCAACACTGGGACATCTCAGGGACATCTCCGGCTGTCACCAACACTGGGACATCTCCAGTGTCACCAGCACTGGGACATCCCTGGGTGTCTCCAGCTCTGGGAGCCTCCATGTCCCCCCCATGTCCCCTCCCTGTGCCCCCGTGTCCCTGTCCTACGGGAACGGGGTTTGATCCCATGGGAATGGGGTTTGATCCCACGGGAATGGGGTTTGATCCCATGGGAATGGGATTTGATCCCACAGGAACGGGGTTTGATCCCACAGCAATGGGGTTTGATCCCACAGGGATGGGGTTTGATCCCACAGCAATGGGGTTTGATCCCACGGAAATGGAATTTGATCCCACGGGAATGGAATTTGATCCCACGGGAATGGGGTTTGATCCCATGGGAATGGGGTTTGATCCCATGGGAATGGAATTTGATCCCATGGGAACGGGGTTTGATCCCACAGCAATGGGGTTTGATCCCACGGGAACGGGGTTTGATCCCACGGGAATGGGGTTTAATCCCACAGCAATGGGGTTTGATCCCACAGCAATGGGGTTTGATCCCACAGGAACGGGGTTTGATCCCACGGGAATGGGGTTTGATCCCACAGCAATGGGGTTTGATCCCACGGGAATGGGGTTTGATCCCACAGGAATGGGGTTTGATCCCACAGGAATGGGGTTTGATCCCACAGGAACGGGGTTTGATCCCACAGGAACGGGGTTTGATCCCATGGGAATAGGGTTTGATCCCATAGAAATGGGGTTTGATCCCATGGGAACGGGGTTTGATCCCATAGAAATGGGGTTTGATCCCACAGCAATGGGGTTTGATCCCATGGGAACAGGGTTTGATCCCACGGGAACGGGGTTTGATCCCACAGGAACGGGGTTTGATCCCACAGGGATGGGATTTAATCCCACAGGGATGGAGTTGATCCCACGGGAATTCCCGGTACCTGTTTGGGGACTCGGCCCCTTCCTGCATTTCCCCGGCCTGGACCCGGCTCTGCCCATTCCCAGGATTTCTGCATCCAGCTCATCCAGCTCATCCAGGTGATCCACGGGATCCCGGTGATCCACAGGATCCAGGTGATCCACGGGATCCAGGTGATCCATGGGATCCCGGTGATCCGGCTCCTGGAGGGGGCAGCTGCTGCCCTCACCTGCAGCCCAGGTGGGATCCCAAATCCTTTGGGAATTCTGCCCCGCCCACTTTCACCCCTTCCGCGTTCCCCACCGGGAATTTCCCATTCCCCGCTGGGAATTTCCTGTTCTTTGAGAATTTTCAGTTTTTTGGGAATTTCCCATTCCCTGTTCTTTGGGAATTTCCTGTTCCCCATTGGGAATTTCCCATTTTTTCAGAACTCCCCATCCTCTGTCGATAATTTCCCATTTCCTGATGGGCATCTCCCTTTCTTTGGGAATTTCCAATTTTTTGGGATTTTCCCTCCACAATCCCAATCCCAGCCCCCTCCAGGCACAGGTGAGGGGGTGGGGCGGGGCCCCAGGTGCTCCCACCAGCCCGGGATGGGGGAGGGGCGGAGCTGGGCTCACCTGGAGCTCACCTGGGCTCACCTGGGCTCACCTGCGGGAAGGAGGCGCGGGAGCCTCGGGAGGGCGGAGCCGGGACCTCCTCTGGAAACAAGGGAGGGGTCAGGGATGGAGCCGGAGCCAGGTGGGAATGGGGAGGGCAGGGCAGCCCCCCAGGTGACCCCAGGGGTTCCCAGGTGATCCCCAGGTGACCCTTCCAGGTGACCCCAGGGGCTCCCAGGTGATCCCCAGGTGACCCCGCTGGGAGCTCTCCCTTTACCATCAGATCCCAGGAGCACCCCGAGCACGTCCTCGATGGGATCTGGAACAGGACAGAGCCCAGGTGAGCCCAGGTGAGCCCAGATGGGCCCAGGTGAGCCAGGTGAGCCCAGGTGAGCCCAGATGGGCCCAGGTGGGTTCCCTGTACCAAGCAGATGGGAAAAGCTCCTGGATCATCTCACCTGTCCCTTATCACATCCCACCTGTCCCATTCCACCTGTCACATCTCACCTGTCCCATCCCACCTGTCCCCTGGGACATTCCCACCCCTCTCCATCCCAGCATTCCCAGGAACTCAAATCCCCTGGAGAGCAGGTGAGGACAGGTGAGGACAGGTGAGGACAGGTGAGGACAGGTGAGGACAGGTGAGGGGGACAAGGACAGGTGAGGACAGCTGGGAACAGGTGAGGGGGACAGGGACAGGTGAGAGCAGGTGAGAGCACTCACCTGGTGACCTGCTCCGGGCCCCGGCAGCCTGAGGAAAAACAAAATTCCCTTGGGAGAGACGGAAGAGCTGGAATCTCCCCCCATGGCAAAGGTGAGGCAGGAAGGGATCCCACAGCTGGATCCCACAGCTGGATCTCACCTGGATCCCTCACCTGGATCCCACAGCTGGATCCCACCTGGATCCCACAGCTGGATCCCACCTGGATCCCTCACCTGGATCCCTCCCCTGGATCCCACCTGGATCCCACCCCTGGATCCCTCACCTGGATCCCTCCTGGATCCCACAGCTGGATCCCACAGCTGGATCCCTCACCTGGATCCCACAGCTGGATCCCACTCCTGGATCACACCTGGATCCCACAGCTGGATCCCTCACCTGGATCCTGCCTGAATCTCACAGCTGGATACCACAGCTGGATCCCACAGCTGGATCCCACAGCTGGATCTCACCTGGATCCCTCCCCTGGATCCCTCCCCTGGATCCCACCCCTGGATCCCACCCCTGGATCCCTCACCTGGATCCCACCCCTGGATCCCTCACCGGGATCCCAGCCAACCCCACCGGGATCCCCGCCCTGTCTCCCCTCACTCACCCGAGCCCGTCCCGGTCTCTCCGCCATTCCCGGGCGATCCCGGCTCCGCCCGCCCGGGACCGGTGGCGGCCCTGAGGAGACAGGGAGGCTGCTCGGGCCCGTTCCTATTCCCGTTCCCGTTTTCTCGTTCCCGCTCCTAGTCCCGTTCCGGTTCCCGTTCCAGTTCCTGTTCCTGTTCCTGGTTCCTGTTCCCAGTCCCGCTCCCGTTCCCGGTTCTCGTTCCCGGTTCCCCTTCCCGGTTCCCGTTCCCGCTCCCAGTTCCCATTCCCATTCCCATTCCCATTCCCATTCCCATCCCCGTTCCCATTCCCGTTCCCATTCCCATTCCCGTTCCCGCTCCCGTTCCCATTCCCATTCCCGCTCCCGTTCCCATTCCCGCTCCCGTTCCCATTCCCATTTCCATTCCCATTCCCGTTCCCATTCCCGTTCCCGCTCCCGGTTCCCGTTCCCATTCCCGTTCCCATTCCCGGTTCCCGTTCCCATTCCCGTTCCCATTCCCACTCCCATTCCCGCTCCCGTTCCCGGTTCCCATTCCCGTTCCCGTTCCCTCACCCGGTCCCGCGCTCGCCCTGGGCGCCGCCATATTGCGCGCCGTCCTCACGGAAGGCCCCCGCTGCCATGGCAACGCGGCTGCCCCGCTCGGCGCCTGATTGGAAACCCGCGGTTACCATAGCAACACGGCAGCCCGGCGCGCCGTCCCAAAGGCAGGCCCCCCGTTACCATGGTGACGGGGCTGCCCCGCACAGCGCCTGATTCCGGCCTCTGTTGCGATTCCCCCCATGTCGCGGGTTTATCCCTGTCGGGAGCTCCGCGTCCCCAGCCGGGATCCAGCCTCGGGTACCCCCGTGCGAAACATCGCGGTATGGCGCCAGAAAATCGCGGTATCGCGACATAACCCCGGGTGTGGCCCTGAAATCGCGATATCGCGACACAACCCCCGGGTGTGGCCCTGAAATCGCGATATCGCGACACAATCCCCGGGTGTGGCCCTGAAATCGCGATATCGCGACACAACCCCCGATGTGGCCCTGAAATCGCGATATCGCGGCACAACCCCCGGGACGCCGCCATAAAACCCCAAAAGTCGCCCGGAGGCCTCAAAATCGCTTTTATTCATAAACAAATGGGGCGGGGCCGGAAATGGGTGAAAAAAGGGGGAGGGGCACTGGGCTGAACTGGGAGCACTGGGATGGCTGAACTGGGCTGAACTGGGATGCACTGGGAGCACTGGGATGACTGAACTGGGATGGCTTTACTGGGATGTACTGGGATGGCTGAACTGGGCTGAACTGGGCTGAACTGGGAGCACTGGGATGGCTTTACTGGGATGTACTGGGATGGCTGAACTGGGCTGAACTGGGAGCACTGGGATGGCTGAACTGGTCCGTACTGGTCCGTACTGGCCAGGCTCTATTGGTAGTACAGCTCCAGGTTCATCCCGTCGTGGATCTCATCTGAGCCGGGGTCAAGGAAAACAAATCTGGGGTTTGGGGTTTTGGGGAGAGGTTTTGGGGTTTTTGGGGTTGAAGGATGTTGGGGTTTTGGGGGTTGAAGGGTTTTTGGGGAGAGGTTTTGGGGGGATGTTTTGGGGTTGAAGGGTTTTGGGGTTTTTGGGGCTGAAGGGTTTTGGGAGCTTTTGGGTTTAAGGGTTTTTGGGGAGAGGTTTTGGGGTTGAAGGGTTATGGGGAGGGTCTCTGGGGTTTTTTGGGGTTGAGGGTTTTTTGGGTCCTGGGGTGTTTGGGGTCAGATTTTTGGGGTGGGGCTCTGGGGGTTTTTGGGGTTCTGGGGAGGGTCTCTGGGGGTTTTTGGGGTTCTGGGGTGTTTGGGTCGGGTTTTTGGGGTTCCGGGGTGTTGGGGTCAGGTTTTAGGGTGGATACAGTCCCCAAGCGTGACGTGGTCCTTGAAGATGGTGTACCTGTGGGGAGGGGAGGGGGTGAGGGCGTCACCCCCTCCCCAAAACCCCAGGGGAGGAGGCACCGCCCCCAGGGGCCCCAAAAACCCCAGGGCTCCCTCCTGACACCCCTAAAACCCCAAAAAACCCCAAAACCCCGGGGCTCCCTCCTGACCCCTACCCCAAACCCTCCTGGGCCCCCTCAGACCCTCCCCAAAGCCCCTCAGGTACCCCAAAGCCCCTCAGGTGCCCCCAAAAACCCCTCAGGTGCCCCCTCAGACCCTCCCCCAAACCCTGGGGTGCCTCTTAGAGCCCCCCAAACCCCCCCAGGTGCCCCCCAAGCCCCTCCCCAGCCCCCCAGACCATTTTTTGAGGACGATCTTGTCCCAGCGGGTGCCGGTCTGGGCCGCGATCAACTTCTTCAGGTCGCGGATTGAGTCCTCGGGGCTGCCCCGTTGTCAAGGAAATGGGGACTCCATACACCCCAAAACCGCCCCAAATACACCCCAAAACCGCCCTGAAACACCCCAAACACACCCCAAAACGGCCTAAAAAAGTACCCCAAATACACCCCAAAACCGCCCCAGAAACACCCCAAACACACCGCAAAAACTGCCCCAAACACACCCCAAAACTGCCCCCAAAACTGCCCCAGAAATACCCCAAAACCGCCCCAAATACACCCCAAAACCGCCCTGAAACACCCCAAACACACCCCAAAACTGCCTAAAAAAGTACCCCAAATACACCCCAAAACCACCCCGGAAACACCTCAAACACACCCCAAAACCGCCCCAAAAACTGCCCCAAACACACCACAAAACCTCCCCAGAAACACCCCAAACACACCCCAAAACTGCCCGAAATACACCCCAAAACTGCCCCAAACACACTCCAAAACTGCCCCAAATACACCCAAAAACTGCCCCAAAACCTGCCCCAGAAACACCCCAAACATATCCTAAAACTGCCCCAAAACCTGCCCCAAACACACCCCAAAAACTGCCTCAGAAACACCCCAAACACACCCCAAAAACTCTCCTAAATACACCCCAAAACCTGCCCCAAAAACACCCCAAAACCGCCCCGAAACACATCCCAAAACACCCCGAAACTGCCTCAAAACTGCTCCAAACACACCCCAAATACACCCCAAAACCTGCCCCAGAAACACCCCAAACATATCCAAAAACTGCCCCAAAACCTGCCCCAGAAACACCCCAAAACTGCCTCAAATACACCCCAAAAACTGCCCCAAAACCTGCCCCAGAAACACCCCAAAACTGCCCCAAACACACCCCAAAACCTGCCCCAAACACACCTCAAAAACTGCCCCAGAAAAACCCCAAATGCACCCCAAAACCTGCCCCAAAAACACCCCAAAACCGCCCCAAAGCACATCCCAAAAACACCCCGAAACTGCCTCAAAACTACCCCAAACACGCCCCAAATACACCTAAAAACCTGCCCCCAAAACACCCCAAAATCTGCCCCAAACACACCCAACACCCACAAAAACACCCCAAAACTGCCCCAATCACCCCAAACCTGCCCCAAAAAATCAGCCCCAAACACCCCAAACCACACCAAAACAACCCCACAAACACCCAAAACTGCCCCAAAACACCCCAAACTTCTCCTGAAATATCCACAAACACACCCCAAAACCTCCCCAAAACCCCGAAAACCCCCAAAACCCCCCAAACCAGGAAGGATATTTGCATTTTACCCGGACCTTCTTCCCCAGGCGGTCGTTGCAGACGACCTCGATCATGGCTGGGAACAGAAAATAGGGAAAAAATGGGGAAATGGGAAAAATGGGGAGAAAATGGGGAAAAAAGGAAAATGGGAATGGGAAAAAAGGGGGGAAATGGGAAAAGGGGATAGGAAAAATGGCAGGAAAAGGGAAATGAGAAAGGGGAAAATGCGAAAAGGAAAAAAGGCGGAGAGGGGAAAAAACGGGAGGGAAAGGGAGAGGGGAAAGGGAAATGAGAAAGGGATAAAAAGGGAAAGGGGGAAAAGGGGGAGAAAGAGAAAAGGAGGAAAAAAGAGAAAAGGAGGGGAAAAAAGGAAAAGTAGGGAAAAGGGAAAAAAAAAACAGAAAAGGAGAAAAAAAGGGAAAAGGAGATAAAAAAAGGGAAAAGGGAAAAAAGGGAAAAGGAGAAAAAACACAAAATAAGAGCAAAAAGGAAAAAAGAGAAAAAGGAGGAAAAAAAAAAGGAAAACCGTGAGGGAAAGAGGGAAAAGGGGCAGAGAGGGGAGAAAGGGAACGGGGAAGGAACGGGGGAACGGGAGGGAAGGGGCAAAGGCGCCGGTACCGGAGCGAGCGAAACGGAAAAGTCCCGGTTCCAGCGCCGGTGCCGCCCCAGAAACGCCCCCGCGCCCTCCCGAGCCCCTTCGGGACCCAAAAATCCGCCCCGGGCCCCCAAAATCCGCCCCGAGCACCCAAAATCCGCCCCGGTACCACCCGGTGCCCCCCGGTACCTCCGGGACTGCCGCTGACGCCCCGCCGGAACAGGCAGTGACGTCACAGGGAGGCGCCGGAAGTGGCGCCGGAAGTGGCGTCTGGGGAAGGGCCAAGATGGCGGCGGGGCCTGAGGGGCGCGGGCGGGAAATGGAGGAGGGGGAGGGAGAGCGGGAAATGGAAAATAAAATCAAATAAAAGGGCAGGGGAATGGGCAGGGGGTTAAAAGGGAAACGGGGGGATTAAAAATAAATGGGGGAGTTAAAAATAAATGAGGGAATTAAAAAGCAATGGGGAAATTAAAAATAAATGGGGAAAATAAAAATAAATGGGGAGAAGTGAAGGGGATTAAAAGGGAAATGGGGGAAATTAAAAAGAAAAATGGCAGAATTAAAATAAATGGGGTAATTAAAAGAAATGGGGTAATAAAAAAGAAATGTGGAAATTAACAATAAATGGGGAAAATGGGGGGGAATAAAAATAAATGGGGAAAAGTGAAGGGGATTAAAAGGGAAATGGGGAAAACTAAAAGAGGAATGGATCAAAATTAAAAAATAAATGAGGAAAAATAAGGGGTAATTAAAAATAAATGAGGGAATTAAAAATAAATGGGGAGGATTAAAAAGAAATGGGGAAAAGTGAAGGGGATTAAAAGGGAAATAGGGAAAATTAATAGAGAAATGGGGGAATGGGGCAAAATTTAAAAATAAATGGGGATAATAAGGGGAAATAACAATAAATGGTATTAAAACAAAGGGGGAAAAGTGAAGGGGATTAAAAGGGAATTGGGGAAAATTAAAATTCCCCCCAAATCTCTCCAAATCCCCCCCCGAATTCCCCAGAAATCACACCCAGATCCCCGCGGCTGCTCCAGGTGACCCTTGCAGGGAATGGTGTGCCCAGAGTGCCCCCCAAGTGTCCCTTTGCCCCCCCCACAAGTGTCCCTGTGCCCCCCAGTGTCCCTGTGTCCCCCCCCCAGTGTCCCTGTGCCCCCCAATGTCCCTGTGCCCCCAGTGTCCCTGTGCCCCCCCAATGTCCCTGTGCCCCCAATGTCCCTGTGCCCCCCCAGTGTCCCTGTGCCCCCCAATGTCCCTGTGCCCCCCCAATGTCCCCGTGCCCCCCAATGTCCCTGTGCCCCCCCAATGTCCTCCCTGTGCCCCCCCCAGTGTCCCTGTGCCCCACAATGTCCCTGTGCCCCCCCAATGTCCCCGTGCCCCCCAATGTCCCTGTGCCCCCCCAATGTCCTCCCTGTGCCCCCCCCAGTGTCCCTGTGCCCCCCCAATGTCCCTGTGCCCCCCAATGTCCCCATACCCCCCTGCTGTCCCCGTGCCCCCAAAGTGTCCCTGTGCCCCCAATGTCCCTGTGTCCCTCTGTCCCCCTCTCTGTCCCTGTGCCCCCCAATGTCTCTGTGTCCCCCCCCAAGTGTCCCTGTGCCCCCCAAGTGTCCCTGTCCCCCCCCCAGTGTCCCCGTGCATCCCCAGACACAGGCGGTGGCTCCAAGAACTGGTGTCACCTTTATTGGTTCCTGTCCATGACGGTTCCCACGGTGGCCCTGACCCCATGGTGGCCCGGACCAACCCCATGGTGGCCCAGACCCCATGGTGGCCCTGACCCCGTGGTGGCCCTGACCGTCCCCATGGCGACCCTGGCCACCCCCTCTGTGGCCCTGGCTCTTATCTCCTGGTCCCTTTGGTGGCCCTGGTCACCTCTGTGGTGGCCACCGTGGCACTGGTGGCCCCTTGGTGGCCGTGGCTGTCCCCTGGCTCTTCCTGTGGTGGCCCAGTCCATCCCAGTGGTGGCCCTGGCTGTCCCCCACGTGTGGCGGTGGTGGCCATCCCCTGACTCCCTGTGGTGGACCTTGGTGCCCCTTTGGTGGCCCCGGCCACCTCCTGGCTCTTCCTGTGCTGGCCCCAGTGGCCCTGCGGTGGCCTCGTGGTGGCCCTCTGGCCCTGGTGGCCCTTGGTGACCCTTGATGGCCCTGGCCGTCCCCTTGGTGGCCACACTGACCCTGTGGTGGCCCTGGGTGGCCCCACAGTGGCCCCAGTAGCCCGTGGTGGCCCTTGGTGGCCCCGCGTCCCCTCCGGCTCCGGTTTAGTTGGTTTGACGCACTCGACCCAAAGTTGGTTTGGCAGAATTTGGGAAGGGGGGGGAGGGGAGGGAACCCCCAAATCCCGGGGGGGGGGGGGGAGGGGGACCCCAAGATCTGGGGGTGGGAGGGGAGGGGATTACCCCACCGCACCCCCAAATTTGGGTCCCTGAGGAAGTTTTGGGGTCCCCCCATGCTAAGGGAGGTGGGGAGGGGAACCCCAAAACTTGGGGAGGGGCTGGACCCCCCCCGTGCATCCACAAAACCCCTGAGGGGGGTCCCCAAAACGCAGGAGGGGTCCCTGATACTGTGAGGGTCCCCAAAACACAGGGGACCCCCAAAGTAAGGGGACTCCAAATACTGGGGAGGGGGGGATCCCCAAATTTGGGGGTCCCCAGTACCTGGGGGGGGTCTCTAAAACGTGGGGGGAGGGTCTCAACACCCCAGGAAGGATCCCCAAGCCCTGGGGGTGTCCCCAAATTCTGGGGTCCCATCAATTTTGGGGTGGGGCTCCCAGAACTGTTAACGTGGCCCCATTGCCCTCCCCCCCATTTTGGGGGCCCCCCCATCCCTATGTACAGCGTGGCGAGGCCCCCCCCGGCTGGGGGTGGGGTTGTGCTTCCGGGGGGGCCCTGCTGGGGTTGGGGGGACCCCCGGAGATGGGGGGCGGTTTTGGGGGGACCCCCCCCATGCCTCAGTTTCCCGGGCGGGGGAGGGGGGGAGGGCTGGTCCATTTACATCTATATTACAAGGAAAATGTGTCTCTTTGTGGGGGGGTCCCCGTTTCAGGGGGTCCCTGCTTTGGGGGCACCCCTCAGTTTGGGGGGGGGGTGTCAGTGCCCCCCCCGGCTCGGTGCTGCTGAGGCCACGGGGGCCCCCCTGGGATGGCTTTTGGGGGGGCCCCCGGAACGTGTCTGAGGGATCCCCCCAAAATGGCCCCAGGCCGGGGTGGGGGCACGAGGGGGGCGCCCCGTGCGAGGTCCGGGTGCAAAGTCTTGGTGCGAGGTCCTGGTGAGACGGGGGTCCCCAAGAGAGGTCCCCACGTGTGGCACCGGATGGATCCTCAGGTCAGGTCCCCACGTGTGGCGCCGGATGGATCCTCGGGTCAGGTCCCCACGTGTGGCGCCAGATGGATCCTTGGGTCAGGTCCCCATGTGTGGCCCTGGATGGATCCTCGGGTCAGGTCCCCACGTGTGGCGCCAGATGGATCCTCAGGTGCCGGACGAATCCTCAGGTGAGGTCCCCACGTGTGGCGCCAGATGGATCGGATGGATCCTTGGGTGCCAGACGGATCCTCGGGTCAGGTCCCCACGTGTGGCACCAGATGGATCCTCGGGCACCTGACGGATCCTCGGGCACCGGACGGATCCTCGGTCACAAGATGGATCCCGGGCACTGGATGGAGCCTCAGGCACCGGACGGATCCTCGGGCACCATACGGATCCTCGGGTGACGCTGGTTGGATCCTTGAGCAAGGCTGCCACGCTGCCAACCCTTGTGCAAGGCCCTCATGCAAAGCCAGGTCCTCGTGTGACACCGTGGCCGGGCACACCCGCGGCTCCCGGTGTGACACCGTGACCTGCCACACCCGCGGCTCCCGGTGTGACACCGCGGCTCCTGGTGTGACACCGTGACCTGGCACACCCGCGGCTCCCGGTGCGAGGGAAGGGCTCGGCACTGTGCTGTCCCCTCTGGCCACAGCCGAGTCCTCGTGCGAGGCCGGCTCCTCGTGCCGGGTTCCTTGAGTGCCCCCGGACCCTCGCGCGAGGCCAGCCCCCCGTGAGGACGAGCCCTCGCGAGAAGGAGTTGTGGCTCGGGGCCGGACCCCCGTGTGGGGCCACACCCCCGTGTGGGGCCACACCCCTGTGTGGGGCCAGACCCCCATGCACCCCTGGAGCCTCGAGCGAGGGGGGGTCCCGGTGCAATCCCCCTGCCAGGCCGAACCCCCTGGCGAGGAGGGGCTCCCGCAGCGACCTCCTGCCCCCCAAGTGCCCCCGACATGAGGAGGGGGTCCCGCGTGCCCCCCCGGCCGGGGGTCTCACAGGCTGGTCACCAGCTGCATCTGCCCGTCGGGCTCGGCGCCCCCCACGCCCCCCTCGGGCCCCCCGAAGGTCTCGGGGCTGTGCCGGCGGTTGGGTGGGGGTGCGCGGGGGGGCCCCCCCAAATAGGGGGGTGCGGGGGGCGGGGGCCCCTCGGGGCTGCTGTCGGGGTAGTCCCGGGGCGGGGGGGGGATGCCGGGGGTCCCGGGGGGGGTCAGGGGGCGGTCCCAGCCCGCCCGGCCCCCCCCGTGCCAGCTCCTGGTAGAGCAGCCCCAGCTCAGGGGCGCCGGGGGGGGGCTCAGCGGGTGGGGGGGGCGGCGGGGGCGGCGGGGGGGGCACGGAGCCCCCTCCCCGCAGGTTGTTGTGCACCAGCTCTGAGATGATCATCTTCTCCAGCGCCGCCGCGTCCGGGGGGGCTCCCCCCGGGCAGCCCCCCCGGGCCGGGGCCGCCCCCCCCGGGCCCCCCCTCGGGGCCCCCCCGCAGGCTGTAGCTGTTGTTGAAGTTGCCGTTGAGGGGCAGCGGCTCCGGGGGCTCCCGGGGGGGCTCTGCGGGCATGGGGAGGGGGGTCAGTGTGGGGAGGGGGGTCTGGGGGGCATCGGAGGGGTCGTTGGTGACATTGGGGTGGGGGTTGGGGGTGTCTGGGGGGTTTCGGGGGATCTGAGGGGTCAGTGGTTGTGTCTGGGAGGTCACTGGTGGGCTTGGGGGGTCAATGTGGGTGTCTGGGGGGGGTCAGTGGGGGGCTTTGGTGAGTCTGGGGGGCATTGGAGAGGTCATTGGTGACCTTGGGAGGGGGTTTGGGGGGGTCTAGGGGGGGCTTGGGGAGGTCTGGAGGGTCATTGGGGTCTTGGGGCGGTCAGTGAGGGGATGTGGGTGGGTCAGTGGGGGGTCATTGGTTGTGTCTGGGGGGTCAGTGGGGGGATTGGAGGGTCAGTGGGGGGGTCTGTGGGGGTCAGTGGGGAGTTTGGGGAGGTCCAGAAGGGTCATTCTGTCGGGCTCAGGAGATACAGGGGGAGTTGGGGGTGCTATGAAAGGTTTGGGGGGTCAGTGGGGGGGGGGTCTGGGGGATTGGGGTGGGTTTGGGGGGTCAAATGGAGGCGCTTGGGGGGCATGGGGGGGTCATGGGGCAGCACTTACTGGCGTCACGGAAGCTCCCTGGGGACAGAGACAGCACTTAGGTGGGGTCCTGACCACCCCCAGACCCCCCAGTTCCCCCCCCCGGACCCCCAAATTTCCCCCTGGACCCCCCAATTCCCCAGCAGCCCCGTCACTCCTCAGCCAGGACATCTGGGGGGAATTTGGGGGTCCCGGGGGGCAGGACCCCCCCCCATCCCCCCTCTGTGGGGTTGTGGGGGAGTTTTTGGGGGGATCCAGGGGGCGTGCGGGGATTTTGAGGGGATCCAGGGGGTGTGGGGAGGATTTCTGGGGGATCGTGGGGGGAATTTTTGGGGGGATCCAGAAAATGTGTTGGGATTTTGGGGGACCATGGGGGGATCCAGGGGGTCGTGGGGGGATTTTGTGGGACCACCTCCCCCCTGGGGGCTGAACCAGGGTGTTGAGGGTGGGAGCACCCAGGACCCCCCCAGACACCCCCTGAACCCACCCGGGGGGCGTTGAGGAAGGATTTGGGTGTGGGGAGGTCCCAGGCGGTCCTAAGGGTTTGGGGGAAGTTTTGGGGGGTCGTGGCCCCCCTGTACCCACCTGGGGTGGTGAAGGCAGGGGGCGAGGCGGGGGTGAAGCCCCCCCCCTCGGCCAGGAGAGTGTTGTAGGGGCTGGACCCCCCCCGCGGCGGCAGCACCGGGTTGGGCAGGAGATGTGACCCTGCCGAAATTGGGGGGGGGGGGCATCACACATGGGGGGCTGGGGGGGTCCCAAAGGAATCCCTGAGGGGTTTTGGGGGTCTGAGGGGGGTCCCGGGGGAGACTCGGGGGTCTGAGGTGGATCTGAGGCATCTCAGGGGGTCTGGAAAAGGGTCCTGGGGGATCCCTGGGGGTCTGAGGGGCCCAGAGGGATCTGGGGTGTCCTGTGGGGGTTTTTGGGAGGGGTCTTCCTCCATTCAGGGTAGAGGATGGTCTCGGGGGTCTCTGGGGGTCTCTGGGGGTTTTTGGGGAGGGGTCTCACTCCATTCAGGGTAGGGGGGTGGTCTCTGGGGGTTTTGGGGAGGGGTTTTCCTCCATTCAGGGTAGAGGATGGTCTCGGGGGTCTCTGGGTGTCTCTGGGGGTCTCTGGGGGTTTTTGGGGAGGGGTCTCACTCCATTCAGGGTAGGGGGTGGTCTCTGGGGGTTTTGGGGAGGGGTCTCACTCCATTCAACGTAGGGGGATGGTCTCTGGGGGTTTTTGGGGAGGAGTCTCACTCCGTTCAGGGTGGAGGATGGTCTCGGGTGTCTCGGGGGTCTCTGGGGGTCTCTGGGGAGGGGTCTCACTCTGTTCAGGGTAGGGGGGTGGTCTCTGGGGGTTTTTGGGGAGGGGTCTCACTCTGTTCAGGGTAGGGGTGTAGTCTTAGGGGTCTCTGGGGGTCTTGGGAGTCTCTGGGGGTTTTTGGGGAGGGGTCTCACTCCGTTCAGGGTATAGGGGTGGTCTCTGGGGTTTTTGGGGAGGGTCTCACTCTGTTCAGGGTAGGGGGGTGGTCTCTGGGGTTTTTGGGGAGGGGTCTCACTCCATTCAGGGTAGGGGGGTGGTCTCTGGGGTTTTTGGGGAGCGCCTCACTCCATTCAGAGCAGGGGGGCTCTGAGGTGTTTTTGGGGTGTCTCACCTCGGTTCAAGGTTGGGGTGCTGTTCAGGTCCCCTCCCATAAAACTGGACTCTGTCTGTTTCCGGACCGTGTCATTCCACATCCTCCGGATCCGGCTCTGGGGGCACAGCAGTGGGACTGGGACCCCCAAAATCCCCCCAAAACCCCGCAGAGTGCCCCCGAGGTGTCCCCACACCCAACACCCTCAGCCTGGCGGGGTCTGAGAGAGCTTTTGGGTCCAGGGGGTTTTGGATTTGAGGGTCCGCAGGGATTTGAGGGTGCTGTGGGGAGGATCCTGGGTGTGGGGTGGGTTTGGGGGCTTTGGGCTTTTTTTGGGGGTGCGGGGTCATTTGGGGGGGGTGGGGGTCCCAACCTGGGTGCTGTTGTAGTGCTGGCCATGAGTTTGGGGGGTTATCTGGGGGGCTGTGCGGGGTCAGGGGGCTCTGAGGCGTCTGGGGTGTGTGTGGGACTGACAGGCAGGGCTGGAGTGATTGACAAGCGGCCTCTGTGATTGACAGGCAGGAATAAAAGTGATTGACAGGCAGGATCAGCCCCTCAGGGTGATTGACAGGATGATGAGGGGAGTGTGGCAGCCCCAAAATTTAAGTTGAGGGGGGAAAAGGGCAGGGAAAATTGGTGGGAAAAGTGTTTAAAACCTGAGGGGAAAAGGGTGGGAAAAGAGTGGGAAATGTGAGGGGAAAAGGGAAATATGAGGGGAAAGTGTGGGAAATGTGAAGGGAAATGGGAGGGAAATATGAGGGAGAAAAGGGCAGGAATAATGGATGGAAAATGTGAGGGGGAATAGAGCAGGAAATGGGAATAAGAGAAGAATATGTGCGGTTAAAAGGGTGGGAAACATCGGGGGGAAAAGGGTGAGAAATGTGAGGGGAAAAGGGTGAGAAATGTGAGGGGAAAAGGGTGGGAAATGGGAATAAGAGAAGAAAACGTGAGGGGGAAAATGGCAGGAAACATGAGGGAGAAACAGTGAGAAATGTGAGGGTAAAAGGGCTGAAAACCTGAGGCGGAAAAAAGGTAGGAAATGTAAGAGAAAAAGTGGCAGGAAATCTAAGGGGAGAAAAGGGTGGGAAAGGTAAGGGAAAAATGGCAGGAAATGTAACGGGAGAAAAAGGTAGGAAATGTGAGTGGAAAAAGGGTGGAAAATATGAGGGGGAAAATGGCGGAAAAAGTGAGGGGAGAAAAGGGTGGGAAAAGTGATGGGGAAAAGGGTGTGAAATGTGATTGGAATGGGATGGAAAATGTGAGGGGAAAAGGACAGGAAATGTGAGGGGGACAGCATTGGAAAAATGTCAGGGAAAAGGTGGGAAATGTGAGGACGAAAATGGTGGGAAAAGTGAGTGGAAATAGGGTGGGAAAAGTGATGGGGGAAATGGCGGGAAACGTGAGGGGAAAGGGATGGGAAATGTGAGGGGAAAATGGTGGGAAATGCGAGCGGAGAAAAGGGCGGGGAAAATGGATGGAAAATGTGAGGGGGAAAAGAGCCGGAAATGGGAATACGAGAAGGAAACATGCGGTGAAAAGGGTGGGAAACATGAGGGGGAAACAGTGAGAAATGTGAGGGGGAAAATGGGAAACATGAGGGGAAAAGTGTGGGAAATGTGAGGGGTAAAGGCTGGGAAATGTGAGGGGAAAAGGGAGAGAAACATGAGGGGAAAAGGGGTGGAAACCTGAGGGAGAAAAAGGGTGGGAAAGGTAAGGGAAAAAATGGGAGGAAATGTAAAGGAGAGAAAAAGGTGGGAAATGTGAATGGAAAAAGGTAGAAAATGTGAGGGAGAAGAAGATGGGGAAAGTGAGTGGAAAAAGGGTAGAAAATATGAGGGGAAAAGGGTGGGAAACATGAAGGAAAAAAGGGTGGGAAACCTGAGGGAGAAAAAGGGTGGGAAAGTTAAGGTAAAAAATGGCAGGAAATATAAATGGGGAGAAAAGGGTGGGAAAAGCGAGTGGAAATAAGGTAGAAAATGTGAGGGGGGAAATGGTGGGAAACATGAGGGGCGAAAAGGGTGGGAAAAGTGATGGGGTAAAGGGTGGGATATGTGAGGGGAAAATGCCAGGAAATGTGAAGGGAAAAGGGGGGAAATGTGAGGGGAGAAAAGGGCAGGAAAAATAGATGGAAAATGTGAGGGGGAAAAGAGCAGGAAATGGGAATAAGAGAAGGAAACATGCAGTGAAAAGGGTGGGAAACATGACGGGGAAACAGTGAGAAATGTGAGGGGGGAAAAGGGTGCGAAATGTGAGGGGAAAAGGGCTGAAAACCTGAGGGGGGAAAAAGGTGGGAAAGGTAAGAGAAAAAGTGGCAGGAAATGTAAGGGGAGAAACAGGCAGGAAAAATTAGTAGAAAAATGGTGGGAAATGTGAGGGGGAAAATGGCGGGAAACGTGAGGGTAGAAGAGGGCGGGGAAAGTGATGGGGAAAAGGGCGGGAAATGTGAGGGGTTTAGGGGGAAGTTTTTGGGGTGTTTTGGGATGCTTTTGGGGTGTTTCTGGGATGGTTTGGGATGGTTTTTGGGTGTTTTGGGGTGTTTCTGGGATGGTTTGGGATGGTTTTTGGGTGTTTTGGGGTGTTTCTGGGGTGGTTTTGGGGTGTTTTGTGGTTTTTTTGGGGTGTTTCGGCGTCCACACCTGCGTGCCACTGTAGTACCGGGGGTGGGCGCGGGCGGCCGAGGGTTTGAGGGCGCCCAGGGAGGTGCCAGGGGGGCCCCTGAGGCAGCAGCCGGAGTGCCGCAGGCACTTGCTGAGCTCCCGGTGCACCTGCCGAGCACAGCGGTGACACCGGTGACACACCAGTGACACACCAGTGACACACCAGTGACACCGGTGACACACCGGTGACACACCAGTGACACCAGTGACACCCAGTAACACTCAGTGACACCGGTGACTCACCGGTGACACCCAGTAACACCCAGTAACACACCAGTAACACCAGTTACACACCGGCAACACCAGTGACTCACCAGTGACACACCAGTAACACCAGTAAAACACCAGTCACACCAGTAACACACTAGTAACACCAGTAATGCACCATTGACACACCACTGACACCAGTGACACCCAGTAACACACCAATAACACCAGTAATATATCAGGACACCAGTAACACTCAGTAACACACCAGTTTACCCCAGTAACACCTAGTAACACCCCAGTAACACACCAGTTCACCCCAGTAACCCCCGAACGACCCCCAGAAACCTCCCAGTCCCTCCCAGTGCTCCCAGTGCCTCCCAGTGCTCCCAGTTCCCTCCCAGTGCTCCCAGTCCCTCTCAGTTCCCTCCCAGTGCTCCAAGTGCTCCCAGCCCCTCTCAGTGCTCCCAGTCCCCTCCCAGTGCTCCCAGTGCCCCCAGCACCTTCTTCTGGAGGGCGCAGTGGAAGAGGAAGATGAAGGTGCCCTGCAGGGCGTTGCAGGCCGTGAACAGCGACGCCGTCAGGACGGACTCGCGGGTGACGAAGAGGAGGCCGAAGGCCCAGGTCAGCCCCAGCAGCAGCAGCAGCGCGATGGCCCCCAGCGCCCAGGACCTGCGGCAGCCGCGCAGCGGGGCACTGGGACGGACTGGGACGGACTGGGATGGGACTGGGGGGGACTGGGATGGGATTGGGAGACACTGGGAGGGACTGAGATGGACTGAGATGGACTGGGATGGACTGGGATGGACTGGGGAGCACTGGAAGGGGAGTGGGGAGCGGTGGGGCACCCAGAGGTCCTGAATGAAGGGACTGGGATTGACTGGGATGGACTGGGGAGCACTGGAAGGGGAGTGGGGAGCGGTGGGGCACCCAGAGGTCCTGAATGAAGGGACTGGGATTGACTGGGATGGACTGGGATGGACTGGGTTGGACTGGGATGGACTGGGTTGGACTGGGATGGACTGGGTTGGACTGGGATGGACTGGGTTGGACTGGGACGGACTGGGATGGACTGGGATGGTACTTGAGTGCATTGGAAAGGGACTGGGAGCAAATGGAAAGGACTGGAGGCTACTGGAAGATACTGGGGGGACACTGGGAGGGTACTGGGAGGGACTGGGAGAGCACTGAAGGGCAGTGGGAAGAACTGGGAGGGACTGGGAGGGACTGGGATCCCCAGCACCCAGGAGCAGCAGTTCCACAGGGGCCGGGCCCCGTTTTGGGGTCCCATTTGGGGTTCCCCATTTGGGGTTCTCCTGTGGGGTCTCATTTGGGGTTCCCCATTTGGTGTCTGGTTTGGGGTTCCCCTTTGGGGTCCCACCTGGGGCTCGCCCTGTTGGGTCCCATTTGGGGTTCTGCATTTGGGGTCCCATTTGAGGTTCTCCATTTGGGGTCCTGTTTGGGGCTTCCTCTGTGGGGTCCGGTTTGGGGTCCCCCTGTGGGGTCCCGTTTGGGGTTCCCCATTTGGAGTTGGGTTTGGGGGTCCCCCTGTGGGGTCCTGTTTGGAGTTCCCCTTTTGGGGTCGGGTTTGGGGTCCCCCTGTGAGGTCGGGTTTGGGGTCCCCATTTCAGGTCGGGTTTGGGGTCCCCATTTCAGGTCGGGTTTGGGGTTCCCCGTTTGGGGTCGGGTTTGGGGTTCCCCATTTGGGGTCGGGTTTGGGGTCCCCATTTCAGGTCGGGTTTGGGGTTCCCCGTTTGGGGTCGGGTTTGGGGTTCCCCATTTGGGGTCGGGTTTGGGGTCCCCATTTCAGGTCGGGTTTGGGGTTCCCCGTTTGGGGTCGGGTTTGGGGTTCCCCATTTGGGGTCGGGTTTGGGGTCCCCATTTCAGGTCGGGTTTGGGGTCCCCCTGGGGGGTCCTGTTTGGGGTTCCCCATTTCAGGTCGGGTTTGGGGTCCCCGTTTGGGGTCCCACCTGATGCTGTCCAGGCGGCTGGAGTCGGGTTTGAGGGCGGCCGAGCTGCGCAGCATCTTGTGCAGGGTGACCAGCAGGAACACCAGCGTCACCTGCGGGCCAGGTGAGACACGGGGACAGGTGAGACACAGGGACAGGTGAGACATGGCGACAGGTGGGACACGGGCACAGGTGGGACACGGGCACAGGTGAGACATGGGGACAGGTGAGACACGGGCACAGGTGAGACACGGGGACAGGTGAGACACAGGGACAGGTGAGACACGGGCACAGGTGGGACACAGGCACAGGTGAGACACGGGCACAGGTGAGACATGGGGACAGGTGAGACACGGGCACAGGTGAGACACAGGGACAGGTGAGACACGGGGGCACAGGTGAGACACAGGGACAGGTGAGACATGGGGGGACAGGTGAGACACAGGGAGACCCCAGACCCACTGTGGGACCCACCCTCAGACACAGAGACCCCACACCCACTGCAGGGCCCCACAGCTGCCCCATAGCATGATCCCCACAGCCCTGGGGTTGCCCCAGCCCACAGATGAGGATGAGGATGAGGATGAGGATGAGGATGAGGATGAGGATGAGGATGAGGATGAGGATGAGGGTGAGGGTGAGGATGAGGAGGGTCCATCCCCAGCCCCCCAAGCCCCCCAGCCCCCCAAGCCCGGCCGTACGAGGATGACGAAGGCCACGGGCCCGATGAAGCTCCAGATGAAATAATTGTCCACCCGCAGCCAGCACCTGCCGGGGGTGGGGCGGCGTCAGGACACGCCCACCCCGCAAGGACACGCCCTCTCAGACCCCACCCCCACTGACAAAGCCCCTCCCCCAGAGCCTCCATCCACACCTGGTGAGTCCCAAACAGCACCTGTGGCCCCACCCCCCTTCAGGAGACGCCCTCAGCCCGTCCATTCACACCTGGGCACTGCCAGTTTGGGAAGCTGCAGTGCCAACTACGCCCCGGACACACCCCGGTCACGCCCTGGTCACACACTGGCCATTCCCTGGTCATTCCCTGGCCACGCCCTGGCCACACCCTGGTCACACCCTGACTGCACCCGGGTCATATGCTGGGCACACCCTGGTCCCACCCCGGCCACACCCCAGCCACACCCTGGTCACACCCTGGCCATTCCCTGGCCACGCCCTGGCCACACCCTGGCCATGCACTGGCCACACCCCGGCCACACCCTGGTCACACCCTGGCCACACCCTGGTCACACTCCGGTCACACCCTGGCCATGCCCTGGCCACACCCTGGCCACACCCTGGCCATGTCACACCCTGGTCACACCCTGGTCACAGCTCGGCCACACCCAGCCCCACCCATCCCGGTCCCGGCCCCACCCAGCCCCTCCCAGCCCCGCCCAGCCCCACCCATCCCATTCTGGCCCCCCCAGCCCCACCCATCCCCACCCATCCCCACCCAGCCCCACCCATCCCATTCTGGCCCCTCCCAGCCCCACCCATCCCATTCTGGCCCCTCCCAGCCCCTCCCAGCCCCATCCAGCCCCACCCATCCCATTCTGGCCCCTCCCAGCCACACCCAGCCCCACCCATCCCGGTCCCGGCCCCTCCCAGCCCCACCCAGCCACACCCAGCCCCACCCATCCCATTCTGGCCCCACCCAGCCCCACCCAGCCCCACCCAGCCCCACCCATCCCAGTCCCGGCCCCACCCAGCCCCACCCGGCCCTCCCACGCCGCTCACGCCTGGTCGGTGCCGTAGCTGCGGTGGTCGACGGCGGCGGCCACGGCCACGACGACGGCGGGGAAGCAGTACCCCCCCGCGTAGTAGTACTTGCGGCGCGCGGGGTCACTGTCAAACACCTCGAGCAGCAGCAGGTACAGGTGAACCCCCTCCAGGCACAGCCACGAGAACGACGCCAGGAAGAAATAGTGCAGCAGCCCCGCGAAGATGGGACAGGCCACCTGCGGGGACAGCGTGGGGACAGCGTGGGGACACGGACTGTGCAAAGGTGGGACAGGGACAGGGACAGTGTGGGGACAGCGTGGGGACACGGACTGTGCAAAGGTGGGACAGGGACAAGGACAGCGTGGGGACAGCGTGGGGACACGGACTGTGCAAAGGTGGGACAGGCCACCTGCGGGGACAGCGTGGGGACAGCGTGGGGACAGGGACTGAGCAAAGATGGGACAGGGACAGGGACAGCGTGGGGACAGCGTGGGGACAGCGTGGGGACAGGGACTGAGCAAAGGTGGGACAGGGACAGGGACAGGGACAGGGACCACCCAAAGATGGAACAGGGAGCACCCAAAGGTGGCACAGGCCAGCTGTGGGGATGGGGACACTGTGGGACAGTGGGGAGCACCCAAAGACAGGACAAGTACACCTGCAGTGACAGCGGGTGAGGGACAGGGATGGGGACAGGGACGGGGACAGGGACAGGGACAGCAAGAGGGGAGCTATGGGTGGTTCCATAGGGGTCCCAGGTGTCCCAGGTGTGCCGTGGGGTGTCCCAGGTGTGCCAGGGGCAGTCCCAGGTTTGCCAGGGGCAGTCCCAGGTGTGCCAAGGGCAGTCCCAGGTGTGCCAGGGCAGCCCCAGGTGTGCCAGGCAGGGTCCCTCAAAGGGTCCCAGGTGTGCCAGGGCAGCCCCAGGCGTGCCCGCCCCACCTGGTACTGCGTCTTGTCGATGCCGACGAGGAAGAGGAGCTCGGCGAGGAAGAGGCTGATGCAGAGGTTCTTGTGGATGGTGGTGCGCTCCGAGGGCAGCCCCCGCAGGCAGCAGAAGGCCGAGATGGACAGGCCCAGGCACAGCAGGGCCACCAGGATCCCCGCCCAGGTGATCACCGACAGCAGCACCTCGTTCAGCCGCCCCGGGAACTGGGGAAAATGGGGAAAAATGGGAAAAATGGAAATTTGGGGTTATGGGATCCAGTCATGGGCATGGGCGGGGACAGGGGCCACCAGGATGGGACAGGGGCCACCAGGATCCCTGCCCAGGTGATCACCGACAGCAGCACCTCGTTCAGCCGCCCCGGGAACTGCGGGAACGGGCGGAAAATGGGAAAAAATGGGGGGAAAATGGAAATTTGGGTTTATGAGATCCAGTCATGGGCATGGGCAGAGACAGGGGCCACCAGGAGGGGACAGGGACCACCAGGATCCCCGCCCAGGTGACCCCAGGTGTGCTGCAGCTGTCTCGGGTGTGCCCAGGTGAATCTCGGCCATCAGCAGGGTGAGGTTGGTCAGGTATTACCAGGTATGTGTGGGTGTGTGCCCAGGTGTGCCCAGGTGTGCCCACCAATGCCCAGGTGTGCCCAGTGTACCAGGTGTACCCAGGTGTGCCCAGGTGTTTTCCTAGCCATGCCCAGGTGTGTGCCCAGGTGTACCCAGGTGTGCCCAGGTGTGTTCCTAGCCATGCCCAGGTATGTGCCCAGGTGTGTACCCAGGTGTGTACTCAGGTGTGTACCCAGGTATGCCCAGGTGTGTGCCCAGGTGTGCCCAGGTGTGCCCAGGTATGCCCAGGTGTGTGCCCAGGTATGCCCAGGTGTGCCCAGGTGTGTGCCCAGGTGTGCCCAGGTGTGCCCAGGTGTGCCCAGTGTACCAGGTGTACCCAGGTGTGCCCAGGTGTGTTCCTAGCCATGCCCAGGTGTGCCCAGGTGTGCCCAGGTGTGTGCCCAGGTGTGTGCCCAGGTGTGTCCAGGTGTGTGCCCAGGTGTGCCCAGGTGTGTGCCCAGGTGTGCCCAGGTGTGCCCAGCTGTGCCACTCACGCTCTGGCTGCGCGCCATCAGCAGGGCGAAGTTGGTGAGGTGGCTGCAGGCGCAGGAGCTGTGGGTGTGTGTGCCCAGGTGTGTGCCCAGGTATGCCCAGGTGTGCCCAGGTGTGTGCCCAGGTGTGTGCCCAGGTGTGTCCAGGTGTGCCCAGGTGTGCCCAGGTGTGCCACTCACGCTCTGGCTGCGCGCCATCAGCAGGGCGAAGTTGGTGAGGTGGCTGCAGGCGCAGGAGCTGTGGGTGCCGTTGGAGCGCAGCAGGCGGCAGCCCTGGCTCGACCAGTGCCCGGCCATGGAGCGCTCCGAGTAATTCCAGAAGGAGCAGTTGGCACCAAAGTGGTTCTTGGTCTGGGGAATAATGGGGGGAAATCGGGAAAATCGGAGAAATTGGTGAAAATAAGCAGGGAAAATCAGGGAAATGGGGGTCCCAAAGAGAGGGGGGGACCCCCAATCCCAGTAATTCCAGAAGGAGCCGTTGGCAGCAAAGTGGTTCTTGGTCTGGGGAATAATGGGGGGAAATCAGGGAAAATCGGGGAAAATAATCAGGGAAAATCTTGGAAAATAATAGGGGAAAATAAGGGAAAATTGGGGGAAATAATCAGGGAAAATTGGGGAAAAGAATCAGAGAAATGAGGGGAAATTGGGAATAATCAGGGAAAATAATAGGGGAAAATAAAGGAAAATTGGGGGAAATAATCAGGGAAAATTGGGAAAAAGAATCAGAGAAATGGAGGGAAATCGGGAAAAATCAGGGAAAATAATCAGGGAAAGGGGGGAAAATCATCAGGGAAAATCGGGGAAAATTGGGGAATATAATCAGGGAAAATCCGGGAAAATAATAGGGGAAAATAAGGGAAAATTGGGGGAAATAATCAGGGAAAATTGGGGAAAACAATCAGAGAAATGGGGGGAAATTGGGAAAAATCAGGGAAAATAATCAGGGAAATGGGGGAAAATCATCAGGGAAAATTGGGGAATATAATCAGGGAAAATTGGGGAAAATAATAGAGGAAAATAAGGGAAAATTGGGGTAAATAATCAGGGAAAATTGGGGAAAAGAATCAGAGAAATGGGGGGAAATCAGGAAAAATCAGGGAAAATAATCAGGGAAATGGGGGAAATCATCAGGGAAAATTGGGGAAAATTGGGGAATATAATCAGGGAAAATTGGGGAAAATAATCAGGGAAATGGGGGCAAATTGGGGTTCCAGGGGGTCCCAAAGAGAGGGGGGGCCCAATCTCCCCTCTCAGCCTTTGGTCCCCAAGTGGTTCTTGGTCTGGGGGTCTGGGTGGGAAATGAGGGGTCCCAGGCCGGGGTTTGGGGCTCTGGGTGGGATTTTGGGGGGTGCTGGGAGGGTTCCCTGGCCCTGGGTGTGTCCTGAGGGGTCTGGGGGGATTGTGGGGGTCCCACCTGGAGTGGGGGCAGGGTGAAGACCTCAAGGTGGGTCCTGGTGAAGTTTTGGATGTGTCAAAACATTCAGATTTGGGGATTTGGGGTTTCTGGGTGCAGTTTTGAGGGTCCCAGGGCAGTTTTGGGGTTCTGGGTGAGGTTTTTTGAGTTCTGGGTGGATTTTATGGGTTCTGGGTGGGTTTTTTAGGATCTGGGTGGGGTTTTGGGGGTTCCGGTTGGGTTTTCGGGCTTGTGGGTGGAGTTTTGGGTTCTGGGTGGGGTTTTCGGGGTTCTGGGTGGGGTTTTTGGGGTTCTGGGGGGTTTTTTTTTGGGTTCTGGGTGGGGTTTGGGGGGTTCCGGGTGGGTTTTTGGGCTTGTGGGTGGAGTTTTGGGGTTCTGGGTGGGTTTTCGGGATTCTGGGTGGGGTTTTCAGGTTTCTGGGTGGGGTTTTTGGGGTTCTGGGTGGGGTTTTCAGGTTTCTGGGTGGGTTTTTGGGGTTCAGGGTGGGGTTTTCAGGTTTCTGGGTGGAGTTTTGGGGTCCTGGGTGGGTTTTTGGGGTTCTGGGTGGGTTTTTGGGGTTCTGGGTGGAGTTTTCAGGTTTCTGGGTGTGTTTTTGGGGTTCAGGGTGGGGTTTTCAGGTTTCTGGGTGGGGTTTTTGGGGCTCTGGGTGTGTTTTTGGGGTTCAGGGTGGGGTTTTGGGGGTCGCACCTCCAGGTGGGGCAGGGTGAAGACCACGGGGTCCCGCAGGAAGACCCTGCTGGACTCTTTGTTGATGGAGGCGGCGATGACCTGGGAGTTGACCACGAGCTGGGGGGCGCGGGGCCCCCCGTCCCCCCCGAGGCGCACGGTGGCGTTCTCGGTGGGCAGGAACAGCCCCAGGTTGTTGTAGAGGATGAAGACGACCTTCACCACCCCTGGGGAGAGAGAGCGGGCGTGAAAACACCCCAAAAACCCCAGACACACCTTCACCAGCCTTGGGGAGATGGAGGGTGAGAGACACCCCAAAAAAACCACCAAAAACACCCCCAAAACACCCCAAAGACACCCAGACTCCATTCACCACCCCTGGGGAGACAGCGGGACAGAAACACCCCAAAAACACCCCAAAAATACCCCCAAAAACACCCCCAAAACCACTCTAAAAACATCCCCCAAAACCCCCAAGACATCCCAAAGACACCCCAAAGACACCCAGACCCCCTTCACCACCCCTGGGGAGAGAGAGCGGGTGTGAAAACACCCCAAAAACCCCAGACACACCTTCACAAGCCCTGGGGAGATGGAGGGTGAGAGACACCCAAAAAACATACAAAAAACAGCCAAAACCACCCCCCAAACCACCCAGAAACACCACAAAAACACCCCCAAAAGCACCCTTAAAACACCCCAAGAAACCCCAAAAACACCCCAAAAATACCAAAAGACACCCAGATCCTCTTCACCACCCTTGGGGAGGCAATGGGTCAGAGACACCCAAAAAAAACCCCTAAAAACACCCCCAAAACCCCCCAAGACATCCCAAAGACACCCCAAAAATACCCCAAAGACACCCAGACCCCCTTCACCACCCCTGGGTAGATGGAGGGTGAGAGACACCTCAAAAAAAACCCCCAAAAATTCCCCAAAACCACTCTGACCTCCCCTTCACCACCCCTGGGGAGTCAGCAGGTCAGAGACACCCCAAAAACACCCTAAAAACACTCCAAGACACCCCAAAAACACCCCAGTGACACCCCAAAAACACCCCAGAGACACCCCAACCCCACCCAGACCCCCTTCACCACCCCGGGGGCGCCATGGGTCAGAGACCCCCCCCCCCCCACCGTTCCTGCTGCTCTGAGGGTGCCCCCAGGACCCCCAAAACCTCCCCAAACCCCCCGAAACTTCCCCAGACCCCACAGCGTGCCCCCCATTCCTGCTGTTCTATTTGGGGGTGCTCTGGGTACCCCAATTCCCCCAAGCCCCCCAAACCCCCCAGGACCCCCAGACCCCCAAACGTGCCCCCTCACCATTCCTGCTGTTCTGTTTGGGGGTGCTCTGGGTACCCCAAACCCCCCAAACCCCCCAGGACCCCCCCAGACCCCCAAATGTGCCCCCCTCACCATTCCTGCTGTTCTGTTTGGGGGTGCTCTGGGTACCCCAATTCCCCCAAACTCCCCCAAGCCCCCCAGGACCCCCCCAGACCCCCAAACGTGCCCCCCTCACCATTCTTGCTGTTCTGTTGGGGGGTGCTCTGGGTACCCCAATTCCCCCAAGCCCCCCAAACCCCCCAGAGCCCCCAGACCCCCCAGGACCCCCCCAGAGCCCCAAACGTGCCCCCCTCACCATTCCTGCTCTGGGTACCCCAATTCCCCCAAACTCCCCCAAACCCCCCAGGACCCCCAGACCCCCAGACGTGCCCCCCTCACCGTTCCTGCTGTTCTGTTTGAGGGTGCTGGCCGAGAGCTGGATGGAGCCGTCGCCCCCCAGCTCCTGAGGGAACACGAGCTCCTGGAGCGGCCCCTCGGTGTTGAGCACCGACACCTCCAGCACTGAGGGAAAACGGGGAAAAACACGGAAAAAATGGGAAAAATGGGGAAAAATGGAAAATATGGAGAACCGTGGGAGGGGTCAGAGGAGACCCTCAGTGTCCCGGGGATGATTGGGTAGTTGGGATTTGGGAATTTGGGATTGGAGATTTAGGATTGGGAATTTGGCATTTTGGATAGGGAATTGGGATTGGATTGGGACATTGGGATGTTGGGATATTGGGATATTGGGATATTGGGATGTTGGGACATTGGGATATTGGGGTATTGGGATACTGGGAAATTGGGACATTGGGATTTTGGGACATTGGGGTATTGGGACATTGGGATGTTGGGACATTGGGATATCGGGATATTGGGATATTGGGACATTGGGATATTGGGACATTGGGACATTGGGATGTTGAGACATTGAGATATTTGGATATTGTGACATTGGGACAATGGGACATTGGGACATTGGAATACTGGGACATTGGGACATTGGGATATCGGGATATCAGGACATTGGGATATTGGGATGTTGGGACATTGGGATGTTGGGACATTGGGATACTGGGATGTTGGGACATTGGGACATTGGGATATCGGGATATCGGGATATTGGGACATTGGGACATTGGGATATTGGGACATTGGGACATTGGGACATTGGGACATTGGGATATTGGGATATTGGGATATTGGGACATTGGGACATTGGGATATTGGGACGTTGGGACGTTGGGACATTGGGACATTGGGATGTTGGGACATTGGGATATTGGGACATTGGGATATTGGGACATTGGGTTATTGGGACATTGGGATATTGGGATATTGGGACATTGGGACAATGGGACATTGGGACATTGGGACGTTGGGATGTTGGGATGGTCAGGATATTGGGATATTTAGATATTGGGACACCGGGGTCCCTTGCAGGCTGCAGGGACGGCAAGGTGGGGACAGGGTGGGCAGCGGGGCCCCGTGGGGACCCCAGGAAGGGCTTGGGACTGGGAGGAGCCGCCGGGGTCTGGGCGGGGGTCCCGGGGGGCTGACCCAGGTTCTGCCGGGCGGCCAGGAAGCGCGCGGGCTCCTTGACGTTGTCCGCCAGCAGGAAGGCGCCCTCCTCCAGCACGTCCAGCAGCATGGTGGCCGTGTGCGCCTGCTCCGAGCCGTTCATGTCCCGCCACGACTCCAGCGCCTCCGGGCGCAGCAGGTTATCCACGGCCTCCACCACGGCCTGCGGGACGGGCGGGGTGGGTGGGGTGCGGACATGCCCGGGGACACGCCCAGGGACACACCCGGGGACACGCCTGGGGACACACCCACGGACACACACACAGACACGCCCAGGGACACGCCCAGGGACACGCCTGGGGACACACCCAACTCCTAGAGCTTCCACCAAAGCTTATGGGGTGGGTGGGGGTGGGCGCAGATGTGACACACCCAGGGACACGCCCAAGGGACACGCCCAGGGACACGCCCAGGGACACGCCCAGGGACACACCCAGGGACACGCCCAGGGACAGGCCCAGGGACACACCCACTGACACACCCACAGACACACCCAGGGACATACCCACGGACATACCCAGGGACACACCCAGGGACACGCCCAGGGACACACCCACGGACACACCCAGGGACATGCCCAGGGACACACCTAACCCCCATGGCCTCCACCATGGTCTGCATGATGGGTGAGGTGGGTGGGGCTGGGACACACCTGGGACACGCCCAAGGGACACACCCAGGGACACACTGAAGGGCCAGGCCCAGAGACACGCCCCGGGGCACACCCAAATGACATGCCCAAACAGACGTGCCCAGAGGGACACGCCCAAATGCAACGTCCAACCAGGACAGGCCCCACCCACTGATGTCCATCCCCCAGGTCTCCTGCACTGCCTGGGTGCAGCCATGTCCAACCCCAGGGACACGCCCACCCCCTCAGACCACGCCCATGGGACATGCCCACCCAGACCACACCTGTGGGACACACCCACCCAGACCACACCCATGGGACACGCCCACCCAGTCAGACCACGCCCATGGGACACACCCACCCAGACCATGCCCATGGGACACGCCCACTCAGACCAAACCTGTGGGACACACCCACCCAGACCATGCCCATGGGACACGCCCACACAGACCACATCCATGGGACACACCCACCCAGTCAGACCACACCCATGGGACACGCCCACCCAGTCAGACCACGCCCACCCAGACCATGCCCATGGGACATGCCCACCCAGACCACACCCATGGGACACGCCCAACCAAACGGACCACACCTATGGGACACGCCCCCCCAGTCAGACCACACCCATGGGACACGCCCACCCAGACCACGCCCATGGGACACGCCCCTGCAGGCTGCACCCACTGTCTCTAAGTCCCACCCAGCACAAAACCTCCCTAAATCCCCAGACCACGCTCATCTCCCAAAGCCCCGCCCACCTCTCATCTCCCCAAAGCCACGCCCATGCAGACCCCACCCCTCCTTAATAAGCCCCGCCCACCAACCCAGGCCCCGCCCATTCCATGGCCCCACCCTGGACACGCCCACCCACTCAAGCCCCACCCCCACCCTGACCACACCCACACAAGCCCCTCCCATTGCTCACGGCCACGCCCCTCGCAGGCCACGCCCCCTCACCTTGATGTAATCCTTGCAGGTTCGCTCCCGCTTGTGCATCTGGGGGGCAATAAAAGAGGGGAGGTGAGGGGTGGGACCCCAAAACCCACAACAGGATCCTCCCAAAATCTGGGAAATCGCCCCAAAATCTGGGGCAGAACAACCCCAACATTTGGGGCAGAACAACCCCAACATCTGGGGCAGAACAACCCCAAAATCTGGGGCAGAACAACTCCAAAATCTGGGGCAGAACAACCCCAAAATCTGGGGCAGAACAACCCAAAATCTGGGGCAGAACAACCCAAAAATCTGAGGCAGGACAATCCCAAAATCTGGGGCAGAACAACCCCAAAATCTGGGGCAGAAGAACCCCAAAATCTGAGGCAGAACAATCCCAAAATCTGGGGCAGAACAACCCCAAAATCTGGGGCAGAAGAACCCCAAAATCTGGGGCAGAACAGCCCCAACATTTGGGGCGGAACAACCCCAAAATCTGAGCAGAACAGCCCCAACATTTGGGGCAGAACAACCTCAAAATCTGGGGCAGAACAACCCCAAAATCTAAAACAGGACTCCCAAATGCGGGACAGGAGAAGGGTCCGACACGGGGACCCCAAAAATCTGGGCAGGAGCACCCAAAAATTCGGGGCAGGACGTGTTTGATCCCTAGAGAAGGAGCACCCCAAAATTCGGGGCAGGACAACCCCTGACATTCAGGACAGAGCCCCAGAAATCGGCCAAACCCCTGAAAAATCGGGTTTAGGTTCTGGAGCAGGGGCACCCCAAAATGGGACACAGGCACGAGCTCCCCCCGGTCACCCAACCCCCCATAGGGTGACCCCAAAATCGGCATTTTGGGGTCCCACCTTGTCCCAGTTGTTGCTGCTTTTGGCGCTCAAAGATCCCAAACTTTTTTTTCTTATTAAAAAATCGCTATAATATTAACGAAAAACCCCAACTCTCCCTAAAAAAACTAAAAATACAAAAAACTACTCTAAAAATTATAAACTAACTAAAATTTTTAATTCTGTTTTTTACATTATCAGTAAAAAAAATATTCAAAAACTAGTTGAAAATTTTTATTCTAATTCTTATTACTCTTTCTTTTAATTACTCTTAATAAAATTTTCCTTATACCTTTTTAAAGTTTTAAACCTACTTTACCATATTGCTAATCCTACCTCACAACAAAAAATCAATGCTAATAATTATTACTAGTAGCATATTATTAGTAGTATTAGTATATTAATATATATTAGTATATTAGTATATTAATATGTTAGTATATTAGTTAAAGTATATTACTATGTTATTAGTAGTAATATTAGTAAAAAAATAATTTACTATAACTCTTAATTATAATCATTATATAATAACAATAACAACAATAACAATAACAATAGTAGTAATAATAACAATAATATCAATAATAATAATAATAATAATAATAATAATAATAATAATAATAATAATAATAATAATAATGTAAAAGAACTATTTAATGTATTATATATGGGGTTTTGGGGTCACACATGTTCCTCCTGTCCCCCCAAGATCCTGAACCCCAAATTTGGGGTTTGGGGTCACACCTCTTCCTCCTGTCCCCCCAACGTCCTGAACCCCAAATTTGGGGTTTGGGATCATAATTGTTCCTCCTGTCCCTCCAACATCCTGAACCCCAAATTTGGGTTTTGGAGTCATACCTGTTTCCCCTGTCCCCCCAGTGTCCTGAACCCCAAATTTGGGGTTTGGGGTCACACCTGTTCCTCCTGTCCGCCCAACGTCCTGAACCCCAAATTTGGGGGTTGGGGTCACATCTGTTCCTCCTGTCCCCCCAACGTCCTGAACCCCAAATTTGGGGTTTGGGATCATACCTGTTCCTCCTGTCCCCCCAACATCCTGCACCCCAAATTTGGGGTTTGGGATCATACCTGTTCCTCCTGTCCCCCCAACATCCTGCACCCCAAATTTGGGGTTTGGGGTCACACTTTGCTGTAGTTTTCCCCTCTCGAGTGGGCGCAGCGCCTGCAGCCGCACACCCAGAGCGTGCCAGCGCCGTGTCCCCACTGTCCCCTGCCTGTCCCCTGTGCCCCCAACATCCCGCACCCCAAATTTGGGGTTTGGGGTCACACCTGCTCCTCCTGTCCCCCCAACATCCCGCCCCCCAAATCTGGGGTTTGGGGTCACACTTTGCTGTAGTTTTTCCCTCTCGAGCGGGCGCGGTGCCTGCAGCCGCGCACCGGGGACTCACCACCACCATGTCCCCATCGCTCCCTGACTGCCCCCTTGCCCCCAACATCCTGCACCCCAAATTCGGGGTTTGGGGTCACACCTTTTCCTCCTGTTCGTCCAACGTCCTGAACCACAAATTTGGGGTTTTGGGGTCACACCTGTTCCTCCTGTTCCCCCAACATCCCGCACCCCAAATTTCGATTTTGGGGTCACACCTGTTCCTCCTGTCCCCCCAACGTCCTGAACCCCAAATTTGGGGTTTGGGGTCACACTTTGCTGTAGTTTTTCCCCCTTGAGCGGGCGCAGCGCCTGCAGCCGCACACCTGGGACTCGCCGTGTCCCCATCGCTCCCTGCCTGCCCCCTGTCCCCGCAACATCCCGCACCCCAAATCTGGGGTTTGGGGTCACACCTGTTCCTCCTGTCCCCCCAACGTCCTGAACCCCAAATTTGGGGTTTGGGATCATAATTGTTCCTCCTGTCCCTCCAACATCCTGAACCCCAAATTTGGGGTTTGGGATCATAATTGTTCTTCCTGTCCCCCAATGTCCTGAACCCCAAATTTGGGGTTTGGGGTCACACCTGTTCCTCCTGTCCCCCCAACATCCCGCACCCCAAATTTGGGGTTTGGGGTCACACTTTGCTGTAGTTTTTCCCTCTCGAGCGGGCGCAGCGCCTGCAGCCGCTCACCCGGGACTTGCCACCACCATGTCCCCATTGCTCCCTGCCCGCCCCCGGTGCCCCCAACGTCCTGCACCCCAAATCTGGGTTTTGGGGTCACACCTGTTCCTCCTGTCCCCACAATGTCCTGCACCCCAAATTTGGGGTTTGGGGTCACACTTTGCTGTAGTTTTTCCCTCTCCAGCGGGCGCAGCGCCTGCAGCCGCACACCCAGAGCGTGCCAGCGCCGTGTCCCCACTGTCCCCTGTCCCCCCAACATCCCGCCCCCCAAATTTGGGTTTTGGGGGCGCACCTTGTTGTAGTTTTTCCCCGCGGACTCCCTCTCGAGCGGGCGCAGCGCCTGCAGCTGCGCGTCCAGGATGTCCAGGAGCTGCTCCAGCAGCCGCACGGCCGAGCTGACGTCGCCGGCGAACACCGGGCCCCGCGTGTGCCGCGCCAGCTCCCCCGCGATCGCCGCCGCGTTCTCCCCGCTCTTGATCTGGGGGGCACCGCGCCTCAGGGGGGTCCCCGACATCCCCAGGGGGTCACAGGGGGTCTGGGGGCTCCCCAATATTCTCCAGGGGGTCACAGGGGTCTGGGGGGCTCCCCAATATTCTCCAAGGGGTCTGGGGGGGTTACAGGGGGTCTGGGGAGGTTACAGAGGGTCTGGGGGCTCCCCAATATCCCCCAGGGGGTCACAGGGGGTCTGGGGGCTCCCCAATATCCCCCAGGGGGTCGCAGGGGGTCTGGGGGCTCCCCAATATTCTCCAGGGGTTTGGGGGTTCTGGGGGACACCTACGGGTCAGTGGGGGGGGAGGTCCCCAATATCCCCCAGGGGTTTGAGGGTCTGGGGAGGTTACAGGGGGTCTGGAGGCTCCCCAATATCCCCCTGGGGGTCACAGGGGGTCTGGGGAGGTCACAGGGGGTCTGGGGGCCCCCCGATATTCCCCAGGGGGTCTGGGGAGGTCACAGGGGGTCTGGGGACTCCCCGATATTCTCCAGGGGCTTGGGGGTCTGGGGGACACCTGTGGGTCAGTGAGGGGGCGGGTGCCCAATATCCCCCAGGGGTCACAGGGGGTCTGGGGAGGTCACAGAGGGTCTGGGGGCTCCCCAATATCCCCCAGGGGGTCACAGGGGGTCTGGGGGGTTCCCCGATATTCCCCCGGGGGTCTGGGAGGGTTACAGGGGGTCTGGGGGCTCCCCAATATCCCCCAGGGGGTTACAGGGGGTCTGGGGGGTTCCCCGACATCCCCAGGGGATCACAGGGGGTCTGGGGGCTCCCCAATATCCCCCTGGGGGTCACAGGGGGTCTGGGGGCTCCCCGATATTCCCCAGGGGTTCGGAGGTTCTGGGGGCACCCACAGGTCAGTGGGGGGAACCCCCGATATCCCCCAGGGGAGTTGGGGTCCCCCTGAGCCTCCCCTGTGGGGTGGGGATGCTCTGAGGGGTTTGGAGGATTTCTGTTTAGGGGTGTCCCCATTTCTGAGAGGGGGGTCCCAGTTTTTGGGGATTTCTGTTTCGGGGTGCCCCAATTTTGGGGGATTTCTGTTTCAGGGTGCCCCAATTTTGGGGTATTTCTCTTTCGGAGTGCCCCAATTTTTGGGGATTTCTGTTTTGGGGTGCCCCAATTTTGGGGGATTTCTGTTTAGGTTGTCCCCATTTCTGGGGTTTGCTCTCTAGGGGTGCCCCATTGCTGGGCCCTGTTTTGGGGTGCCCCCGGTACCTTCTGGGCCACCTGGTTGACCCAGGGGCTGGTGCAGTTGCTCAGGTCGGGCCCGCGGGGGTTCCACACCCCCAGCCCCAGCAGGCACTGGAAGGAGGCGATGCCTGGGGGGCACAGGGGGCTCAGGGGGACCCCACATCTCCCCTGGCCCCCCTCCCCACCCCACATCTCCCCTGGCCCCCCCAGTGCCCCCTCCACACCCCACAAAATCCCCACCGCCCCCCCAGCAGGCACAGGCAGGAGGTGATATCTGGGGGAGGGGACAGCACCCCAAAAACCTCAGAACCCCCCCAAAATGCCCCATAGCCCCCCCAAATTCCCCCAAAATCCCCCATAGCCCCCAGAAGCCTGCCAAAATGCCCTATAGCTCCCCCAAATTCCCCCAAAATGCCCCATAGCCCCCAGAACCCTCCCAAAAATCCCTGTCTCCCCATTTTCCCCACTCCCCCCAGTGCCCCCAGTTCCCCCATTCCCCCAGCCCCCCATTTCCCCCCAGTGCTCCCCACTCCCCCTATCCCCACCCAAGCCATCTATTCCCCCCGTTCCCAGTCCCCCATTCCCAGTCCCCCATTCCCATTCCCCAGTCCGCTCATCCCCCCCAGTCCCCCCCATTCCCATTCCCATTCCCATTCCCATTCCCATTCCCATTCCCACCATTCCCAGTCTCCCATTCCCAGTCCCCCCAGTTCCCCATTCCCAGTCCCCAATTCCCATCCCCCCCACTCCCCCCATTCCCCCAGCCCCCCATTTCTCCCCAGTGCCCCCCACTCCCCCTATCCCCCCCCAGCCCCCCTATTCCCCCCATTCCCATTCCCCCAATCCCACCCCTCCCATTCCCATTCCCAGTTCTCCCAGTCCCCCCCATCCCCCCCGGTGCACCCCAGTCCCCCCGGTCCCCCCGGTCCCCCCCAATCCCCCCGGTCCCCCCCGGTCCCCTCCATCCCCCCCATCCCCCCATCCCCCCCATCCCCCCCACCCCCCCGTTCCCCCCGGTACCTCGGGTGCCCTTGGGGCAGGGTCTCTCCACCAGCGCGCCCTGCTGTGCCGCGGGCCATTGCACCCTGCGCACCTCCCGCGCCTCGCACAGCCGCCCCCCGGGCCCCCCCCCGGGCCCCGCCCCGGGACCCCCCCCGGGACCCCCCCCGGGCCCCCCCGGCCCCGCCGCCCCCCCGGGCCCCCCGCCCGAGCCCCCCCCGCTTCCCCCCGGGGGGCGGCGGGAGGCGGGGGGGGCGGGGGCGGCGCCCCCGGGCCGCTGTTGGGGGGTCCCGGGGACCCCCCCGGGGTGGCGGCGCTGTGAGCGGGGCCCGGGGGGGGGCCGGGGGGGGCCCGGGCCGGGGGGTGAGGGGGCCCCGCCGGGCCGTGGGGGTGGGGAACGGGGGGGCGGCGGAGCTGGGGGGCGCCGTGGGGTGCGGGGGGGGCGCGCTGGGCGGTTCCGTTGTCACCGGACCTGGGGGGGCACAAAAACAGCGGGGGGGGGGGGGATCAGGGCCTGGGGGAACCCCCTGAACCCCCCAAGGGGTCCCGTCCAGCCGATGGGGGGAGGGGCTGATAGGGCCCTTCCCCCCCCGCGAAGTGACCCCGGACCCCTCCATGGGGCTGGGCCACAGCGGGACCCCCTAAATCAACCTGGAGGTGCCCCCGAGCACTTGGGGGTCCCCAAAAATGACCCCAGACCCTCCCCATGTGTCCCCCCAAAATGAACTGAGGCACCCCCAGAATGAACTGGGACCCCCGGGGCTCCCCTCCCTCACTTCAGGCACCCCCCAAAACCCCAAAATCCCAAACCCAGCCCCTCAGGGCTCCTCCATGCTGGTGGGGGCTGCACCCCAAAGTTCACCTGAGCCCCCCCAAAGTGACCTGGGAACCCCAGGGCTCCCCCAGATATTTGGGGCTCCCTGTGGGCATTGGGGGTGCAGCCCCAAGGTGAACAGGCACCCCACAACTTGCTGGGGCTCCCCCGAAGTACCTCAGGTGGTACCCCCAAAATTATCTGGGACCCCCAGGGCTCCCCCCCAAGCACCTGGGGACCCTCTCAGGTACCTGGGGCTGCACCCCCAAAATAAACCAGGACCTCCAGGGCTGCCCCCACATATTTGGTGCTGCAACCCCCAATTAAAGCGGGACCCCCGGGGCCCCCCCCGGGCCCCCCCAAAACAAACTGGAACACGCAGGGTCCCCCCAGAACAAATCGGGACCCTCAGGGCACCCCCCAGATATTCGGGGCTGCCCTCCCAAAATAATCTGGGACCCCCAGGGCTCCCCCAAATCAAACCGGGACCCCCGGGGCTCCCCCAGGCACTCCCCCCAAGGCCTCTCCCCATCTCCCCCAGCCCCACAGCCTCACCTCAAACTCCACACCCCACACCCCGCACCCCAAACCCCCCACCCGAACCCCGCACCCAAAACCCCGCACCCCGAACCCCCCACCCCACACCCCAAACCCCACACCCCGTACCCCGCAGCCCGCACCCCAAACCCCGTACCCTGAATCCCCACCCGAACCCCCCACCCCACACCCGCACCCCAAACCCCGCACCCCAAACTCCCCACCCAAACCCCGCACTCCGCACCCCCCACCCCACACCCCGCACCCCAAACCCCGCACACCGCACCCCGTACCCCAAACCCTGTACCCTGAATCCTGTAACCCGCACCCCGCACCCCTCACTCCGCACTCCGAACCCCCCATCCTTCACCCCGAACCCCCCATCCCGCACTCTGCACCCGCACCCCAAACCCCGCACCCTGAATCCGCCACCCGCACCCCGAACCCCGCATCCCTCACCCCCCACCCCGTACCCGTACCCCGTACCCCAAACCCCGCACCCCGCAGCCTTCACCCCGAACCCCGTATTCTGAATCCCCCACCCGCACCCTGCATCTCGGAGCCCGCACCCATACCCCACACCCCAAACCCCAAAGCCCGTACCCTGAATCCCCCACCCTGCACTCCGCACCCCGCACCCCAAACCCCCCACCCCACCCCGCACCCGTACCCCACACCCGTACCCCAAACCCTGCACCCCGAATCCCCCACCTGAACCCCGCACCCCGCACTCGTACCCCGCACCCGGAACCCTGCACTCCGCACCCCAAAGCCCGTACCCTGAATCCCCCACACGCACCCCGCACCCCAAACCCCCCACCCCGAACCCCCCACCGCACACTCCCACCCTGCACCCCAAACCCTGAATCCCCCACCCGAACCCCCTACCCCGCACCCCAAACCCCGTACCCTGAACCCCCCACTCCGCACCCCGCACCCGCAGCCCGCACCTGTACCTCGAAACCCGCATCCCGAACCCCCCATCCCGCACCTCACACCCCGCACTCCAAATCCCGCACCCCATACTCCCCACCCCGCACCCCATACTCCCCACCCCGCACCCCCCACCCCGCACCCCGCACCCCAAAGCCCGTACCCTGAATCCCCCACCCGAACCCTCCACCCCGCACCCCGCAACCCACACCCCAAAACCCATACCCTGAATTCCCCACCCACACCCCGCACCCGTACCCCGTACCCCGCACCCCAAACCCCGCACCCTGAATCCCCCACCCCAAACCCCGCACCCCAAACCCCGCACCCGCACTCCGCAGCCCGAACCCCCCACCCCTCACCCGCACCCCGCACCCGCACCCGCATCCGCACCCCAAACCCCAAACCCCACACCCCAAATCCCCCCAATCCCCACACTCCAAACCCCCCACCCGAACCCTGTACCCCAAAGCCCGCACCCTGAATCCCCCACACGCACCCCGCACCCCGCAGCCCCCACCCGAACCCCGCACCGTGCATCCGTACCCCGTACCCCAAACCCCGCAGCCCTCACCCCGCACCCCGTATTCTGAATCCCCCACCCGCACCCCGCACCCCAAACCACGCACCCCGAACCCCGCACCCCACACCCCGTACCCTAAATCCCCCACTCGAATCCCCCACCCCGCACCCCGCACCCCCCACCCCACACCCGCCCCCGTCCCCGCCGCCGCGCTGACCGTCTCCGTGCAGGGGCGCGAAGTCGAGGCCGTAGCGCAGCAGGAAGTGGTTGTTCCACACGTACAGTTGGTTGTCGCGGGGGTTGTAGCCCACGGAGGCCACGAACTGGTAGGGGTTGGGGAAGGGCAGCGCCAGCGCCGAGCCGCGCCCGCGCCGCGTGTCGAAGGCGTAGACCAGCGCGTTGCCCAAGTGCTCCGTGTCGTCGTCCAGGTACACGCTGCGCACCACGTACAGCACCCCGCAGGCCATGAAGGCGTCCGAGGCCGCCCGCTTGGCGTAGCCGGTCTCCCAGGTGCCCTCCAGCCGCAGCGTGTAGGGGTTCAGCTGGCTCACCACCAGCCGCCCGCCGTTGCCCTCGGTGGCGTAGATGACCCACAGCCCCTCCTCGTCCACCGCCAGGTCGATGTCGGTCTTGCCGCCCCAGCGGTACGGAGACGTGTCGTGGTAGTTGGCGGCGCCCACCACGGTCTCGCCGCTCTTGATGCGGGTCCGCAGGTCGTACTTGACGATGCTGCGGGTGCGCTCCTTGTTGTAGAACACGGCGCCGTCGTACACCACGAAGCCGGTGCCGTCGGCGCGGTGCGGGAGCCGGTGCGTGGCCGCGGGACGGGCGCCCACCAGGTCGGCCCACGAGGCGTACTCGGTGAGCGTGTCGGTGCGGTACGGGACCCACGGCAGCACGTACAGCCGGTCCCCCGACTGCAGCGGGTCCCGGCACCAGCCGCCCGCCTGGTGCGGAGACTCGTGCGTGGACAGCGCCGGCCCCACGCGCTGCGGCACCCCCGGGCAGACGAAAACTGCGGGGGAACACGGGGAGGGCGCGGGGAGGGTGGGACAGACAGAGGGACACGGGGAGGGACAGACAGAGGGACATGGAGAGGGTGGGACAGACGGGGGGACACGGGGAGGGACAGACAGAGGGACACGGGGAGGGTGGGACAGACAGGGGGACACGAGGAGGGACAGACAGGGGGACATGGAGAGGGTGGGACAGACGGGGGGACACGGGGAGGGACAGACAGGGGGACACGAGGAGGGACAGACAGGGGGACACGGGGAGGGTGGGACAGACAGGGGGACACGGGGAGGGACAGACAGGGGGACACAGGGACGGACATGGGGACACGGGGAGGGAGGGACAGACAGGGGGACACGGGGAGGGACAGACAGGGGGACACGGGGACGGACATGGGGACACGGGGAGGGACAGAGGGACACAGGGATGGACATGGGGACACGGGGAGGGTGGGACAGACAGGGGGACACGGGGAGAGACAGATGGAGGGACACGGGGAGGGGCGCGGGGAGGGTGGGACAAACGGGACACGGAGAGGGACAGACAGAGGGACACGGGAAGGGTGGGACAGACAGAGGGACACAGGGATGGACATGGAGACACGGGGAGGGACAGACAGGGGGACACGGGGACACGGGGAGGTTGGGGACAGACAGAGGGACACGCGTGGTTTGTGGGACAGGCGTACAGTGGGACATGGACAGGGATGGGGGACAGGGAATGGATGGGAGAGGGACACGGGGACAGACAGACGGACACAGGGGTGGAGCAGGGACAGGGGAGCGGGTTTGGGGACAGACAGACGGACACAGGGATGGAGCGGGGATAGGGGAGCGGGTTTGGGGACAGACAGACGGACACAGGGGGGGAGCAGAACAGGGGAGCGGGTTTGGGGACAGACACGGAGAGGGAAGGGACAGGAGGACAGGGATGGGGACAGACAGACGGACAGGGATGGATGGGGCATGGGGACAGACGGGGACACGGCGGGACAGAGAGGGGGGGTGGCAGTGGGGTGGTGGCAATGGGGGGGTGACAATGTGGGGACAGACGGGGCGTGGGGACACGGAGGGACACGGGGGGACACGGGGGGACACGGGGGGACACGGGGGGGCAGCGAGAAGAGGAGAGAAAAGAGAAGCGTTTCATCAGCCACTGAGGGGTCCCACGCGGGGGGCTGGGGGGGACCCCCCAACCCCAGGGGGATTTTGGGGACCCGGGGGAGGGATTGGGACACGGGGAGGGGGGGGGGAAGGGGGGGGTCCCTTAACCGGGGAGGGGACAGAGGAGAGGGGACAGAAGGGGGGGGTTAGGAGGGGACACCCCCACTGTCCCCCGGCAGTGGCGAAAAGGGGGGGCCGTGCCCCCCGCCCGGCGAACCCCCTTTTTATTTGGGGGGGGGGCAGCACCGTGAGGGGGGAGGGGCAGCTCTCCTTGGGGGGAACCCTAAAATGGGGGGGGGCTCAAATCGGGGGGGCCCTAAATGGGGGGGCTCTTCCCCTCCCCCCCCGGGCCCACAGCCAGGGACGATCGAGCGCGACGGAGACACGGGGGGGGTGGGTGGGGAGGGGGCTCGGGGGGGTCCCCCCGGTGCGGGGGGTTTGGGGGGGACCCCCCCGGTTTTGGGGTGCGGGGGGCGGGTTTGGGGGGGTCGCGCGTGGTCCCAGAGTCCGGCGGCGGCTGCAGAGAGGCTGGGGGAGAGAAACGGGGGGTTAGAGCTGCGGGAGAGAAGGGGGACACGGGGGACACGGGGGACACGGGGGACACGGGGACACGGGGGACCCCCGGGGCAGAGACCCCCCAAAAGCCAAGCCCCGCCCCCCGGGGGTCTCTGCGCCGGGGGGGGAGGGGGTCCCCATGGGGGCGGGGCCAGGCTGCGACCCCCGGGGCACCGCGGGACCCCCGCCCCCCTTCCCCCCCGGGGCACCCCGAAATGGGGCCCCGCCCCTCGGGCTGGCCACGCCCCTCGGGCTGACCACGCCCCTCAGGCTGGCCCCGCCCCCTCGGGCTGGCCCCGCCCCCTCGGGCTGGCCACGCCCCCTCAGCCTGGCCCCGCCCCCCGCCCGGGGCGTGGCACGAGGGGGAGGGGCCGAGACACGCGCGTGCGCGGGGCCACAGGTGAGCACAGGTGAGCACAGGTGTGCACAGGTGTGAGCACAGGTGTGAGCACAGGTGTGAGTGCAGGTGTGAGCACAGGTGTGCACAGGTGTGCACTGGTGTGAGCACAGGTGTGCACAGGTGTGAGCACAGGTTTGCACAGGTGTGCACATGTGACCACAGGTGTGAGCATAGGTGTGAGCACAGGTGTCCACAGGTGTGCACAGGTGTGAGCACAGGTGTGCACTGGTGAGCACAGGTGAGCATGGGTGTGCAAAGCTGAGCACAGGTGTGAGCACAGGTGTGCACTGATGTGTGCACAGGTGTTCACAGGTGAGAACAGGTGTGGGCACAGGTGTGCACAGATGTGCACTGGTGTCTTCTTGTGTGCACACGTGAGCACACCCCCCTTCTGTTCTGAAGGTGCACACACCTGTTCGAACCTGTGCAGTCACACACACCTGTGCACACCTGTATAGTCACACACACCTGTGCACACCTGCACAGGGGCATGTGTCCACCTGGCCCTGTGTTTGCACAGGCAATTGTGGATGTGTGTGCACAGGGGTGTGCACAGGTGTGAGCACAGGTGTAAGTACAGGTGTGTGTACAGGTGTGAGCGCAGGTGTGCGCACAGGTGTGTGTACATGTGTAAGGACAGGTGTGAGCGCAGGTGTGTGTACAGGTGTGTGCACAGGTGTGTGTACAGGTGTCACTGCAGGTCTGAGCACAGGTGTGTGCACAGGTACATTCTGGCAGCAGTGCATTTGCACGCTCAGGTGTGGCTGCACAGGTGTACAAGAGCTGCCACACCTGGGTCGCTCTGTGCTGACACCTGTGGCTGTTACCTGTGCATGCTCACAGGTGTGTGTCACTGTCACACCCGCCCAGGTGTGTGTCTGTCACACACAGAGTGTTTGTGCTCCCACAGGTGTGTCACTGTCACACCCGCCCAGGTGTGTCTCTAGCACACACAGAGTGTTTGTGCTCCCACAGGTGTGTCACTGTCACACCTGCCCAGGTGTGTCTCTATCACACCTTCCCAAGTGGTTGTGCTCCCGCAGGTGTGTCTCTGTCACACCTGGCCAGGTGTGTGCACTGCCCCACCTGTGCCCCATCGCACACGCGTGTGCAGGGGGCGCGGGGGCTGCGTGTGCAGGGGGCACACCTGGACGTGCAGCTGGATCCAGGTGTGCACGAGCACCTGTGAGCGCACAGCCCCAGGTGTGCACGGCTCAGGTGTGCCCAAGGATCCAGGTGTGCACAAAGCACAGGTGTGCACAGGTGTGCACATCCCAGGTGTGCCCAAGGATCCAGGTGTGCACAGGCACGCACAGCCCAGGTTTGCACAAAGTTCCAGGTGAGCTCCTCCAGGTGAGCCCATCCAGGTGTGCACAAGGATCCAGGTGTGCCCAGGTGTGCCCATCCAGGTGAGCCCATCCAGGTGTGCACAAGGATCCAGGTGTGCCCAGGTGTGCCCACCCAGGTGAGCCTGTCCAGGTGTGCACAAGGATCCAGGTGTGCCCATCCAGGTGAGCTCAACAAGATGAGCACAAGGATCCAGGTGTGCCCGTCCAGGTGAGCTCACCCAGGTGAGCCCACTCAGGTGAGCACAGCCAGGTGAGCCCAGGTGAGCCTGTCCAGGTGTGCACAAGGATCCAGGTGTGCCCAGGTGTGCTCATCCAGGTGAGCCCACCCAGGTGAGCCCATCCAGGTGAGCCCGTCCAGGTGTGCACAAGGATCCAGGTGAGCTCGTCCAGGTGTGCACAAGGATCCAGGTGGGCCCAGGTGTGCTCATCCAGGTGAGCCCACCCAGGTGAGCCCAGCCAGGGGAGCACAGCCAGGTGAGCACACCCAGGTGAGCACACCCAGGTGAGCACAGCCAGGTGAGCCCAGGTGAGCCCATCCAGGTATGCACAAGGATCCAGGTGAGCCCGTCCAGGTGAGCCCGTCCAGGTGTGCCGGCCCGGCCGTGCCGCAGCCCCCGCGCTGCCCCGGGGGTCGGGGGTCGGGGGTCCCCGGGAGGGTGGGGGAGGGGAGACTCACAGGCTCGGGGGGGCCCCGCGGTCCGGGGGGGCTGGGCCGGGCCCTGCGGGAGGAGGAGGAGGAGAGAGACACGTTAGGCCCCGCCCCCGCTCCGGCACCTGTGGGAAGAAACCGCGGCCCCGCCCGGCCCCGCCCACACCTGCGCGCAGGCCCCGCCCCCGGCCACGCCCACCCCGGCAACGCCCCGCCCACCCTCCCCTCCCCCCCCATGGATGGACAGACAGACACGGGGCGACGTCCTGGCTGTGACCCCTGAGTGACCCTGAGTGACCCCTGAACTGACCCCTGAGTGACCCTGAGTGACCCCTGAACTGACCTTTGAGTGACCCCTGAGTGACCCTGAGTGACCCTGAGTGACCCCTGAGTCACTCTGAGTGACCCTGAACTGACCCCTGAGTGACCCTGAGTGACCCCTGAGTGACCCTGAACTGACCCCTGAACTGACCCCTGAGTGACCCTGAACTGACCTCTGAGTAAACCTGAGTGACCCCTGAGTGACCCTGAACTGACCCCTGAGTGACCTGAACTGACCTCTGAGTGACCCCTGAGTGACCCTGAGTGACCCCTAAACTGACCTCTGAGTGACCCTGAGTGACCATGAGTGACCCTGAACTGACCCCTGAGTGACCCTGAACTGACCCCTGAGTGACCCTGAGTGACCCTGAACTGACCTGAGTGACCCCTGAGTGACCCTGAGTGACCCTGAACTGACCCCTGAGTAACCCTGAACTGACCTCCGAGTGACCCTGAGTGACCCCTGAACTGACCCGAGTGACCCCTGAACTGACCTCTGAGTGACCCCTGAGTGACCCCCGTACTCACCCCTGAGTGACCCTGAGTGACCCTGAACTGATCCCTGAGTGACCCTGAGTGACCCTCAACTGACCCTGAGTGACCCCTGAGTGACCCAAACTGACCCCTGAGTGACCCGAGTGACCCTGAGTGACCCTGAGTGACCCTCAACTGACCCTGAGTAACCCCTGAACTGACCCCTGAGTGACCCCTGAGTGACCCCAAACTGACCCTGACTGACCCCAACTGACCCCTGAGTGACTCCTGAGCAACCCTGAGTGACCCTGAACTGACCTCTGAGTGACCCGAGTGACTCCTGAGTGACCCTCAACTGACCCTGACTGACCCTGAGTGATCCCAACTGACCCCTGAGTGACCCTGAACTGATCCCTGAGTGACCCTGAGTGACCCTCAACTGACCCTGAGTGACCCCTGAGTGACCCAAACTGACCCCTGAGTGACCCGAGTGACCCTGAGTGACCCTGAGTGACCCTCAACTGACCCTGAGTAACCCCTGAACTGACCCCTGAGTGACCCCTGAGTGACCCCTGAGTGACCCTGAACTGACCCAAAACTGACCCTGACTGACCCTGAGTGACCCCAAACTGACCCCTGAGTGACCTGACCCCACTGACCCCGACTGACCCCAAACTGACCCTGAGTGACCTTTCCTGACCCCAGCACTGCCCCGGCCCCCCCACGCTGCCCCTGGGGTTGTTTTGGGGGGCTGTTTTTGGGGTTGTTTTTGGGGGGCTGTTTTTGGGGGGCTGTTTTTTGGGGGGCTCCTTGATTTGGGGGGGTCAGAGGGACCGGGGAGGTCCCAGGGCTGCCCCCCCCCCCCCATTTGGGGGGGGTGACCTGAGGGGGGAGAGGGGTGGGGACACCTCGGGGGGGTCCCCAAAGGTTTGGGGGTCCCCCGGTTCCCTCAAGGGGAGCCCCGGAGGAGTCTGGGGGGTCCTGGGGGGGCTCAGGGCACCGTGGGGGGGTCCCGGGGACCCCCGAGGGGACACGGGGGGGGGTCTGGGGGTCCCCCAAATTTAATGAGAGCTAATTAAGGGGGGAGGGGCACTGACCCCCCCCCCCCCCCCGCAGTGTTTGGGACCTGGGGGGGGAGGGGAAACAAGGGGGGGCTGGGGGGAGGGGAAAGGGGGGAGGAGGAATGGGGGGCGGGGGGGGAGTTTGGGGTGGGGGAGAGGATTTTGGGGGGCGGGGGGAGGGGCAGGATTTGGGGTGCGGATCAGAGGGGGAGGGGTCCGGGTCTGGGGTCACTCCGGAGGGTTTTGGGGTGCAGGAAGACGGGGGGCGGTGGGGGAGGGGTCGGGAGGGTTTTGGGGTGGGGGGGCCGGAGCGGGGGGTCCGTGTTACCTTTTTGTTCCACTTCTATTTTTAGCACCGGAAGAAAAGGCGGGAGAGAGGGGGAGGGGCGGGGGGGGTGGGGGGTGGGGGAGGGGATGGGGGAGCGGCGGTGGGGGAGGGGAGGGGTCAGACGGGCGGGGGGAGGGGAGGGAGGGGGAGGGGCGAGAGAGGAGACAAAGAGAAAAGAGATTAAACGGCTCCGGCCCCCCCGGCCCGGGGGGACCCCGAAACCCCCCGGGAGCCCCGACCCTGCGGGGGCGGCGGGACGGACACACGGACACACAGACAGAGGGACACACGGACACGGGACGGACACACGGACACGGGACGGACACACGGACAGAGGGACAGAGGGACACACGGACACAGGGACACGGGATGGACACACAGACACGGGACGGACACACGGACAGAGGCACAGGGGGACACACGGACACGGGATGGACACACAGACACACGGACAGAGGATGGACACACGGACAGAAGGACACGCGGACAGAGGGACACACGGACAGAGGGACAGAGGGACACATGGACAGATGGACAGAGGGACACACGAACAGAGGGACAGAGGGACACAGGATGGACACACGGACACACGGACAGAGGGACAGGGGGACACATGGACAAAGGGACACACGGACAGAGGGACACAGGATGGACACATGGACAGAGGGACAGAGGGACACACGGACAGACGGACAGGGGGACAGAGGGACACACGGACAGAGGGACACACGGACATAGGATGGACACACGGACACAGGATGGACACATGGACAGAGGGACACATGGACAGAGAATGGACACATGGACAGAGGGACACATGGACATACAGACAGAGGGACACAGGGACACACGGACACATGGACACAGGATGGACACACAGACAGAGGGACAGACACATGGACATGGGATGGACACAGGGATGGACACAGAGACACGGGATGGACACACAGACACAAGGACATGGGATGGACACACGGACACGCAGACGCGGGATGGACACGGGATGGACACAGGACGGACAGATGGACACAGGACGGACAGATGGACACAGGACAGACAGATGGACACCAGGAGGGGCAGGAGGACGGACAGAGGGACGGCAAAGAGCTGCACAGCGGGACGGGGGAGACAGATGGACAGACGGAGCCATGGAGGGACAGACGGACGGACACGGGAAGAGGGGGTGGGAACGGCCTGGATGGGGATGATGGATGGACAGACGGACACAGGGAGAGATGGACACACGGACACAGGGACGGACGGACGGACGGACGGACGGACGGACGGACGGACAGACGGACGGACAGGGGCGCAGGGCTCCCCTCCCCCGCACTCCTGAGCCCGCCCCTCCCCCAGCCCTGGAGGGAGAGAGAGAGACGGCGAAGGGGGAGGGGCGGCGATGGGGGAGGGGCGGCGATGGGGGAGGGGCGGTGGGGGGAGGGGCGGCCCCGGCCCCGCCCCCGGCGGCACCTGCAAAGAAAGAGGCGACCCCGCCCCTCCCCCACCCGGAGCGCGCCCCTCCCCCACCCCCAACCCCACCCCCCCATTCCCAACCCCCGGCACCGGCGGGAGCGCGGGCTGAGTGTGAGCTGAGTGTGCCCTGAGTGTGAGCTGAGTGTGAGCTGAGTGTGCCCTGAGTGTGCGCTGAGTGTGCCCTGAGTGTGAGCTGAGTGTGCCCTGAGTGTGCACAGAGTGTGCCCTGAGTGTGAGCTGAGTGTGCGCTGAGTGTGCGCTGAGTGTGCCCTGAGTGTGCACAGAGTGTGCACAGAGTGTGAGCTGAGTGTGCGCTGAGTGTGCCCTGAGTGTGCGCTGAGTGTGCCCTGAGTGTGAGCTGAGTGTGCCCTGAGTGTGCGCTGAGTGTGCCCTGAGTGTGCCCTGAGTGTGCCCTGAGTGTGCGCTGAGTGTGCCCTGAGTGTGAGCTGAGTGTGCGCTGAGTGTGAGCTGAGTGTGCCCTGAGTGTGCGCTGAGTGTGCCCTGAGTGTGATCTGAGTGTGCGCTGAGTGTGCGCTGAGTGTGCGCTGAGTGTGCCCTGAGTGTGCGCTGAGTGTGCGCTGAGTGTGCGCTGAGTGTGCCCTGAGTGTGAGCTGAGTGTGAGCTGAGTGTGCGCTGAGTGTGCGCTGAGTGTGCCCTGAGTGTGCGCTGAGTGTGAGCTGAGTGTGCCCTGAGTGTGCCCTGAGTGTGCGCTGAGTGTGAGCTGAGTGTGCGCTGAGTGTACATTGAGTGTGAGCTGAGTGTGCCCTGAGTGTGCCCTGAGTGTGAGCTGAGTGTGTCCTGAGTGTGCGCTGAGTGTGCCCTGAGTGTGCGCTGAGTGTGCGCTGAGTGTGAGCTGAGTGTGAGCTGAGTGTGCGCCGAGTGTGCCCTGAGTGTGCGCTGAGTGTGAGCTGAGTGTGCCCTGAGTGTGCGCTGAGTGTGAGCTGAGTGTGCGCTGAGTGTACCCTGAGTGTGTGCTGAGTGTGAGCTGAGTGTGCCCTGAGTGTGAGCTGAGTGTGAGCTGAGTGTGCCCTGACTGTGCGCTGAGTGTGCGCTGAGTGTGCCCTGAGTGTGCGCTGAGTGTGAGCTGAGTGTGCGCTGAGTGTGAGCTGAGTGTGCCCTGAGTGTGAGCTGAGTGTGAGCTGAGTGTGCGCTGAGTGTGCCCTGAGTGTGCCCTGAGTGTGAGCTGAGTGTGAGCTGAGTGTGCGCTGAGTGTGCGCTGAGTGTGCGCTGAGTGTGAGCTGAGTGTGCGCTGAGTGTGCCCTGAGTGTGCCCTGAGTGTGAGCTGAGTGTGCGCTGAGTGTGCGCTGAGTGTGCCCTGAGTGTGCGCTGAGTGTGCGCTGAGTGTGCGCTGAGTGTGAGCTGAGTGTGCGCTGAGTGTGCTCTGAGTGTGCCCTGAGTGTGCGCTGAGTGTGAGCTGAGTGTGCGCTGAGTGTGAGCTGAGTGTGCACAGGTGTGCCCCAGTCGTGTCCCAGGTGTGTCCCAGGTGTGCCCAGGTGTCTCCAGGTGTGCCCAGGTGTTCCCAGGACTGCCCCAGGTGTGCCCCAGGTGTCTCCAGGTGTGCCCCAGGTGTTCCCCAGGTGTGCCCCAGGTGTGCCCAGGTGTGTGCCACACTTTGCTCACACACCAGGTGTGCACTTCGTGTGTCCTGAGCCCGCCCAGGTGAGTTTAACACGCGCCCTCCTGCACATCAGGTGTGCATTGGGTGTGCAAGGTGAGCACGCGTGTCCTTTTCACGCTCAGGTGTGCTCAGAGCTCTCAGGTGTGTTCAGAGCTCTCAGGTGTGCTCAGAGCACGCTCAGGTGCTTGGTGTGTGTTCAACATGCACAGGTGTGTCCAGGTGTTGATCGTGTCCTTGGCTCACCCTCAGCATGCCCAGGTGTGTTTAACCTCTGCCAGGTGTGAGCTGGGCGTGTCCCGAGTGTGCCCAGGTGTGTTTAACCCCCACCAGGTGTGAGCTGGGTGTGTCCTGAGTGTGCCCAGGTGTGTTTAACCCCTGCCAGGTGTGAGCTGGGTGTGTCCCGAGTGTGCCCAGGTGTGTTTAACCCCCGCCAGGTGTTTCCCTGCCCAGGTGTGTTACCTGCCCAGGTGTGTTTAACCCCCACCAGGTGTTTCCCTGCCCAGGTGTGTTACCTGCCCAGGTGTGTTACCTGTCCAGGTGTGTTACCTGCCCAAGTGTGTTTCCCTCCCCAGGTGTGTTTCCCTGCCCAGGTATGTTACCTGCCCAGGTGTGTTTCCCTGCCCAGGTGAGGGCTGCACCAGGTGTGGTTGTGCCGTGGTCCTTCTGCCATTTTTGGGTGGTTTTGGTGCGGTTTTGGTGTATTTTTGGCCGTGGTTTTGCCATGTTCTTGCCGTGGTTTTGCCGTGTTTTTTGTGTGTTTTGGGGCATGGTTTTGGTGTGGTTTTCCGTGTTTTTTGTGCATTCCTGCTGTGTTTTTTACAGGTTTCTGCCATGTTTTTTGCATGATTTTGCCGTGTCCCTGCCGTGTTCCTGCCCTGGTTTTGCCATGGTTTTTAATGTGTTTCTGCCATATTTTTGGTGTCTTTTTGCTGTGGTTTTTGCATGTTTTTGTCCATATTTTTCCTGTGTTCCTGCCCCGTTCCTGCCCTGTTTTTGCCGTGGTTTTGGTGTATTTTTTGCATGTTCCTGCCGTGTTCCTGACATGTTTTTTGTGTGGTTCTGGCGTGTTTTTTATGTGTTCCTGCCCTGGTCCTGCCCTGTTTTTGTCCATGTTTTTGGTGTGTTCCTGCCACGTTCCTGATGTGTTTTTTCCCTGTTTTGCCCTGTTTTTGGTGTGGTTCCTGCCATGTTCCTGCCCTGTTTTTGTCCATGTTTTTGCTGTGTTCCTGCCCTGTTTTTGCCATGTATTTTGTGTATTTTTGGTGTGTTCCTGCCGTGGTTTTTGCATGTTTTTATCCATGTTTTTGCCATGTTCCTGCCATCTTTTTGCAGCGGTTTTGGTGTGTTTTTGCTCTGGTCCTGCTGTGTTTTTGCCGTATTTTTGTCCATGTTTTTGCCATGTTCCTGCCCTGTTTTTGTCCATGTTCCTGCCATGTCCCTGCCATGTTCCTGCCCTGTTTTTGTCCATGTTTATGCCATGTTCCTGCCGTGTTTTTTCCCTGTTTTGCCCTGTTTTTGTCCATGTTTTTGCCGTGTTTCTGCCCTGTTTTTGTCCATGTTTGTGCCATGTCCCTGCCGTGTTTTTGCCCTGTTTTTGCTCTGTTTTTTCTGTGGTTTAGGTGTTTTTGCCATGTTCCTGCTGTGGTTTTGGTGTGTTTTTCGTGTGTTCCTGCCCTGCTTTTGCCATAGCTTTTATGTATTTTTGTCCATGTTTGTGCCATGTCCCTGCCGTGTTCCTGCCCTGTTTTGCCCGTGCTTTTGCCGTGCTTTTGCCGTGTTTGTGCCATGTCCCTGCCGTGTCCCTGCCCTGTTTTTGCCCATGCTTTTGCCGTGTCCCTGCTGTGTTCCTGCCATGTCCCTGCCATGTTCCTGCCCTGTTTTGCCCGTGCTTTTGCCGTGTCCCTGCCGTGTTCCGTGCCCGTGGCGTGTCCCGGTGCCGGTGCCGTGCCCGGCCCTGCCCGGCCCTGCCCGGCCGTTCCTTCGGGCGGCTCCGCCGGCGGCTGCAAAGCAAAGCTGGGGGAGGGGCCGGGGGGTTTTGGGGGTCCCGCGACGGCGCCTGGGGAGAGACGGGGTCACCCCAACCCCCCCGGGACCCCCGGGTCACACGGAGCCCCCGGGGGGCAGCCCGGGGGTCGGGGGTCACGGCGCCGGGACGGACACGGGGGGCACAGCCCGGCCTGGGGGACAAACGCGACACGGGGGGACCCCAGGGGGGCACGACCCCCCCTCCCCCCACACCTCCCTGAGACCCCCCCAATCCCACCCCACCCCCCCAAAGGTGCCTTGGGGGGCTGTGGGGTCCCTCAGGTGCTATGGGGTGGGATGTGGGGGCACTGCGGGGTCCCTGTGGGGTCCCTCGGGCGCTGTGGGGTGGGGGTTCCCAGGTGCACCTCTGGGTGCTGTGGGGCGCTGTGGGGCAGAGCTGTGGGGCTGGGGGGCACTGTGGGGCAGAGCGGTGGGGCAGGGTCTATCAGGCAGGGCTGTGGGCACAGCTATGGGACAGAACAGGGTTATGGGGCAATGCTATGGGGCAGAGCCGTGGGGCAGAGCCGTGGGGCAGCAATCCCTGTGGGGGACAGATGGCACCTCCAGGTACTTGTAGGTGCCAGGACTGGGGGTGCTGTGGGGCAGGACAGCGCAGAGCTGTGGGGCAGGATCTATGGGGCAGGATGGGATCTATGGGGCAGTATCTGTGGGGCAGGATGGGATCTATGGGGCAGGATGGGATCTATGGGGCAGGTTGGGATCTGTGGGGCAGGATCTATGGGGCAGGATCTGTGGGTCACTCACTGTAGGGCACGCAGTCGTGCAGCACCTCCGGGTATTTGTAGGTGCCCGGGCAGGGGGCTGGGATGGGGTGGTGGCTCTGGGCTGCTGTGGGGCAGGGCAGGATCTATGGGGCGGGGCAGGATCTATGGGGCAGGGCAGGGTCTATGGGGCAGGGCGGGATCTATGGGGCAGGATCTATGGGGCAGGATCTATGGGGCAGGGTGCTCACTCACTGTAGGGCACGCAGTCGTACTGCACCTCCAGGTATTTGTAGGTGCCCGGGCAGGGGTCGGGGAAGGCGTCAGAGCCGGCGACCACCACGCACTGAGTGCGGTTATTGCACCTGGGGACACGCGGGGACACGTCAGGGACACGGGGACACGTCAGGGACACACGGGGACACATCAGGGACACAGGGGGACACCGAGGGACATGGGACAGGAGGGACACAGATCCAGGGGGATGTGAGGGGACCTGAAGGGACATGGGACACCATGGGGGGGACACCGGGGGACACAGGGGACAACGGGGGACACAGAGACAGTGGGGACACAGTGGGGACACAGTGGGGACAGGGGACAGCAAGGGGACACAGAGGACGTGGAATGGGGACACGGACAGAGAGGGACAGCAGCAACACGGGGACACGGGGACATGGAGGGACAGGGGACAGCAGGACAGTGGGGACACACAGGACATGGGACCAGGGTCACAGGGGACAGGAGTGACACAAGGACAGTGGGGACACAGGGCAGGGCACACGCGTGGCCCTGGTGCTTGGGGACACAAGACTCGGGTGCCACCTGTGCCACCCCCGTGTTGTCCCCATGCTGCACCCAGGGCCACCCACCCCACGTGTCCCACACCCTTGGTGTCCCCGTGTCCCCCTTGTGCCACCCCCACACCTCCAACTGTCCCCACATGTCCCCAAGTCCCAGCACGTCCCCTCTCCCCCATGTCCCACCCGCCTGTGTGCCTGTCCCCAAGGTGTCCCCAGCCTGTCCCCAAGGTGTCCCCAGCCTGTCCCAAGCCTCCCACACGTCCTCGTGTCCCCTGCATGTCCCCATGTCCCCCTGTGTGGCCGTGTCCCCCCATGTCCTGTCTGTGCCATCACGTGCAGGGCCAGGGCCAAGTCCCCAGTGCCCCACAATGTCCCCAATGTCCCCAATGTCCCCATGTCCTCAATGTCCCCAGTGTCCCCATGTCCCCAATGTCCCCAATGTCCCCAATGTCCCCATTGCCCCACAATGTCTCCAATGTCCCCCCAATGTCCCCAATGTCCCCACAATGTCCCCAATGTTCCCAATGTCCCCACAATGTCCCCAATGTCCCCAATGTCCCCATTGCCCCACAATGTCCCCAATGTCCCCAATGTCCCCAATGTCCCCAGTGCCCCACAATGTCCCCAGTGCCCCACAATGTCCCCAGTGCCCCACAATGTCCTCAATGTCCCCAATGTCCCCAGTGCCCCACAAGGTCCCCAATGTCCCCAGTGTCCCCAATGTCCCCCACCTCTGTCCTCACGTCCCCACACCCACTGCTGCATCCCCGTCACCCGCCTGTCCTCATGTCCCCAACCTCCTACACCTTCCCAGTGTCCCCAACACCCCCAATGTCCCCAATGTCCCCAACACCCCAGTGTCCCCGTGTCACCTCTGGGCCATGATGGGCTGGGCCTGGGGTAGGTGGAACTGCACGTTGGCCATCTGCCCAGTGCCCCACAATGTCCCCGATGTCCCCAGTGTCCTCAACACCCCCAGTGTCCCCACTGCCCCCACTGCCCCCAGTGTCCCCAACACCCCCAATGTCCCCAATGTCCTCAACACCCCCAGTGTCCCCAACACCCCCAGTGTCCCCAATGTCCCCAATGTCCCCAATGTCCCCAATGTCCCCAGTGTCCCCAACACCCCCAGTGTCCCCACTGCCCCCAGTGTCCCCAGTGTCCCCAGTGTCCCCGGTGTCCCCGTGTCACCTCTGGGCCATGATGGGCTGGGCCTGGGGCAGGTAGCACTGCACGTTCGCCATCTGCCCGGGGTCGGCGTCGCAGATTTTGTCGTCGGTGCGGCCGTAGTTGGCGTCAGCCACCAGGACGACGTCGCTGCCGGGGCAGCGCAGCTCCAGCGGGTACCCCTCACACGCCAGCTCCCGGCGCGCCAGCCCGAAGGGCAGCGCCCCCCGGATCAGCCCTGGGGCACAGAACCCCAGACGGGTCAGGGAACCGCAGAGGGGGTCAGGGAACCCCAAATGGGGTCAGGGAACACCAAACGGGGTCAGGGAGCCCCAGACGGGGGCAGGGAACTCCAAACGGGGTCAGGAAACTCCAAATGGGGTCAGGAAACCCCCAATGGGGTCAGAAAACGCTGAACGGGATCAGGGAACCTCCAATGGGGGTCAGTGAACTCCAAACAAGATCAGTGAACACCAAATGGGATCAGGGAACCCCAAATGGGGGCAGGGAACCCCAAACGGGGTCAGGGAACCCCAAACAAGATCAGTGAACACCAAACGGGGTCAGAAAACTCCAAACGGGATCAGGGAGCCACAAATAGGGTCAGTGAACCCCAAATGGGGGTAGTGAACCCCAAACGGGGTCAGTGAACCCCAAACAAGATCAGTGAACACCAAATGTGGTCAGGGAACCCCAAACAGGGTCAGTGAACCCCAAACGGGATCAGGGAACCCCAAACGGGATCAGGGAACCCCAAAGGGGGTCCCTCACCCCCACCTCTGTGCCCTGCTCAGCCCTTGGGGTGCAGGGACCACCTGGGCCCCAAACCCCAAATCAGGGACCCTGGGCACCCCCTGCCCTGCAGCCAGCAGCCCCAAATCCCAAACAGCTGGAACCCCAAACACCCGGATCCCGTAATCCCCAATACCTGGGATCCCCTGATCTGAAACACCTGGGACCCCAAATCCCAAACACCCGGGACCGCAAATCTGACACACCCAAACCTGGAAATCTGGCACTTCAAAATCCAGCGTGCCCCTGATCCCAAATACCTGGGACCCCAAATCCCAATACCTGGGATCCCCCAATCCCCAACACCTGGATCCCCTAAAACCCGGGGTATCCCGAATTTCCCAGATCCCCAAATCCCGAATTTCCCAATCCCGGATTCCGGGACACCCCAAGAGCCAGGCCCAGGTGGAGCTGTAGTGCCGGCCCTGCACACCCATTACACACCCCTTGCACACCCACTGCACACCCGTTACACAGTTCTTGCACACTCATTACACACGCACTGCACACTCGTTACACACCCCTTGCACACTCATTACACACGCACTGCACACTCGTTACACAGCCCTTACACACCCACTGCACACCCGTTACACAGCCCTTGCACACTCATTACACAGCCCTTGCACACCCGTTACACAGCCCTTACACACTCATTACACACCCACTGCACACCCGTTACACAGCCCTTGCACACCCACTGCACACCCATTAGCCCTTACACACCCCTTGCACACCCCTTGCACACCCACTGCACACCTGTTACACAGCCCTTACACACTCATTACACACCCACTGCACACCCATTAACCCTTACACACCCCTTGCACACCCCTTGCACACCCATTGCACATTTGTTACACAGCTCTTACACACCCACTGCACACCCGTTACACACCCCTTACACACTCATTACACACCCACTGCACACCTGTTACACAGCCCTTGCACACCCACTGCACACCCGTTACACAGCCCTTGCACACCCACTGCACACCCATTAGCCCTTACACACCCCTTGCACACCCCTTGCACACCCATTGCACATTTGTTACACAGCTCTTACACACCCACTGCACACCCGTTACACACCCCTTACACACTCATTACACACCCACTGCACACTCATTACACTGCCCTTGCACACCCACTGCACACCTGTTACACACCCCTTGCACACTCTTTACACACCTCTTGCACAGTCCTTACACACCTGGGGTGTTGTACAGCCCTGACACACCCCTTGCACACCCCTTGCACACCCCTTGCACACCCCTTGCACCTCTGGGGTGTCACCCACCCCTCGCACGCCTTCCCCGTGTCCCCCCCGTACCCTCCCCCATGTCCCTGTCCCTGTCCCTGTCCCTGTCCCTCAGCGTGTTCCTGTCCCTGTCCCATGTCCCCCCATGTTGCCTCATGTCCCATGTCCCAGTCCCAGTCCCTGTCCCTCACCGTGTCCCGGTCCCACCATGTCCCCCCATGTCCTGGTCCCTGTACTGGTCCCTCAACATGTCCTGTGTCCTCCCCACGTCCCAGTCCTGGTCCCAGTCCCAGTCCCATGTCCCCCCTGTGTCCCTGTCCTGGTCCTGGTCCCTCAACGTGTCCTGCTGTCCCCCCCGTGTCCCCCCCAGTCCCCGTGTCCCGGTCCCAATCCTGGTCCCGGTCCTGTGTCTCACCATGTCCCCCCATGTCTTTCTGTGTCCCCCCCGTGTCCTGCGTCCCATTCCCAGTCCTGGTCCCGGTCCTGTGTCCCCCCCTGTCCTCCCCATTCCCATTCCCGTTCCCGTTCCCGGTCCCATTCCCGTTCCCGGTCCCATTCCCATTCCCGGTCCCATTCCCATTCCTGTTCCCAGTCCCATTCCCATTCCCATTCCCATTCCCGTTCCCATTCCCGTCCCCATTCCCATTCCCATTCCCATTCCCATCCCCGTTCCCGTTCCCATTCCCATTCCCATTCCCGTTCCCATTCCCGTTCCCGTTCCCATTCCCATTCCCATTCCCGTTCCCATTCCCGTTCCCATCCCCATTCCCATTCCCATTCCCGTTCCCGTTCCCGTTCCCGGTCCCTCACCGTGGCCGCCCGGGGCGGTGCCGAGCAGGAGCAGCAGCAGCAGCGGGAGCGGGGCCGGCACCGACACCGACACCGGGACCAGAACCGGGACCAGAACCGGGACCAGAACCGGGCCCGGGCCGGGGGTGGGGGCGGGGCGCGGCATGGCGGGGGAGGGGCGCGGGGACCCCCCGGGATCAGCGGGGGGCTCCGAGCTGGGGAGACAAAAACGGGGGGTCAGGGGGACCCAAAAACCGCGGGAGGGGTAATTAATGAGAGGGGATTAATGAGGGGGATTAATGAGGGGGATTAATGAGAGGGGGGAATTAATGGGAGGATTAATGAGGGGGTATTAATGAGGAGGGTTAATTAATGGGGGAAATATTGGGGGAATTAATAAGGGCGGTTAATTAATAAGGGGGAAATGAATGATGGGGGAATCAATGAGGGGGGAATCAATGGGGGGGATTATTGGGGGAATTAATAAGGGGGGTTAATTATTGAGAGGAAATTAATGATGGGGTATTAATGAGGGGATAATTAATTAATGGGGGAATGAATGGGGGAATTAATAAGGAGGGTTAATTAATGAATGATAATTAATGAGGGGGTAATTAATTAATGGGGGAATTAATGGGGAGGGAATTAATGAGGGGAGATCAATGAGGGGGAAATTAATGAATGGGGGAATTAATGAGGCTGGGGAATTAAAGAGGGGGTTGAAATTAATGAGGGGGTGAATTAATTAGGGGGGTTAAATTAATGGGGGGTAATTACTGAGGAAGTAAATTAATGGGGGGGAGTTTAATGAAGGGGTGAATTAATGAGGGAGGGTTAAGCTAATGGGGGGGGGTGAATGAATGGGGCGTTATGAAACAGGGGCCAATTAACGAGGGGCTGAATTAATTGGGGGATGAATTAATGAGGGGAAGGGGGGACCCCGCTGCCGGACCACCCCGGATTCTGTGCCCCCCCCGACCCCCCGGGCCATCTGCTCCCCCCAGATCCCCCCGGCATGGGACCCCCCCAAATCCGCGGCTCGGCAGTCCCGGGGGGGTCAATTCCAATTATCGATCACCCCCCGGGACCCCCCGGCCCCCCCTCACCCCGCGCAGGGGCCGATGCGGCCGCGGTGCATTGTGGGAAGCTCAGCCCCGGGTTGCCAGGGGCGACGGCGCCGCGGTGCATTGTGGGAGAATCCCCCCATCACCCCCCCCCCCCCCCCGGTGATGGGGGGGGGGCGCAGCTCCATCCCAGAATGCTCCGCGCGCCGACATCGCCCCCCCCCCCCACCCCCTCCCCAATTCCACCCCCCCCTTGGGGAAACTGAGGCGGGGGCGGACCCCCCTCCGCCCCCCCCCCAAAAACACCTGCGGGGTCTCCACCCCCACCCCCGCCTCAGTTTCCCCGGGGGGAGGGGGGAACAAAACGCCCCCCCAGGAGGACCCCAAATGGGGGTGGGGGGGGTCGGGAGGGGCCGCACCCCCCTTTTCACGCGCCCCCCCCCCAATTCCCGGCCCCCGCCCTGTTCCCCACCCCCCCTTTACCCTCGGCCCCCGCCCTGCCCCCCCCCCGATGTCACCCCCGCCCCCCCCGGGGACATCGCTCGCCCCCCCCTTTGCGCCCCCCTTTTTCCAGCCCCCCCTTTCTTCACGGCCCCTCCCCCGCACCTCGGGACCCCCCAATTCCCAGCCCCCCCCAATTCACACAGCCTCCCCCCCTCAGGACCCACCCCAGATTTAAGACCCCCCCGTTAAAATCCCCCCATCCCCCCCTTTAAATTCCCCCATCCCCCCCTTTAAATCCCCCCCCCCCCCCCGGTTTAACGGCGCCCCCCCCAATTCCCAGCGCCCCCCCGGCCCCTCCGCACCTGCGGGGGCGGCTCCCCCCGGCCCCCCCGTGCCCCCCATCCCCCGGGGTTCGCTCCCCCGGCCCCGGGCGGGCCCCGGGACCCCCCGGCCCCCCCCGGTACCCCCCGGCCCCCCCCGGTACCTGCGGGTTCAGCTCCATGCGGCGATCGCGGCGCGACCCCCCCGCACCGCCCCGCGCCCGCGGGCTCCCCCCGCCGGCGGCCGCCGGAACTGCGGGACCCCCGCCCTCCGCTCCCGCTCAGCAGCGCCCCCCGCGGCCACCGCCGGCACTGCACCGACCCCTCCCGCCTCCGCAGCGTCCCCCGCGGCCACCGCCGGTACTGCACCGACCCCTCCCGCCTCAGCAGCGCCCCCCGCGGCCACCGCCGGAACTGCACCGACCCCTCCCGCCTCGGCAGCGCCCCCCGCGGCCACCGCCGGAACTGCAGCGCTGCCGCTCAGCGGGCCGGTAATGAAGGGGCGTTGATGAGGGACGTTAATGAGGGGAGTTTATGAGGGGCGTTAATGAGGGGCGTTAATGAGGCGGCAATAATGACGGGCGTTAATGAGGCGGCAATAATGACGGGCGTTAATGAGGGGGCGTTAATGAGGGGTGTTAAGAGACATTAATGAGGAGGCATTAATGAGGGACATTAATGAGGGGCGTTAATGAGGGGTCGTTAATGAAGGACGTTAATGCTGGGCGTTAATGAAGGGGTGTTAATGAGGGGCGTTAATGAGGGGAGTTAATGAGGCGGCGTTAATGAGGGGTCTTAATGAGGAGCATTAGTGAGGGGCATTAATGAGGGGCGTTAATGAGGGGCATTAATGAGGGGCGTTAATGAGGGGTCGTTATTGAGGGACGTTTATGAGGGGCGTTAATCAGAGGTGCTAATGATGGGCGTTAATGAGGGGTGTTAATAAGGGGGCGTAAATGAGGGGTGTTAATGAGGGGGAGTTAATGAGGGGCGTTAATATGGGCGTTAAGGAGGAAGCGCTAATGAGGGGCTTAAATGAGGGATGTTAGAGGCGTTAATGAGGAGCATTAATGAGGGGGCGTTAATGAAGGGTCTTAATGAGGAGCATTAGTGAGGGGCATTAATGACGGGCATTAATGAGGGGCGTTAATAAGGGGTCGTTAATGAGGGACGTTTATGAGGGGCGTTAATGAGAGGTGTTAATGATGGGCGTTATTGAGGGGTGTTAATAAGGGGGCGTTAATGAGAGGTGTTAATGATGGGCGTTATTGAGGGGTGTTAATAAGGGGGCGTTAATGATAGGTGTTAATGATGGGCGTTAATGATGGGCCTTAATTAGGGGGTGTTAATGAGAGGCGTTAATGGGGGGGCAATAATGATGGGTGTTAATGAGGGAGGGTGCTAATGAAGGGTGTTAATGAAGGTAGGTGTACTTTAGGGAGGAGTCTTAAGGGGGAGCACTAATGGAAATGTTAATGAAGAAACATTAATGAGAAATGTTAATGAGCTGGGGCTTATGATGTGAGGCTCCTTAAGCTAATTAACAGGCAGGTCCATCCCAGCTAATGAGTAATATAGAGCAGCAGGAGCCCTGCTAATCACTGTCATCAGCCATATATTTACATATGCTAATGAGTTGGGGTAATTAAACAGGAGCTCGTTAACTGTTCAGGAATAGGAAGGAAGAGCGGATTAATTGACAGACACAGAGCAGAGAGCAGGGTTTATTGGAGGCCCCATTAATTTAATTAAGGGGGTTAATTAATGAGCCCTTGTGCAGGGCACGAGGCTGGGAGTGCAAGCCACGCCCCCGGCCCGCTCAGCCCCACCCCTCTCCTGTCAATCACTGGTGCCCCGCCCCTTCCGGACAAACCCCGCCCATCGAATGTCAATCACTTTAGACCCCGCCCCCTGCCCCAGGCCCCGCCCCTCGGTGTGTTCGCGTTTAATGGACGGAACAGGGGCGGGGCGATCTCTGGACAGAGCGCTGCCTTGACCAATGGGAAGCGGCGGTGGGCGGGTCTCCGAGCCACGCTGGCCAATGGAACGGCTGTGGGTCGGGCGGCGTAGCCAATAAGCAGCGGGAGCAGGGGGTGGGCGGGGCCCGCGGGAACTCCGTGCCCGTGAGGGGAAAGGCGGCGGGAGCAGGAGAGAGACGTGAGGGGGGAATCGGGATATCGCGATAGACAGCGGGATATCGGGATAGAGACCGCGATCCACACCGGGATATCGCCATACATACCGGGATAGACACCGCGCGAGCGGGTACCTGTGACAGCCGGAGAGCGGAACTCCGGGATATCGGGACAGCGGGGGACCGAAGTGCAGGCAGCGGGGCTGGAGAGGGCGAGCGGGACACCGGGGTACCGGGGCTGGGGCACCGGGGGAGCCGGAGAGCCATGAGCCGAGGGATGGGGAGCGGGGGTCGGCAGGAAGTACGAGGGGCAGGGGGAGGCCGGGGGAGGGACCGAGGAGATGGTGGGGCCCGGGGGGCAGAGAGAGCGGTGAGCGGGGGCAGCGGGCCCGGGGGGCTCCGGAGGCACCGGCGGTCCAGGGCCCTGCCGAGCGAACCGGGCCCGGGCAGGGTCTGGGGTCCCCTCCCCCCCCGGGGTGTCACCCCCTCCCCAGCGGGGGCGGGGCTTGGTGAAGGGCGGGGCGAGGGGCGGGGCTTGGGCAGGGAGCGGGCGTTGCCATGGGACCGTGACGGGGCGTGGCTTGCTGGGGGCGTGGCCTGGGAGTGTAATATGAATAAGGGGCGTGGCCTCAGGAGGGGCGCGGCGCCGGCGTTACCATAGCGACAGAAGGCGCGCGGGGTTGCCACGGGGAAGGGCGGGGCCCTGGGAGGGGGCGTGGTCAGTTACCACGGGGATATGGGCGTGGCTAACGAAAGGGGCGGTGCCAACGAGTCGTTGCCATGGCGACGAGGGCGTGGTCTGCTGAAGGGGCGTGGTCCCGGTAGGGCGCGGTCCCGGCCGAGGGAAGTGGGGCGCTCCCGGTGCCCCCGGGATGGATCCGGGGGGGCCCGGGGGGTGCGGCCGGGTCAGGCCCCACCATCCCCCATTCCCCGGGGCTTCGGGAACAAAGCCGGGAGGGCTCGAGCGGTACCGGGACACCGGGGGGACAGCGGGGGACAGCGGGGGGACGATGTCCCCCGGGGGTCCCGGCTGGGGCTGGGACCTCCCGTTCCAGCTGTGGCTGCAGGCGCTGCTCTGGGCGCTGCTTTTGGGGCGCCTCCTCCGCTACGGGGGGGGCCTGGGCCGGGGGGAGCTCCCCCGGGACCAGGCCGGGACGGGGGCACCCCAAAACCGGGGAGGGAACCCCCAGAGTGAGCCCTGACTGGGGGGGGGCAGAGGGCCGCCCCCAAAGGTCCCTCCTTGTACCCCCGAGTCGTTTGGGCGAGTCCCTAAGTTGTGGGGGCGCGGTTTGCTCCTGCCTCAGTTTCCCCAGTCGTGGGGGGGCTCATTCCCCCCCCAGGAGGTCACTGGTCCGACTGGGCCGTACTGGGAGGCCCTGGGCACAAAGGCTGAGCTCCGGGAACAGCGGCCAGCGACAGCTGCGGACACGGTGAGGGGGGCCCGGGACATGTGGGGTGGCCTTGGTCCCTTTCGGGGTCCCCCCTGTCCCCTCCTGTTCCTCGGGGTCTCTTTGGGGTGTCCCCTGTCCCTTGGGGACACTCCCACATCCCCCTGTCCCCTCGATGTCCCCTCGGAGCCCACTCCAGTGCTGTCCCTGTTCCTCACGGTGGTTTTTGGGGTCCCCCCACCCCAAAGTGGGGCCAGCTCTGGGTGCTGTCCTCTGTTGGGGACATGGGGGACAGCGAGACACCGGGACAGGGACGGAGGGAACAGAGGGGGACACAGGAGGGGACAACCACAGCACGGGGAGGTGACAGAGGAGGGGGGTTGGGAATGCGGGGTGGGGGGGACACCGGTGACATCGGGTCTGGGGCCACTGGTGTCCCCAGGATGTCCCCAGGGCGGGGGGGACACGTGTTGGCGTCCTTGGCCTCGAGGGGACGTTGCTGTCCCCAGCGTGGGGGGCTCTGGTGGCACCTCGGTGCCATCGATGGGGTGTCCCCAGGGCCAAGGAGGTGACCAGGATGTCCTGGGCAGTGTCCGCAGGTGTGACACAGGATGTCCCTGTCTCCAGGTCACAGAGGTGTCCCTGTCCCCAGGTGCTGAAGCAGAGCTGGGACTTTCCCTTTCCTCAGACACCTCTGGTGGCCCTCCAAGATATGTCCCCATTGTCCCCAGGCGTCCCCAGGGTCTCCGGTGGCCCTCCAAGGTGTGTCCCCATTGACCCCAGATGTCCCCACGTCCCCCAGGATGGTCCCCAGGGCCATCCCTGTCCCCCTCGGTGTGTCAACCCTCCCCTCTCGGGCTGTCCCCAACATGTCCCTTTTCCCCTTTCGGTGTCCCCAAAGTGTCCCCTGCCCCCCCAGGGGGTCCCCGAGGTGTCCCTTGTCCCCTTGGGGTGTCCCAGGGGAGTCTTGGGAGTTTCTTGGGGACTTCTGAGGGATATCTGGGGAATTTGGGGTCCCTGGGGGGTTCTGGGGTCCCTGGTGGGGTTTTGGGTCCCCTGGGGGGGATCTGGGGAGGTTTTGGGAAATTTTGAGGATTTTTCTGCCCCCCCAGATCCTGCTGGGCTTTGAGGACCTGCCAGGACCTGAGCCCAGAGCGCCTGGAGGCACCCAAAAGGCAGAGCTGCACCCCAAAACTGCACAGCTGCACCCCAAAATGCAGACCTGGACCCCAAAAATGCACAGCTGGACCCCCAAATCATATAAAGCTTCCCATAAACGCTGAACCCCCAAACCTGGAGATGCCTGAAGTACACATGAACCCCAGGGCGTTTGGGGGTCCCAGGGCTGGGACCCCCTGTTTTGGGGTGTCCCAGGGCTGTGACTCCCCTGTTTTAATCCCCCCACATGAAAACCCCCCCACTTTGTCCCCAATTGGAGGTCCCCAAAACCAGGGGGGGGCCCCAAAACCCCCTGGGGGATGAGCCAGCCCCCCCAAGGCTTCGTTGTAAACGGGTTTGAGCAGAATCAATAAAGTTTGGGATAAAAATTGGGTTTGGAAATTTTGGGGTCCTCCCGAAGTGGGGGGGTCCCATGGGTTTGGGGGGGACCCCAGTGCGTTTGGGGTGTCCATGACTTTGGGGGGCCCTGGAATTGGGGTGACCTATGGGTTTGGGAGGACCCTGGTGGGTTTGGGGTGACCCCAGTGGGTCAGAGGGGCTCATGATGGGGAGACCCCATGAGTTTGGGGGGATCCCTTGGAACTGGGGGGGGATCCATGATTTTGGGGGTCACCTCATGGATTTGGGGTAGCTTCATGGGTTTGGGGTGTCCCTTCTTCAGGGGGGTCTTCGGTTTGGGGGGCCCTGGAATCAGGGGCACCCCATAGGTCAGGGGGGTTCCATGGGTTTTGGGTGACTCCATGGGTTTGGGGTGACCCCAATGGGTTTAGGGGCGGCTCCATGGGTTTCGAGTGACTCCATGGGTTTGGGGTGACCCCATGGGTTTAGAGTGGCTCCATGGGTTTGGGGGGGCTCAGTGGATTTGGGGTGACCCCATGGGTTTGGGGGGCTCCATGGATTTGGGGGGACCCCATGGCTTTTGGGTGACCCCATGGGTTTGGGGGGCTCCATGGATTTGGGGGGACCCCATGGGTTTGGGGTGACCCGATGGGTTTGGGGTGGCTCCATGGGTTTGGGGGGGCTCAGTGGATTTGGAGTGACCCCATGGGTTTGGGGGGCTCCATGGATTTGGGGGGACCCCATGGCTTTTGGGTGACCCCATGGGTTTAGGGGCCCCATGGATTTGGGGTGACCCCATGGGTTTGGGGGGGCCCCATGGATTTGGGGTGATCCCATGGATTTGGGGTGACCCCATGAGTTTGGGGGGCTCCATGGATTTGGGGTGACCCCATGGATTTGGGGTGACCCCATGGCTTTTGGGTGACCCCATGGGTTTGGGGGGGCTCCATGGGTTTGGGTTGACCCCATGGATTTGGGGTGACCCCATGGGTTTGGGTTGACCCCATGGATTTGGGGTGACCCCATGGGTTTAGGGGCCCCATGGGTTTGGGGGGACCCCACGGATTTGGGGTGACCTCTTGGGTTTGGGGGGGCCCCATGGATTTGGGGGGACCCCATGGCTTTTGGGTGACCCCATGGGTTTAGGGGCCCCATGGATTTGGGGTGACCACATGGGTTTGGGTTGACCCCATGGATTTGGGGTGACCCCATGGGTTTGGGGTGACCCCATGGGTTTGGGGGGGCCCCATGGATTTGGGGTGATCCCAATGGGTCTGTCGGGGCTCCATGAGTTTTCGGGGGGCTCCATGGGCTCAGGGGGTCCATGCTATTGGGGGGGTCTCCATTTTGGGGGGCAGGGGACACAGCGGTGGGCGTGGCCTCCAGAAAAGAAGGGGCGTGGCCTTTCCTACATGGGCGTGGTTTCGAGCGATGGGCGTGTCCTAATTGTAGAGGGGGCGGGGCCGACGGAACTGGGCGTGGCTTCCAGACATATGGGCGTGGCTTAGCCGGGATGGGCGTGACTTATCGCCGCTGTGGGCGTGGCTTTCAGTGGGCGCGGCCGTGCGGGGCGGTTCCATCCTGAGGCGCGCGCGCGGCGGCCGCGGTTCCTCCTCCGACCGGGCGCGCGCGGGCGGGGCGGGGGCGGAGGAGGAGGAGGAGGAGGAGGAGGAGGAGGAGGAGGAAGGGGCGCGGGAGGGGGGCCGGCGGTGCCGCGGGGGGGGGCCATGGCGGTGCCGCCGCCGCCGCCGCCGGGCCCCGAGCAGGCCCCGCGATACCAGGAGTGGATCCTGGACACCATCGACTCGCTGCGTTCGCGCAAGGCGCGGCCGGACCTGGAGCGCATCTGCCGCATGGTGCGGCGGCGGCACGGCCCCGAGCCCGAGCGCACCCGTGCCGAGCTGGAGAAGCTGATCCAGCAGCGCGCCGTGCTCCGCGTCTCCTACAAGGGCAGCATCTCGTACCGCAACGCCGCCCGCGTGCAGCCGCCGCGCCGCCCGCCGCCGCCCGCCCGCCGCCCGCCGCCCGTCAGCCTCCGCGACACCGCGCGGCTGCTCGGCGGCGACGGCCGCCTCACCCGCGGCCGCCTCCAGGGCTCGGCCGCGCCCGGCGGCGGCGGGGGGGCGGCCGGGGCGGCCCCCGGGGCGGGCGGCGGCGGCGGAGCGGGCGGCGGGGCCCGGCCCGAGCGCACCCGGCTGGGCGCCATCGCCACGGCCCGCGGGGAGCGCGGGAGAGCGGCTGCGGGGAGGGCGCGGAAGGTGAGGAGGGGCGTGAGGGCAGCGCTGAGGGGCGTGAGGGGAGCGGTGAGGGGAGCGGTGAGGGGAGCGGTGAGGGGAGCGGTGAGGGGAGCGGTGAGGGGAGCGGTGAGGGGAGCGGTGAGGGGCGTGAGGGGAGCGGTGAGGCGCTGAGGGGAGCGGTGAGGGGAGCGGTGAGGGGAGCGGTGAGGCGCTGAGGGGAGCGGTGAGGCGCTGAGGGGAGCGGTGAGGCCGTGAGGGGAGCGGTGAGACGCTGAGGGGAGCGGTGAGACGCTGAGGGGAGCGGTGAGGGGTGTGAGGGGAGCGGTGAGGTGGTGAGGGGAGCGGTGAGGCCGTGAGGGGAGCGGGGGGCCCGCGCATTGTGAGGGGGAGCGCGGGAAGCGGCGGGGGGACGTGAGGGGCTGGTAGGAATGAGGATCGTGAGGGGGCACCGAGCGCTGAGAGGAACGGGAGGCCGCGGGGAAGGTTCGGGGGTCGTGAAGGGACACCGGCGAGGCCTGAGGGTTTCCTGAGGGGACACTGGGGAACGGGCCATGAAGGGTTCGGGGGTCGTGAGGGCTGAGGGGACCCCGAGGGCACGTAGGAGACTTGGGGGGCTCTGGGAGGGTGACCCTGAGGGGCCCAGGGTGAGGTGGTGGGAATTTGGGGGTGTCCGAGGGTCCTGAGGGACTGGGGGGACCAGGGACAGCGGTGGTGACGGGGCACTGGGGTCCTGAGGGGGCCCCTGAAGGGTTAGTGGGGACAGAGGAGGGGCACAAGGTGGATGGAACCGGGTAGGAAGGGGACACAAGACCCAGAGAAAGGGTCTGGGGGGCTGAAGGGATTTGAGGAGGGATCCTGAGATGATTTAGGGGTCCCTGAGAGGATTTAGGGGTCCCGTGAGGGAACTGGGGCAGTAAGGGGACCTGGTGGAGGGGTCTCCTGAGAGGACTTGATGGGTAGAGTGGTTTTGGGGACACCCTTCAGGGGACCTCTGAGGAGACTGGGGGCCTGAGGGGACAGCAGAGATCTCGGGATGTTGGGGGACCCAAGAGGACTTGGGTGGCCTGGAGGGGGGGGCAGGGACTGGGGGATTTAGGGGACCTGAGGTGACAGTGGGGACCTGCATGGGTTTTGGGATTACCAAAAGCCGGGACTGGATGGGGGTGGGAGGCTGGGAGGTTGGGAAGTTGGGGGAACCCCAGGATGTTGTGGGGGGGACAATGACAATGCTGGGATGACAGCTCTGGGGGGAGCGCAGAATTGGGGCATCCTGGGTTTGGGGGACCCTGCGGGACTGGGGGGGTAATTTTTGGGGCTGTCCTGGATTTGGGGGGTGGCTTTCAGGACTGAGGGTGTTCTGAATTTTTTTGGGGGGGGTGTTGGTATCACTGCAGGGTGGTCAAGGTGCAGCTGTGGAGGCCCTGCTTTGGTGGGGGCTGTCGATTTTGGTGCCAGGGCTATACATTTCTGGGGCCACAGACTTTTAGGGGTCTGTAGGTTGTTGGGGGGGTCACAGCTCTGGGGGTCTCTGTGGGGTGGTGTTCACACTGTGCTTTTGGGGACCCCCAGCCCCCCTGCAGCAGCAGCGAGGCCTCAGCACGGGAGGAGGAGGAGGAGGAGGAGGATGAGGATGACGAAGACGAGGACGGGACGGGCTCGGAGGCCTCCGAGGACGCGGGGCCCCCCCGACAGCTGAATGGGGAGGGCCGGGGGGGGCCCCCCCTGCGTCCCCCGGGGCAGCCGCCCCCCGAGCGGCCCCCCCAGCCCAAGGCCTGCGCCCCGGGGGAAGGGGGCTGCCAGCACATGGCCCCCCTCAAAAAGGAGGGGGCCTTCGGGCAGCCTGACAGAGCAGGTACTGACTGAGGGGGGAGGGTGGATTCGGGGGCAGGGGGCTTTGGGGGTGATGGGGGTAGGGGGGTTTAAGTTTGGGGGTGCTGGGGGCAGTTTGGGGGTGATGGGGGCAGTTTGAGGGTAGGGGTGTGTAAGTTTGAGGGTGATGGGGGCAGTTTGAGGGTAGGGGTGTGTAAGTTTGGGGGTGATGGGGGCAGTTTGGAGGGTGATGGGGGCAGTTTGAGGGTAGGGGGTTTAAATTTGGGGGTGCTGGGGGCAGTTTGGGGAGTGGTGGGGGTAGGGGTGTGTAAGTTTGGGGGTGATGGGGGCAGTTTTGGGGGTGCTGGGGGCAGTTTGAGGGTAGCGGTGTATAGGTTTGGGGGTGATGGGGGCAGTTCAGGGGTGGGGTCAGTCCAGACTGCAGGGTCAGGGCAGAGGGTGGATGGTCAGTGGGTGCTGGGGGTCACTCCGGGTGTGTGGTCACTCGGGGCTGTCCCGGTGTGACCCGTTGGTGTCCCCGCAGTGTCCCCGGCGCTGGCGGGGGCTGAGCCCTCGGTGCCGCTGTCCCCAGGCCGGCCGGGCCCCCAGGCTGCCGAGGGGGCCCCGTTCAGCTGCACGTGAGTCAGGGGCCAGTGTCCCCTGTCCCTTTGTGCCACCCAGTGTCGCCTTGTGTCACCTGTGTCCCACCCAGCATCCCTCCGTGTCTCTCAGTGTCACCCATGTGTCACCCAGCCAGTGACCATCCATGTCCCCCCCACATCTATGTATCCATGTCCCCTGGATGTCCCCTGTCCCTGTGAACATGTCCCTCTGTCACCTCCTTGTTGCTGTGACAACCTGTCCCTACAGTGTCCCCATCCCAATGACCGGGTCCTGGTGTCCCCCTGTCCCTCCTGGTGTCCCAGTGACCGTGTCCCCATGGTGGTGACCGTGTCTGTCTATCCCCATGGCGGAGACCATGTCCATGTGTCCCCACACTGTCCCCGTGTCCCCCGTGACCGTGTCCCCGCGGTGTCCCCTGGATGTCCCCGTGACGCTGTCCCCTGTCCCCAGGGCTGGGCGCAAGGACAAGGCCGTGGACCCGGTGGAGTGGTCGGTGCGGGACGTGGTCGAGTACTTCACCGAGGCCGGCTTCCCTGAGCAGGCCGGGGCCTTCCAGGAGCAGGTGGGGCCAGCCCTGTCCCCTCTGTCCCCTGCTGTCCCCTGTCCCCATGGCTGTCCCTTGCTGTCCCCAATGTCCCTTGCTGTCCCCAGGAGATCGATGGCAAGTCGCGGCTGCTGATGCAGAGGGTCGATGTGCTCATGGGGCTCTCTGTCCCTGCATCCCCCCGGGTGTCCCCTGTCCCTGTGGCTGTCCCCAGTGTCCCTTGCTGTCCCCAACGTCCCTCGCTGTCCCCGTGTCCCCAGGAGATCGACGGCAAGTCGCTGCTGCTGATGCAGAGGGCCGATGTGCTCACCGGGCTCTCCATCCGCCTGGGCCCCGCGCTCAAGATCTACGAGTACCACGTGAAGCTGCTGCAGCGCAGCCACTTCCAGGACGAGGAGCCCCCCCCGGAGCCCTTCCCGGCCTGAGAGACCCCCCCAGAGCCACGGGGGCCCCCCCAGAGCCGCAGGGACACCCCCAGACCCACGGGGACACCCCCAGACCCACGGGGACACCTCGGTATCCGGGAGGGCTCCTCCCTCCCCCCGCTGCTGCACACAGAGACTTTGGGGGGTGGGCGGGGGGGTCACGGGGGTCCCACCTCTCTTTGGGGGAGTCCCATCCCTATTTAGGGGGGGGGTCTTGCCTCTCTTTAGGGTCCCACCTCTCATTTGAGGGTTCCCGCCTCACTTTGAGGGGGTCTCATCTCTCTTTTGGAGAATCCCATCTTTCTTTGGGGGTCCCACCCCTCTTTGAGAGGTCTCTTTTTTGTGGGGGCACTGCTCTAGGGGGACACCCCTCTTTGGAGGCACTGCCTCTCTTTTGGGGGGGGGTCTCACCCTGTTTTTGGGGGCGCTTCTCTTTGGGGGGGTCATTTCTCCGGGGAATCCCACCCCTCTTTTGGGGGGGCTTCTCCTTGGGGACCCCTCTTTTGGGAGGGGGCACTTCTCTTTAGAGGGGTCCTCCCCTCTCTTTTGGGGGGGATCCCACACCCTGAGGGGTCACCCCTCTTTTGGGGGGGGCCACCTCTCTTTTGAGGGGGTCGCCCCTCTTGTGGGGCGCCTCTCTCTGGGGCGCATTGGGGGTGGGACACCCCGCTCCTACTGGGGTCACTCCTCTTTTGGGGGGGCCCCTCTGGGGGCGGGGTCACCCCTCCTTGAGGGAGCCCCTTTTTAGGGGATCCCCCTTTTCTTGGGGGGGATTTTTACCGCGGGGGGAGGGGGTTGGGGGGCTCTGCCCGGAGATGTTTTAACTTTCCCCAGCCTGTGCCCCCCGCCCAAATTAGGGTGCGGCCCCCCCATCCCTTGGCCACGAGGGGGGGGAGGCCCCCCCAACCGCCCCCCCCCCGCAGTCTGTGCCCCCCCTTTCCCCGGGCCTGGCTCGTTTTGCGTTTTTTTAAATAAAAATGAAAAAATGAAATAAAAGAAACAGAAAATCTCGGGGTTTTGGGGGGTCCTCCCGCCTCACAGCCCCCCCAGAAGGGGCTGGGGTGGAATGGGGGGGCCAAGGGGGCATTTGGGGGTCTCGGGGACCCCTAGGGAGGGGACGATTCTGCGCATGCGCCGGTCCTCCCGCTCAGCAGGGGGCGCCAAGCCCCGCGGGAGCCGCTCCTGCCGCTCCGCGCATGCGCTGTCGCGAACCATCAGCTGCGCATGCCTCCTCATGGAGATGGGCGCCATCACGGCCCCTACGGCGGCCGGCTGGGCCCAAAAACCGCGCTCCGTAAACCAGCCTCAAAAACAGCCTCAGCACCCCTAAACTGTCCTCAAACATCCCAGAACAGCCTCAGCACCCTAAACTACCCCAGAACAGCCTCAGCACCCCTAAAATGTCCTCAAACTGCCCCAGAACAGCCTCAGCACCCCCAAACTGCCCCAAACACCCCCAGAACTGCCTCAGGCTTCCCTAAAGGATCAATAACTGCCCCCAAACCAGCGTAAAGTTCCCAAGAAAGAGCCTCAAACGCCGCTAAAGCCACAAATGCCCCAACGCTCCCAATACGCTTCGAGCCGGTGTGAAGAATCCTCGCCCGCCCCGCCCTCAGTGCCCTCCCGACCCACAGGAGCCCTAAAGGAGCCCCCGCTGCCCCCACAGGGCCCTCAGGCCCCATAAGTGTTCCTATGGGATCGACCCCCCCCATGTCTCCCTACGGCGGCCGGACAGGCCCAAAAGCCGCTCCCTTCTTCCCCACCTACGGCGGCCGGCGGGGCCGAATAAACTCCGCGTCCCTCTTCCCTACGGCGGCCCAAAGGCCACCTGATTTGCGCATGCGCAATAGCCTTTCCCTTGTGAAGATGGCGGCGTCCATATTCCCCCTTTCCGTACGGTGGCCAGGGGGCCAAAAAGCCACCGTGCCCTCTCCACCCTCTCATCCCGCGTTCCTACAGCGGCCAAAGGAACCCAAAATCCCCCTTGTCCGCCCCTCAGCTCTCCCAAATCTACAGTAGAGGTTGCGGCGCATAACCACCCCTGTCACCCCGCACATGCGCAATGATGGTACCGGGGCGAAGATGGCGGCGCCCTCCGCTCCCTCCCTCCGTACGGCGGCCGGCGGGGGCTCCAAGCCCCGCCCCGCGCGGGCCCCGCGCATGCGCCACGCGGGGGGGAAGATGGCGGCGTCCTCGCTGGAGCAGAAGCTGTCGCGGCTGGAGGCGAAGCTGAAGCAGGAGAACCGCGAGGCGCGGCGGAGAATCGACCTCAACCTCGACATCGGCCCCGCCCGCGCCCGCCCCAGTGAGCGGGGCCGGGGGGAACGACCCGGGGGGCGGGGCGGGGCGGCCGCGGGGAGGCCGCGCTGGGTGGGGGGAGGGGACCGGGGCCGTGAGGGGAGAGCGGGGCCGTGAGGGGAGAGCGGGGCCGGGAGGGGAGAGCGGGGCCGGGAGGGGAGAGTGGGGCTGGGAGGGGCTGGAGGGGAGAGCGGGGCCCGGAGGGGAGAGCGGGACCCGGAGGGGAGAGCGGGGCCGGAGGGGAGAGCGGGGCCGAGAGGAACAATTTGGGGTGGTTGGGGCGGGTTTGGGGGGCTCGGGGCAGTTTTGGGGTGCTCGGGGCAGTTTTGGGGTGCTCGGGGCAGTTTTGGGGTGGTTGGGGGCCTTCAGGGACATTTTGGGGTGTTCGGGGCCCTTCAGGGACATTTTGGGGTGTTCGGGGCAGTTTAGAGACTGTTTGGGTTGTTCGGGGCAGGTTTGGGGTGTTTGGGGCAGTTTAGGGACATTTTGGCGTATTTGGGGACATTTTGGGGTATTGGGGGCAGTTTTGGGGTGGTTAGGGCCATTCAGGGACATTTTGGGGTGTTCGGAGCCCTTCAGGGACATTTTGGGGTATTTGGGGCAGTTATGGAGTGTTCGGGGCCCTTTAGGGACATTTTGGGGTGTTCGGGGAAGTTTAGAGACTGTTTGGGTTGTTCGGGGCGCTTTTGGGGTGTTCGGGGCAGGTTTGGGGTGTTTGGGGCAGTTTAGGGACATTTTGGCGTATTTGGGGCAGTTTTGGGGACATTTTGGGGTGTTTAGGGCAGTTTTGGGGTGGTTGGGGCCCTTCAGGGACATTTTGGGGTGTTCGGGGCCCTTCAGGGACATTTTGGGGTATTTGGGGCAGTTATGGAGTGTTCGGGGCCCTTTAGGGACATTTTGGGGTGTTCGGGGCAGTTTAGAGACTGTTTGGGTTATTCGGGGCGCTTTTGGGGTGTTTGGGGCAGTTTAGGGACATTTTGGCGTATTTGGGGCAGTTTTGGGGACATTTTGGGGTGTTTAGGGCAGTTTTGGGGTGGTTGGGGCCCTTCAGGGACATTTTGGGGTGTTGGGGGCAGTTTTAGGGTGGTTAGGGCCCTTCAGGGACATTTTGGGGTGTTCGGGGCCCTTCAGGGACATTTTGGGGTGTTCGGGGCAGTTTAGAGACTGTTTGGGTTGTTCGGGGCGCTTTTGGGGTGTTCGGGGCAGTTTAGGGACATTTTGGCATATTTGGGGCAGTTTTGGGGACATTTTGGGGTGTTTAGGGCAGTTTTGGGGTGGTTGGGGTCCTTCAGGGACATTTTGGGGTGTTGGGGGCCCTTCAGGGACATTTTAGGGTTTTGGGGGCAGTTATGGAGTGTTCGGGGCCCTTTAGGGACATTTTGGGGTGTTCGGAGCAGGTTTGGGGTGTTTGGGGCAGTTTAGGGACATTTTGGCATATTTGGGGCAGTTTTGGGGACACTTTGGGGGGTTTGGGGCAGTTTGGGGGGATTTGGGGCAGTTTTAGGGTGGTTGGGGCAGTTCAGGGACATTTTGGGGTGTTCGGGGCAGGTTTGGGGTATTTGGGGGCCGTTACGGACATTTTAGGACAGTATTTGGGGCAGGTTTAGGGTGTTTGGGGAGTTTAGGGACATTTTGGGATGTTCGGGGCCATTTTGGGGTGTTTGGGGCATTTTAGGGCCATTTTGGGCCATTCAGGTTTGTTTGGGGTTTTTGTGGGGCGGGGTTCGAGGATGTTCAGGAGGATTTGGGGCAGTTTGAGGGGTTTGGGAGAATTTTGGGGCAGTTTGAGGGGTTTGGGAGAATTTTGGGGCAGTTTGGGGTTGGTTTGGGAGAATTTTGGGGCAGTTTGGGGTTGGTTTGGGGTATTTGGGGCAGTTTAGGGACATTTTGGGGTTGGCTTGGGGGAGCTCTGTGGGGGAATCTGAGGCTGTTTTAGGGTTTTAAGGATCATTTAAGGGGTTTCAGGGGATTTAGGGACAATTTGGGGCAGTTAAGGGACATTTTTTTGCTCTTAGGGACATTTTGGGGCAGTTTAGGACAGTTTGGGGCAGTTTGGGGCCTGGTTTAGGGGGTTTTGGGGGTTCTGGGGGGTTGGGAAGGGATTTTGGAGGGATTTGGGGGTTCCCAGTGGGATTTGGGGGGCTCTGGGGGGTTTGGAAATTGGATTTTTTTTTGGGTCTCCCTCATTTATCACCTCGAGGATCCCCCTCCCCCCCCCGGGACAATCCCAAAAGATTTGGGGATTTTTTTGGGAATTTTGGGGTTTTTTGGGGGATTTTCCAAGCCGGGGGGAGCAGCCCCCTCCCCCTTCCCCCTTTCCCCTTCCCCCCTTTCAATTTTAAACTCATTTTTATCCCCCTAAATTTAAATTCATCCCCTCAAATTTAAATTTTAATTTTATTCCCACAAAGTTTTAATTTTTCCCCCCAAATTCATTCCTGTCCCCCCCAATTTAATGTGATTTCTCCCCCAATTTAAATTAATTTTTGTGCCCCCAAATTTTCTTTTTTTCTCTGAATTTCACTCCTGTTCCCCCCAATTTCATCTCTGTCCCCTCCCCCAATTTAACTTAAGTTTTAAGTTTTATTTGAATTTTTGGTTAAATTTTTGTCCCCCCCAATTTAAACTCATTTTTGTCTCCCACATTTCATTGGTGTTCCTTCAGCTTAATTTAATTTTCCTCCCAATTTAAATTAATTTCTGTCCCACCCTAATTAATGCTCATCTCCCCAACTTAATTAATTCCCCCTTAATTTAAATCCATTTTGGTTCATCTGAATTTAAATTAATTTCTCTTAAATTTAATTAATTTTTGCCCACCAATTTAATTAATCCTCTCCCAATTTAAATTCATTTTTTGCCCCCAATTTAATTAATTTTTTCCCAATTTAATTCCATTTTCATTCTCCAATTTAAATTCATTTCATCTAATTTAATTCCCCCAGTTTAATTAATGCCCTCTCGTTTAAGTTCTGCCCCCAGTTTATTTCCCCCCTATTTAAATTAGGTTTTGCCTCTCAATGTAATTAATTTTCCTAATTTAAAGTAATTTCTACCCCTCAATTTAAGTTAGTGTCTGTCCACCAATTTAATTAATTTCTCCAGTTTAAATTAATTTCTGCCTCTCAATTCAACTAATTCCCTCAATTTAAATTAATTTCTGCCTCCAAATTAAGTTTATTTCCCCCGATTCAAATTAAATTTTGTCCCCCACTTTAATTAACTCAACCCCCCCCCGGTCCTTCCTTTTTTAATTTTTCTCTTTTCTTTCTGTTTTTATTTTTTATTTATTATTTTCTCCCTGGGCCCCCCCCGTGCCCCTCCCCCATCTCCAGTCATCGTCATCACCCTTAGCCCCGCCCCCGCTCCGTCCCAGCGAGCAGGTACCGCCCCCTTCCTTAGCCCCGCCCCCTTCCTGCGGCCCCGCCCCCTTCCCTTAGCCCCGCCCCCTTCCTTAGCCCCGCCCATTCCTTTGGCTCAGCCCCCTTCCCTTAGCCCCGCCCCTTTCCTTAGCCCCGCCCCCGCTCCGTCCCAGCGAGCAGGTACCGCCCCCTTCCTTAGCCCCGCCCCTTCCTTTGGCCCACCCCTTCCCTTAGCCCCGCCCCCTTCCCTTAGCTCCGCCCCTTCCCTTAGCCACGCCCCTTCCTTTAGCCCTGCCCCTTCCTTTAGCCCCGCCCATTCCTTTAGCCACGCCCCTTCCTTTAGCCCCGCCCCTTTCCCAGCAGCAGGTACCGCCCCCTTCCTTAGCCCCGCCCCTTCCCTTAGCCCCGCCCCTTCCTTTAAGCCCGCTCCTCCTTTAGCCCGCCCCTTCCTTTAGCCCCGCCCCTTCCCTTAGCCCCGCCCCCTTTGGCACCGCCCCCTTAGCCCCGCCCCCGCTCTGTCCCAGCGAGCAGGTACCGCCCCCTTCCTTAGCCCCGCCCCCTTCCTTAGCCCCGCCCCTTCCTTTGGCCCCACCCCTTCCCTTATCCCGCCCACTTCCTTTAGCCCCGCCCCTTCCCTTAGCCCCGCCCCTTTCCTTTAGCCCCTCTCATTCATTTAGCCCCGCCCCTTTCTTTAGCCACGCCCCCTTCATTTGGCCCCGCCCCTTCCCTTAGCCCCGCCCTCTTCCTTTAGCCCCGCCCCCTTTAGCACTGCCCCTTCTTTGGCTCCGCCCCTTCCTTTAGCCCGCCCCTCCTTTAGCCACGGCCCCTTCCCTCAGCCACGCCCCCTTCCTTTAGCCCCGCCCCCTTTAGCACTGCCCACTTGGCCCCGCCCCTTCCTTTAGCCCTGCCCCCTTCCTTTAACCCCGCCCCTTAACCCCTCTCCTTCCTTTAGCCCCGCCCCCTTTAGCCCCGCCCCCTTCCTTTAGCCACGCCCCCGTGCCTCAGTTTCCCCTTTGGCGCAGCGTGACCCCTCCTCATTTAACCCCTCCCTCCCCGTGACTCAGTTTCCCCTTCATGTCAGCTTCACCCCCCCCCAAATTGGGGACCCCTCATTTAACCCCTCCCTCCCCGTGCCTCAGTTTCCCCCGTGGCAGCTTTACCCTCCCCAAATTGGGGACCCCTTATTTAACCCCTCCCCCCGTGCCTCAGTTTCCCCCTCGCGGCAGCTTCACCCCTCCTCACTTAACCCCTCCCCCTCCGTGCCTCATTTTCCCCTTCATGGCAACTTTACCCCTCCCCCCCCAATTTGGAGACCCCCTCCCCCACTTTAACCCCCTCCCCCCGAGCCTCTGCCCCTCCCCCACCCCGGAATGCCCCCCCACCCCCGGAATGTCCCCCCCGTCCCCTCCCCCCGTCCCCTCCCCCTGTCCCCTCCCCCTGGCTGTGGCATGGAGTGCCCCCCCGGCCCCGTGGAGCATGCGGCCGCTCGGGATGGGAACGAAAAACGGGGAGAAATTGAGGGGAAACGGGGAAAAACGGGGGGAGGTTGGAAAAGTGGGGGGAAATGGGGAAAATTGGGGGGAAATTGGGGAAGAAATTGAGGGGAAATTGGAAAATCGGGGAAAAATTGGGGGGGAAATGGGGAAAAAATGGGGGGGGATGGGGAAAAAATGGGAAATGGGGAAAATGAGAAAATTGGGGAAAATGGGGAAAAATCAGTAGGAATGGGGAAAAATGGGGGGGAAATGGGGAAAAAATGGGGGGAAATGGGGAAAGTGGAGGGGAAATTGGGGAAAATGGGGAAATTGGGGAAAAACGGAATTGGAAGATGGAAGGCAAATGAAGAAATATGAGAAAATTGGGGAAAAAATGTGGGGGAAGTGGGGGAAATGGAGGGAAATTGGAAAATTGGGGGAAATGGGGGAAAATGAAGGGGGAATGGGGAAAATGAGAAAATTGGGCGGAAAAGGAGGAAATTGGAAAATTGGGGGGAAAATGGGTGGGAAATGGGGAAAAATGAGGAAGTATGAGAGAATTGAGGGGAAGAATGGGGGAAATGGGGAAAAACTGAGAGAAATGGGGAAAAAATGGGAAATTGGGAAAAATGGGGGAAATATGAGGAAATTGTGAATAAAAGGGGGAATGGGGAAAATTGGGGGAATTGGGGAAAAATGGGTGGAAATCAGGGGGAAAATGGAGAAAAATGGGGGGAAATCGAGAGGAATTGGGAAAAATGGAGGGAAATGTGTGAAAATTGGAGGGAAATTGGGAAAATTGTGGAAAAAATGGGGGGGTGGAAATCGGGAGGAATTGAGAAAAACTGGGGGAAATATGAGAAAATTGTGAAAAAGGGGGAAATGGGAAATTGGGAGGAATTGGGAAAAATGGGGAGAAGTGGGGAAAATTTGGAAAATCGGGGGAATGGGATAAAATGGGGAAAATTGGGGGAAAATTCAGAAAAATGGGGAAAATTGAGAAAAAATGGGTGAAAAAATTGACAGAAATGGGAGAAAAAAAGGGCAAATTCGGTGGAAAAGGGGAAAATGGGGTAAAATTATGAGAATGGGTAAAAATCAGGTTAAATGGGGAAAACTGAGAATGGGGAGAATGGGGAGGAAATTGAGGGGAAAAATGGGAGGAATTGGGAAAAATGGGGTGGGAGGAGGGGCTGGGAATGGGGAAATTGGGGGAGGGGAAATGGGATGGGAAGGGGAAAAATGGGGCAGGAATAGGGGAAATTGGGGAAATAGGAAATGGGAAAAAATGAAGGGGGAAAATGAGGACAAGTGGGGCAGGAATGGGGGAAAATGGAGGGAGTGGAGAAATGAGGAAAATTGAGGGGAATTGCAGGAAAATAGGGCAGGGAGGAGAAAAACGGGGCAGGAATTGGGGAAAAGGGGCAGGAAACAGCAAAAAGAGGAGAAAAAGGGGGAAAATGGGGCTGGAGTCCCTGAGGGAAGGGGGAGGTTGTGGGGGCTCTCTGTGCCCCCCCAACTTATGGGGTTCTGACCTTCCCCCCCCAATTTTGGGGTCTTGGTGATTTTCTTCCCCTATTTTTGAGGTCCTGATGTTTTTTTCCGAGTTTTGGGGTTCTGACAGGCCTCTCACCCCAATTTTGGGGTTCCTGATGGGTTTTTTTGTCCCCCCACTCCAATTTTGGGGTTCTTGTCCAGTTTCTCTCTCCCCCCACATGGATATTGGGGTCCCTGCGGTGTCTCACTCCAATTTTTGAGGATCTCCCCTCATTTTTGGGGTTCTCTTCCCATTTTTGGGGTCTCTGATCCTTCCCTCCCTGTTTTTATAGTTGTCTCCCCAGTTTTGCGGTTCTCTCCCAAATTTTAGGTTCTGCCCCCATTTTGGGGGTCTCTCCTGCATTTTTGGGATTCTCTGTCATTTTTGGAGTTTGCTACCCGAATTTTGGGGTTCTGAGTCTCCCCATTTTTGGTGTTTTCTTCTCATTTTTAGGTTTCTCTCCCTTTTTATTGAGTTTTCCATTTTTGGGATTCTCTCACCATTTTTAACGTTTTTGTCCATATTTGGGCTTCTCTCTCTTTTTTTGGGTTCTCCATTTATGGTGTTCTCTCCCCATTTTTGGTATTTTATCCCGTTTGTTTGAATTCTCCGTTTTGGGGTTCACTCCCCATTTTTGGGGTTTTCTCCCAATTTTTGGCTTTTTTTTTGGGGGGGTTTTCCCTTTTTTCCCATTATTTTTTTGGGTTTTCCATTTTTGGGATTCTTTCCACATTTTTAGTTTTATCTCCCCCTTTTTTTGGGTCCACCATTATTGGGATTTTCTCCCCATTTTTGAAGTTCTCTCCCCATTTTTAGGTTTCTCTCTCCTTTTTTTGGATTCTCCTTTATTGGGGTCGTCTCTTTTTTGGGGTTCTGTCTCTCCCCATTTGTGGGGTTCTCTCCCATTTTTGGAGTTCTCTCCAAAAGAAACCATTTTTAGGTTTCTTTCTCCCTTTTTTATGGTTCTCAGTTTTTGGGGTTGTCTCCCTGTTTTTGGGGTTCTGTCTCTCCCCGATTTTGGGGCTCTCCCCGTTTTTGGGGTTCCCTCCCCATTTTTAGGTTTCTTTCTCCCTTTTTTATGGTTCTCGGTTTTTGGAGTTGTCTCCCTGGTTTTGGGGTTCTGTCTGTCCCCGATTTTGGGTCTCACCCCATTTTTGGAGTTCTCTCCCCATTTTTAGGTTTCTCTCTCCCTTTTTTTGTGTTCTCCATTTTTGGGGTTGTCTCCCTGGTTTTGGGGTTCTCTCTCTCCCCATTTTTGGGGTTTTCTCCCCGTTTTTGGGGTCCCTGACTCTGCTCTCCCCCCCCCAGCCCTACAGCTGCCCCTGGTGAGCGAGGGGGGCCGGGGGGGGACCCCCGAGAGCCCCCAGCCCGCGCCGCCCCCCCGGCCCCGGCAGATGCTGGGGCTGCCCCCGCCCCCCTACCTGGTGCCGCGCAGCCTGGAGAGGTGAGGACACACCCCCGGGCCCTGATTGGCTGATGGGAGTGGGCCTGCGTGCTGATTGGCTGATTGGGAGAGAGCCTGGTAGCTGATTGGCTGATGGGGGAGGACCTGGGTGCTGATTGGCCAACTGGGGAGAGCCTAGGGTGCTGATTGGTTGATTGGAGAGAGCTTGGGTAGAGTAGCCAGAGGGACTGGGGGATCCTGTGCTCTGATTGGCCAGAGGTTTGGGAAGATCCTGTGCTCTGATTGGCCAGAGGTCCATGAGAATCAAAGCCTGATTGGATGGAAGTCCAGGCTAATCCTGTGCCCTGATTGGCCAGAGGTCCATGAGACTCAAAGCTTGATTGGATGGAAGTCCAGGGTAATCCTGTGCCCTGATTGGCCAGAGGTCTGGAGGGATCCCAGGCTCACATTGGGCAGAGGAGGGTGGGTCATGCATCCTGATTGGCTAGATGTTTGTGGAGATCCTGTTCTCTGATTGGCCAGAGTTCTGGAGAGCTCTTGTGCTGATTGGCCAAAGAGCCAAGGGGACCGTGTGTTCTGATTGGCTGGGCAGGAGGCTTTACGCAGCGGTTGGTCGGATGTTCAGGAGCCTGTGGCTGCTGATTGGCTGCTGCTCTGAAGGCTCGCAGGCCCTGATTGGCCACAGCTCTGGCGAGTGGTGCATTCTCAGTGGCCAGAGTTTTGCGGTCATCTTGAGCTCTGATTGGCTGGAGCAGAGGTTGCAGCTGCTGATTGGTTGATGGGTCAGAGGATCCCCATTGGTGATTGGCTGGCTGGGCAGGAGATCTGTGTGTGCTCATTGGCCAGGAGTGCGAGAGACCCCCTGGGTGCTGATTGGTCAGCTGACCAGGAGCTCCGTGGTGCTGATTGGCCAGGCAGGTGGGATTTCCTGTCCTGTGATTGGCCAGAGCTGATTCCCTGTGTGCTGATTAGTCAGGAGCTCCTCATGCTAAGCGCTGATTGGCTGAGCTCTCCCCGTGCCCTGAGCTGATTGGCTGAGCTCACCCATTCTTCCCCTTAGCATCGAGATTGACCAGAAGCTGCAGGAGATCATGAAACAGACAGGATACCTGACAGTGGGGGGACAGGTGAGTCTGGGGTACCTGTGGGGGGACAGGTGAGTCTGGGGTACCTGACCGTGGGGGGACAGGTGAGTCTGGGGTACCTGACTGTGGGGGGACAGGTGAGTTGGGGTACCTGACAGTGGGGGGACAGGTGAGTCTGGGGTACCTGTGGGGGGGACAGGTGAGTCTGGGGTACCTGGGGGGGGACAGGTGAGTCTGGGGTACCTGGGGGGACACAGGTGAGGATGGGGAGGGGTTACCTGGCTGTGGGGACCCAGGTGAGGATGGGGAGGGGTTACCTGGCCGTGGGGGCACAGGTGAGGATGGGGAGGGGTTACCTGGCCGTGGGGGCACAGGTGAGGATGGGGAGGGGTTACCTGGCCGTGGGGGCACAGGTGAGGATGGGGAGGGGTTACCTGGCCGTGGGGACCCAGGTGAGGCCGGGGCTGTCCCAGGTGGTCCCTGACCTCCCCCTCCCCCCCAGCGGTACCAGGCAGAGATCAACGACCTGGAGAACCTGGGCGAGATCGGCAGCGGCACCTGCGGGCAGGTGTGGAAGATGCGCTTCCGCAAGACCGGCCACGTCATCGCCGTCAAGGTGGGGCCCGTCCCCTGTCCCAGGGACACCGCGGGGACCCCCGTGACATCTGTCACCCACCTGTGACACCTGTGACCCCCCATGACCCCGGTGACCCCTGTGCCCCCCCAGCAAATGCGGCGCTCGGGGAACCGCGAGGAGAACAAGCGGATCCTGATGGACCTGGACGTGGTGCTCAAGAGCCACGACTGCCCCTACATCGTGCAGTGCTTCGGCACCTTCATCACCAACGTGAGCACCTGGGGGGCACCTGGGGGCACCTGACAGCTCCTGGGGGCACCTGGGGGGGACTGGGGCACCTGGGGGGCACCTGGGGGGCACCTGGGGCTGTGGGTGCCCCTACATCGTGCAGTGCTTTGGCACCTTCATCACCAACGTGGGCAGCTGGGGGCACCTGGGGTGGGGCTGGGGGCACCTGAAGGCACCTGGAGTGTTGGGGGTGTCAGGATCCATCCATGGGCCCCCCTAGTGCTGCTCCCAGTACATCCCAGTACATCCCAGTGCCCTCCCATTGCAGCCAGTGCCCTCCCAGTGCCTTCCCAGTGCTGCCAGTACACCCAGTACCCAGTACCACATCCCAGTGCTTCCAGTATACCCAGTGCCCTCCCAGCACATCCCAGTGCCCTCCCAGCACATCCCAGTGCTCCCAGTGCCCTCCCAGTACACCCCAGTGCCCTCCCAGTACACCCCAGTGCTCCCAGTGCCCTCCCAGTACACCCCCGTGCCCTCCCAGTACACCCCAGTGCCCTCCCAGTGCCCTCCCAGTACACCCAGTACCCTCCCAGTACATCTCAGTGCCCTCCCAGTACATCCCAGTGCCCTCCCAGTGCTCCCAGTACACCCTGTGCCCTCCCAGTACACCCAGTACCCTCCCAGTACATCCCAGTGCCCTCTCAGTGCTCCCAGTACACCCCAGTGCCCTCCCAGTACACCCCAGTGCCCTCCCAGTACATCCCAGTGCCCTCCCAGCACATCCCAGTGCTCCCAGTACATCCCAGTGCCCTCCCAGCACATCCCAGTACCCCCCAGTTCCCTCCCAGTACACCCCCGTGCCCCAGCGCAGCCGCGTTGCGCCCCCAGACCGACGTGTTCATCGCCATGGAGCTCATGGGCACCTGCGCCGAGAAGCTGAAGAAGCGAATCCAGGGCCCCATCCCCGAGCGCATCCTGGGCAAGATGACGGTGGCAGTGAGTGACAGCGGGGACACTGGGGACAGCGGGGGGCACTGGGGACAGCGGGGACACTGGGGACAGCGGGGGCATTGGGGACATCCAGGGGCTTGGGGACAGTGGGGACAGCGGGGACAGTGAGGGCAGAGGGGGGCACTGGGGACAGCGGGGGCACTGGGGACATCCAGGGGCTTGGGGACAGTGGGGACATTGGGGACAGTGAGGGCAGTGGGGGGCACTGGGGACAGCGGGGACAACAGGGGCATGGGGGACATCCAGAGGAGAGGGGACACTGGGGACAGTGGGGACACCTGGAGCCTTGGGGACATCCAGGGGATTGGGGACACTGGGGACATTGGGGGAACTGGGGACACTGGGGACATGGGAACAGTGGGGGCATTGGGGACAGGGGGGGCTTTGGGGACATTGGGGAAACTAGAGACATTGGGGACACTGGGGACACCTGGAGCCTTGGGGACATTGGGGACACTGGGGACACTGGAGACACCTGGAGCCCTGGGGACATTGGGAACACTGGGGCCACTGGGGACACCTGGAGCCTTGGGGAGATTGGGGACACTGGGGACACCTGGAGCTTTGGGGACACTGGGGACACTGGGGACACCTGGAGCCTTGGGGACATTGTGGACATTGGGGACACCTGGAGCCTTGGGGACACTGGGGACACTGGGGACACCTGGAACCTTGGGGGCCTTGGGGACATTGGGGACACCTGGAGCCTTGGGGACATTGGGGACACTGGGGACACCTGGAGCCTTGGGGACATTGGGGACACTGGGGACACTGGGGACACCTGGAGCCTTGGGGACATTGGGGACACTGGAGACACCTGGAGCCTTGGGGACATTGGGGACACCGGGGACACCTGGAGACACCTGGAGCCTTGGGGACACTGGGGACACTGGGGACACCTGGAGCCTTGGGGACACTGGGGACACTGGGGACACCTGGAGCCTTGGGGACACTGGGGACACTGGAGACACTGGGGACACCTGGAGCCTTGGGGACATTGGGGCAATGGGGGCATTGGGGACATTGGGGATGGGGGAACAGCTGGGGACACTTGGGGACACTGGGAGCATCAGGGACATGCAGGGTGGCTCTGGGATTCTGGGTAAGATGACAGTGGCAGTGAGTGGCACTGGGGACAGTTGGGACACTGGGGACAGGCAGGGGGTCCCCAGGATCCAGTGCCCCATTCCCGAGTGGGTGACAGTGACAGTGAACAGGGTGGTGGTGGCACGGAGGTGACACTGGGGACAATCCCTCTCGCACAGACCATGAAGGTGCTGCTGTACCTGAAGGAGAAGCACGGGGGACCCACAGGGGACACTGGAGACACTCAGGGTGTCTCTGGTCCTGGGCAGGGTGATGGTGGCACAGAGGTGGCACAGAGGTGGCACAGATGTGACACAGGGGACAATCCCTGCCCCACAGATCGTGAAGGCACTGCTGTACCTGAAGGAGAAGCACGGGGTGATCCACAGGGATGTCAAACCCTCCAACATCCTGCTGGACGAGCGGGGCCAGGTCAAGCTCTGCGACTTCGGCATCAGCGGCCGCCTGGTGGACTCCAAGGCCAAGACCCGGAGCGCCGGGTGTGCAGCCTACATGGCGGTGAGGGGACACTGGGGACACTGGGGACACTGGGGGGACACTGGGGGGACACTGGGGACACTGGGGACACTGGGGGGACATTGGGGACACTGGGACAGCCCCCAGAGCATGGGCTGTGCAGCCTACATGGCGGTGAGGGGACACTGGGGACACTGGGGGGACACTGGGGGGACATTGGGGGACACTGGGAACACTGGGGACACTGGGGGGACATTGGGGGACACTGGGAACACTGGGGGGACATTGGGGGGACATTGGGGGACACGGGGACACTGGGGGGACACTGGGGGGACACTGGGAACTCTGGGGGACACTGGGAACACTGGGGACATTGGGGGACACGGGGACACTGGGGGACACTGGGGGGACACTGGGGACACTGGGGGACACTGGGGGGACATTGGGGACACTGGGGACACTGGGGGGACACTGGGGACACTGGGGGGACATTGGGGGACTCTGGGGACACTGGGGGGACACTGGGGGGACATTGGGGGACACTGGGGACACTGGGGGGACACTGGGGGGACACTGGGGGGACACTGGGGGGACACTGGGGACACTGGGGGACACTGGGGGGACACTGGGGGGACATTGGGGGACACTGGGGACACTGGGGGGACACCAGGGACATTTGGGACATGCACCAGCCCCGGAGCAGGACTCTGAGGGGATCAGGGGGTGTTGGGGTCCCCAGGGCTGGGGGGAGGGGCTGCACCCCGGATTTGGGGATGGGGCTGTCTGGGGGTCCCCCCTGCTCTGGGGCTTTGGGGATCCCCTCGGGTTTGGGGTCTGGGGGATCCCTCCAGCTCTGGGGCTTTGGATGCTGGGGGTTCCCAGGTTTGGGGGTTTGGGAGTTGTTAATTTTGGGGTTTTGGGGTTCCTGGTTTGGAGTCTTTGGGGGTTCCCAGGTTTGGGGTTCTGGGGGTTCCCGGGTTTGGGGTTTTGAGTGTTTCGGGGTTCCCGGGTTTGGGTTTTGAGTGTTTGGGGGTTCCCAGGTTTTGAGTGTTTGGGGGTTCCCGGGTTTTGAGTGTTTGGGGGTTCCTGGGTTTGGGGTTTTGAGTGTTTGGGGGTTCCCGGGTTTGGGGTTTTGAGTGTTTGGGGGTTCCCGGGTTTGGGGTTTTGAGTGTTTGGGGGTTCCCGGGTTTGGGTTTTGGGTTCTGGGGGTTCCCGGCTTTGGGGTTTTGAGTGTTTGGGGGTTCCCGGGTTTGGGGTTTTGAGTGTTTGGGGGTTTCCGGGTTTGGGGTTCTGGGGTCCTGCCCCCCCCAGTGCCCCCAAGCCCGCCCCTCCCCCAGCCCGAGCGCATCGACCCCCCCGACCCCACCAAGCCCGACTACGACATCCGCGCCGACGTCTGGAGCCTCGGCATCTCCCTGGTGAGCGCCCTGCGCGTCCCCAAACGCCACCCGGGGTCCCCAATGCCACCCGGGGTCCCCAATGTCACCCAGGGTCCCCACATATCACCCGGGGTCCCCAAACGCCACCCGGGGTCCCCAAACACCACCCGGGGTCCCCAAACGCCACCCAGGGTCCCCAAATGCCACCCAGGGTCCCCAGATGTCACCCGGGGTCCCCCAGATGTCACCCGAGGTCCCCAAATGTCACCTCAGTGTCCCAAAATATCACCCAGGGTCCCCAAACGTCACCCAAGTACCCCACGTCCCCAAATGTCACCTCAGTGTCCCCAAACATCACCTCAGTGTCCCCAGTCCCCAAACATCACCCAGGGTCCCCAGGGTCCCCAAATGTCATCCCAGCTGTCCCCAAATGTCACTGAGGGTCCCCAAAGTGTTCCCAAGGTCCCCAAACATCACCTAGCTGTCCCCAGGGCGTCCCCAACCTGCCCCAGCTGTCCCCAAAGTGTCCCTGATCTCTCCCAGTGTCCCCAAAGTGCCACCCAGCTGTCCCCAGAGTGTCCCTATCCGCCCCAGTGTCCCAGACTGGCCTCAACCAGCACCGGGTCCCCAGGGTGTCCCCATGGTGCCACGTCAGCCCTGCAGCGCCACACGTCCTACTGACACCTGTCACCTGTCCCTGTCACAGCTGTGTGTGTCACACCTGTGTGTCACACCTGTCCCTGTCACAGCTGTGTGTCACACCTGTGTCACACCTGTCACCTGTCCCTGTCACACCTGTGTTTCACACCCGTGTGTGTCACACCTGTCACACCTGTGCAGGTGGAGCTGGCCACGGGATAGTTCCCGTACCAGAACTGCTGTCCCTGTCCCTGTCACACCTCTGTGTGTGTCACACCTGTGTGTCACACCTGTGTGTGTCACACCTGTGTGTCACACCTGTGTCACACCTGTGTGTGTCACAGCTGTGTGTGTCACACCTGTCACACCTGTGTGTCACACCTGTGTCCCACCTGTGCAGGTGGAGCTGGCCACGGGGCAGTTCCCGTACCAGAACTGCAAGACGGATTTCGAGGTGCTGACCAAGGTGCTGCAGGAGGACCCGCCCCTGCTGCCCCCGGCCATGGGCTTCTCCGGGGACTTCCAGGCCTTCGTCCGAGACTGGTGGGGACACGGGGACACGGGGGACACGGGGGACATGGGGACACACAGGGACATGGGGACACACAGGGGGCACGGGGACACACAGGGGACGTGGGGACATGGGGTGACACAGGGACGCCGGGGGATGTGGGGGACACAGGGACGTGGGGGGACATGGGGACACACAGGGGACACAGGGACATGGGGACACCAGGGGACTCGGGGACATGGGGAGACTTGGGGCCACACAGGGGATACAGGGACACGGGGGACATGGGGGCACACAGGGGACACGGGGACATGGGGACACACAGGGGACACAGGGACACGGGGGACATGGGGACACACAGGGGACATGGGGGCACACAGGGACATGGGGACATGGGGTGACACAGGGACATGGGGGGACATGGGGCCACACAGGGGATACAGGGACATGGGGGCACAGGAGATACAGGGACATGGGGGCACACAGGGATGTCGGAACACACAGGGGACACAGGGACACACAGGGGACACAGGGACACACAGGGGACGTGGAGGGACATGGGGGTGACATGGGGAGGACACAGCCCCAGGGGTCCCCAGGGTGCTCCTGCTCCTTCTCTGGGGAGCCCCAGGCCTTCATCTGGGACAGCTGGGGGACGGGGGTGACACTGGGGACATGGAGAGACGGGGGGGACATGGGGACATGGGGACATGGGGACGTGGCCTGAGGGTCCCAAAGGTGCTCACCCCCTGTCCCCTCCCCCAGCCTCACCAAGGACCACAGGAAGAGACCAAAGTACAACAAGTTACTGGTGAGTGGCACTGTCACCTGTCACTGTCACGCCTGTCATTGTCACGCCTGTCATTGTCACTGCCACACCTGCTAGCTGCCATGCCTGTCACCTGTCCCATTATGTGTCTCTTTTCCTGTCCCTTGTCGCACCTGTCCCCCATCACACCCGTCACACCTGTAACTGTCACACACGCCGTCTGTCATTGTCACTCGCGTCCCTGGGGCCACCTTCCCATCACAGCTGTCACCAGAACCACGGTCACCCCCTCCCTGTCCCCTGTGTCCCCAAGGGCCATGTATGTCACCTGCAGGGGCACGTGCACCATGCCACCATCCTGGGGGGCCCCGAGTTCCTGTCACCTCCCCTGCGTGTCTGCAGCTGTGTCCCCATGTCCCTGTGTCCCCAAGGCCACATCTGTGTCCCGTGATCCCGTCCCCACCTTGTCCCCAAACCCTCACCCTCAATGCTCCGTCCCTGTGTCCCCAGGCTTTGTCCCCACGTCCACTGTGGTCCCCTTGTCCCTGTGGCATGTCCCCAATGTCCTCGGTGTCCCTGCTGTCCCCATGTCCCTGATGTCCTCTGTGTCCCCAATGTCCCTGTTGTCCCCAATGTCCCTGTTGTCCCCAATGTCCCTGATGTCCCCAGTGTCCCCTGCTCTCTCCTATGTCCCCTGATGTCCCCACGTCCCCAATATCCCCATGTCCCCGATGTCCCCAGTGTCCCCCATGTCCCCTGATGTCCCCATGTCCCCCGATGTCCCCAGTGTCCCCTGATGTCCCCAGTGTCCCTTGCTGTCCCCCATGTCCCCATTGTCCCCTGTCCCCACAGGAGCACACCTTCATCAAGCGCTACGAGACGCTCGAGGTGGACGTGGCCACCTGGTTCAAGGACGTGATGGCCCGGACAGAGTCCCCACGCCCGGGGGGTGGCCTGGGCCACCACCTGCCCTTCTTCACCAGGTAGCGCCCACCCGGCGCTGCCACGCCCGGCAGGGGACACCGGGGACAGGGACAGCGGGGACAGCCCTGGGACACTGCCTGGTGCCACCACGCCCGGCAGGGGACACCGGGGACAGCCGGGCCACCTCCGGGGACAACCAGGACAGCCCCGGGACAGCACCCGGCACAGGGACAGCCGGGCCACCTCTGGGGACAGGGACACTGGGGACAGCTGGGACAGCCCTAGGACAGGGCCTGTGACACCCACCGGAGGAGATGACACCTGTGCCACCCCCTTCTTGTCATCCCCCTGTGCCACCCGGTGTGACAGTGACACTACCACGGCCACCACAGCCCTGGCCCAGCCTGGAGTGTCCCCAGCGTGTCCCAGTGTGTTCCTGCCATGGCGGCTGTCCCCTCCTGCTGTCCCCACCTTCCCGAGGCCAGGGGCACCCCTGTCCCCTCTGTGTCCCCCTGGCTGTGCCTCAGTTTCCCACAAGGTCCCGTGTGGGGACAGGGCTGGGGACAGGACAGGGAGGTGGCACCGAGGGTGTGACGCTCTGGGATGTGGCCCAGGGACACAGATGTGGCTGGGGGATATGACACGGGTGTGACGCCGGGGCCTGGGGATGTGGCACTTGGCCCTGAGGGGACACAGAGGTGACACCAGGACATGGGGACGTGACACGGAGATGGCACTCGGGGACACGGAGATGGCGCAGTAACGTGGCAGGGGGACCGCGTGGAGAACCAGCACGGGGATGGGACAGCGAGGGACAGCAGGAGGACACGGAAGGATGGCACAGAAATGGCACCGGGACGTGACACGGGGATGGCACCGGGATGTGACACGGGGATGGCACCAGCATGTGACACAGGGACACAGGACAGAGATGGCACCGGGATGTGGCACAGGACAGAGATGGCACCAGGAAGTGACACGGGACACAGAGATGGCACCGAGAAGTGACACAGGACAGAGATGGCACCAGGAAGTGACACGGGACACAGGGATGGCATCAGGAAGTGACACGGGACACAGAGATGGCATCAGGAAGTGACACAGGACAGAGATGGCACCAGGAAGTGACACGGAACACAGAGATGGCACCGGGAAGTGACACGGGACACAGAGATGGCACCAGGAAGTGACACGGGACACAGAGATGGCACCGGGAAGTGACACAGGACAGAGATGGCACCAGGAAGTGACACAGGACAGAGATGGCACCGGGATGTGACATGGGACAGAGATGGCGCCGGGATGTGGCACAGGATGGCGTTGGGAAGTGACGCAGGGACACAACAGAGGTGGTGCCGGGATGGCACCAAGAAGTGGCACAGGACAGAGATGTCCCCAGGCTGTGACAATGGGGACACGGCGCTGGAGGACATGGAGTGGTGGCCTGGGGACACGGACACGTCACGGATGTGACATCGCAGGGCCCAGTCCCGGGGATGTGACGCTGGGATGTGACACCGGAATGTGACCCCAAGGATGTGACACCAGGGATGTGACATCGGGATGTGACACCGGAATGTGACACCAAGGATGTGACACCAGGGATGTGACACCAGGGATGTAACACCAAGGATGTGACACCAGGGATGTGACACCGGGATGTGACACCAGGATGTGACCCCAGGATGTGACCCCAGGATGTGACACCAAGGATGTGACACCAGGGATGTGACACTGGGATGTGACACCTGGGATGTGACACCAGAGTATGACACTGCGATGTGACACCAAGGATGTGACACTGGGATGTGACAATAGGATGTGACACCGTGATGTGACACCAAGGATGTGACACCAGGGATGTGACACCAGGATGTGACACCAGGATGTGACACCAAGGATGTGACATCGGGATGTGACACCGGGATGTGACACTGCAATGTGACACCGGGATGTGACCCCAAGGATGTGACCCCAAGGATGTGACATCGGGATGTGACACCAGGATGTGACACCAGGGATGTGACACCAAGGATGTGACACTGGGATGTGACAATAGGATGTGGCACCAGGATGTGACACCAGGGACACAGCCCGGGGATGTGACACCACAATGTGGCCCTGGGCTGTGACAGCGGGGACACGGCCCAGGGTGGCCCCGGGTGGCACGGTGACAATCAGGGCTGGGCCGTGTCCCTGCCGTGTCCCCACTGTCCCCAAGGCCAGCAGGTGCAGTTTTAGTGCATTGGGGGCGCGGGCGGCGCCGCCCCCCGTCCCCCTCATTAATTATTATTATTAATTATTATTAATTATTATTATTATTATAAATGCGCATGTGGAACCCGAGGGGCTGCGTCGGCGTCAGACTCTGGGGACACGGGGGGACATTGGGGACATCAGGATGGACACAGGACAATGGGGACACAGGGAAATATGGGGGGACATTGAGATGGGGACACTGGGGACACGGGGAGATGGACATGGGGACACTAGGATAGGGACACAGGCCAGGGATGGGAAAGTGGAGGGTGGGGACATTGGGGAGACGAGAGATGTGACATTGGGGACACAAGAGGTGGGATGTGGGGGACATTGGGAACACGAGTGGTAGGACATGGACGGGGGTGACTTTGGGATGGGGGGACGTGGATGGGGGTGGCACAGAGGGACCTTGGGGACATCGGGATGGGGACAGGGACAGGAGGGTGGAGACATCAGGGACATCAGGGTGGGGACACGGGGAACACCAGTGACACAGAGAGGGACACGGGCACAGGAGGGTGGCAGAGGCCACTGGGTGGCGGTTGGGGACACGGAGGGACAGCAGGGACAGCTGGAGGATCCAGGTGGCACCGCGGGGGCTGGGGGGGGGGGGCACTGGGGACATCAGGGACACGCAGGGGCACTCGGGTGCCACCCCCGTGACGTCCCCGTGGCCCAAGGGTGTCACCGGGGCAACGGGGCGGGGGGGGACACGGTAACACGGGGACATCCCCCCGGCGTGGGCGGGAGCCGCGGGGACACCTTGGGGACAGCGAGGACACCTTGGGGACAGCGGGGACAGGATGGCAGCGCCACCAACGCCCCTCTGGCCCATCCTCATCCTCATCCTCCTCCTGCCCGGAGGGGGCCCCGCAGGTCGGGGGGGCAGGGGGGACAGGGGGGACAGGAGGGTCCCGGGTGGGGGGACACTGGCAGGGACCCAGGGCAGGGAGGGTCCTGGATGTCGGGGGGCGGAGGGACCCGGGTGGCCTCGGGGGGACACCCAGAGGTGTCACCGTCCCCAGGCCCCCCCCCAGGCTGGCCGTGGGGTGACCCCGCCCCCACCCCGGGACCCCCAGTGTCCCCCCCGGGAGCCCCGAGGCCGCGCTGCAGCGGGAACCGGCCCGGGGTGAGTGCGGCACTGGGGGGACTGGGAGGGAACTGGGAGGGTCACAGGGGAGCACTGGAAGCACTGGGAGGGGACACTGGGGATGCTGGGAGGTTACTGGGAGCACTGGGAGGTCACTGGGGGTTACTGGTGGCACTGGGGGGTCACTGGAGCATTGCTGGTGGCACTGGGAGGTCATTGGGGGGGTCACTGGGGTGTTACTGGTGGTACTGGGGGTCACCGGTGCCACTGGGGGGTGGCTGGGGGTCACTGGTGGCACTGGGAGGTCACTGGGGGGGGTCACCGGTGCCACTGGGGGGTCGCTGGGGGTCACTGGTGGCACTGGGAGGTCACGGGGGGGGGTCACCGGTGCCGCTGGGGGTCACTGGTGGCACTGGGAGGTCACGGGGGGGTCACTGGTGGCACTGGGAGGTCACTGGGGGGTCACTGGGGCATTACTGGTGGCACGGGGGGTGTCACTGGGGGGCACTGGTGGCACTGGGAGGTCACTGGGGGGTCACTAGGGCGTCACTGGTGGCACTGGGGGGGTCACTGGGGGTCACTGGTGGCACTGGGGGATCACTGGGGGGGTCACTGGGGCGTTACTGGTGGCACTGGGGGGTCACTGGGGCATTACTGGTGGCACTGGGGGGGGGTCACTGGGGATCACTGGTGGCACTGGGAGGTCACTGGGGGTCACTGGGGGGTCACTGGGGGGTCACTGGGGCATTACTGGTGGCACTGGGGGGGTCACTGGGGGTCACTGGTGGCACTGGGAGGTCACTGGGGCGTTACTGGTGGCACTGGGAGCGGGGCCCGCGCTGACGCCGCCGCCGCAGCCCCGGTGCCCGCCCCGCCCCCCCCGGCTCCGCCTGGACGTCGCCCCCTCCCCCGAGTTCGGGCCGGCCCCGGGACCGAGAGCCGTGCCCGCGGGGGGACGCGTGTTCCTGCAGGTGAGGACACGGACAGGGACAGGGGACAGGTGAGGGACACGGGGGAACACGGGGGGACCGTGTTCCTACATGTGAGGGACACGGTCAGGGACAGGGGACAGAGGGGACACTGGGGGGGACACGGCAGGGGGAACACCGGAGACACGGGGGGTGCGTGTCCGTGCAGGTGAGGGGGGAAACGGGGGGGTCCCGATCCCCATCACCCCCGTGTCCCCTCTGTGACCTCCCCCCCCTTGTCCCTCTCCCTGTCCCTGCCAGGTGTCGCTGTCACTGTCCCTGTCCCTCTCCAGGTGTCATTGTCCCTGTGTTCCTGTCCCTGTCCCTCTCCAGGTGTCATTGTCCCTGTGTTCCTGTCCCTGTCCCTCTCCAGGTGTCGCTGTCGCTGTCACTGTCGCTGTCCCTGTCCCCTCTGTGACACCCCCTGTCCCTGTGTCCCTATCCCAGTCCAGATGTTGCTGTCGCTGTCGCTGTCCCTGTCCAGGTGTCATTGTCCCTGTCCCTGTGTTCCTGTCCCTGTCCAGGTGTTGCTGTCCTTGTCCCTGTGTCCCTGTCTGGGTGTCGTTGTCCCCTCTGTGACTCCCCTGTCCCTGCCCCTGTCCCTGTCCGTGTCCCCGCAGGTGTCCCTGTCCCCTCTGTGACCCCCTGTCCCTGTCCCCTCTGTGACCCCCTGTCCCTGTCCGTGTCTGTGTCCCCGCAGGTGTCCCTGTCCCCTCTGTGACCCCCTGACCCTGTCCCCTCTGTGAGTCCCCTGTCCCCTCTGTGAGTCCCCTGTCCCTGTCCCCTCTGTGACCCCCTGCCCGTGTCCCCGCAGGTGTCCCTGTCCCCTCTGTGACCCCCCTGTCCCTGTCCCCTCTGTGATGCCCCTGTCCCTGTCCCCTCTGTGACCCCCTGTCCGTGTCCATGTCCGTGTCCCCACAGGTGTCCCTGTCCCCTCTGTGACCCCCCTGTCCCTGTCCCCTCTGTGATGCCCCTGTCCACTCTGTGACCCCCTGTCCCTGCCCGTATCCCTGTCCGTTTCCGTGTCCCCGCAGGTGTCCCTGTCCCCTCTGTGACCCCCTGTCCCTGCCCGTGTCCGTGTCCCCGCAGGTGTCCCTGTTCCCTCTGTGACCCCCCTGTCCCTGTCCCCTCTGTGACCCCCTGTCCCCGCTGTGACCCCTGTCCCTGCCCCTGTCCCTGCCCGTGTCCGTGTCCCCGCAGGTGTCCCTGTCCCCTCTGTGACCCCCTGTCCCTGTCCCCTCTGTGACCCCCCGTCCCTGTCCGTGTCCGTGTCCCCGCAGGTGTCCCTGTCCCGCGCTCCCCCCGGGCTCGGTTTCTCCCTCCGCCGCTGTTTCGTGTCCCCGCGCTCGTCCCCGGGTCCCGCCCGGGGTCCCCGCCCGGTGCCGCGGCCGCTCGTGGTGCTGCGCGGGGGCTGCGGCGCGGGGCGGCGGCTCCGGAGCTCGTTCGTGCTCCCGGCGCGGTTCCCGGAGCCGCTGCAGTTCCTGCACTGCCGCCTGCGCCTCTGCCGCCAGCGCGGCGGCCCCGGCACCGGCACCGGCACCGGCACCGGCACCGGCACCGGCACCCCGCCGGGGCTGCCCACGGTACCGGCCCGGCTGCGGCACGGCGGGACGGGGGATAACCGTGGGAAAACGGGATAACGGGCTGGGATAACGGGATAACGGGCTGGGATAACGGGATAATGGGCTGGGATAACGATGGGAAAACGGGATAACGGGCTGGGATAATGATGGGAAAACGGGATAACGGGCTGGGATAATGATGGGAAAACGGGATAACGGGCTGGGATAACGGGATAACGATGAGATAACGGGATAACGGGCTGGGATAACGATGGGATAACGGGATAACGGGCTGGGATAACGGGCTGGGATAACGATGGGATAACGGGATAACGGGCTGGGATAACGGTGGGATAACGGGATAACGGGCTGGGATAACGGGCTGGGATAACGGGATAACGGGCTGCGATAACGGGCTGGGAAAACGATGGGATAATGATGGGATACCGGGATAACGGGATAACGATGAGATAACGGGATAACGGGCTGGGATAACGATGGGATAACGGGATAAAAGGCTGGGATAACGGGCTGGGATAACGATGGGATAACGGGATAAAGGGCTGGGATAAAAGGCTGGGATAACGATGGGATAACGGGATAACGGGCTGGGATAACGGGCTGGGATAACGGGCTGGGATAAAGGGTTGGGATAACAATGGGATAATGGGATAACGGGCTGGGATAACGGGATAACGGGCTGGGATAACGATGAGATAACAATGGGATTACGGGATAATGGGATAACGACGGGATAATGGGATAACGGGATAACGGGATAGCATTGGGATAGCGGTGGGGTAATAGGAGTGGGATAATGGGATAGCAATGGGATAACAGCGGGGTGGTGGCGGGACAGGGGGATAACGGGGGTGGATAATGGGATAGTGATGGGATAACAGGGATAAGGGGGTGGGATAGTGATGGGATTCTGGGATAACAGGATAGCAATGGGATAACAGTGGCACGGCAGCAAGACCGCGGTGGGACAGGGGGATAGCGGGGATGGGATAACGGGATAGTGATGGGATAACTGGAGTGGGATAATGGTATAGAGATAGGATAATGGGAGTGGGATAATGGGATAACAGGATAGCGATGGAATAACCAGAGTGGGATAACGGGATAGCGATGGGATAACGGGATAGCGATGGGATAACAGGAGTGGGATAATGGGATAACGGGATAGCTATGGGATAACGGGAGTAGGATAACGGGATAATGGGATAGCGATGGGATAACAGGAGTGGGATAACGAGATAACGGCAGGATAGTGATGGGATAGCAATAGTATGATGGGATAGTGGGGGTGGGATAAGAGCAGGACGGCAGTGGGACGGGGGATAACAGGGATGGGATATCAATGGGAGAACGGGATAATGGGGATGGGATAACAACGGGATAGCAATAGGATAATGGGATAGTGATGGGATAACGGGGATGGAATAAAGGGATAAAGGGAATGGGATATTGGGAGTGGGATAATGGGGATGGGATGACAGCAGGATAGCAATGGAATAGTGGGATAATGAGAATGGGATAATGGGAATAGCTGCGGTGGGATAGTGGGATAACGAGGATGGGGTAACCGGGATGGGATAGTGGGGATGGGATAACAGAGGTAGAACAATGGGATAACAATGGGATAACAGGACACTGGGGATGGGATAACAGGAGAATGGGATAACAGGAAAGGGGATAATGAGAATGGGAATACAGTGGGGCAACAACGGGATAATGGGAATGGGGATACAATGAGATAACAACAGGAACAACAGGAATGGGGACACAGAGGAAATGGGGGACACTGGGAATGGGGACAGCAAGAGCAGGGGCAGCCCTGAACCGGGAGTGGGACACGTTGGGGATACGCACCAGGAACAGGGGACGGCGGGAGCGGGGCCGTGACAGCACGGGGACAGGGGGGACACCGAGGGTGGCACCGGGGACACCGGGGGGTTCTAGAGGTGCCGCCCCCCGGTCCACCCCCCCCCCCCCCCGTTGACCCCGCCCCTCCCCCAGTGCCGGGCCGAGCCCTGTCCCCGCAGAGGGGGCGGAGCCTCCGGGTCAGGCCCCGCCCCCAGGCCCCGCCCCCGCGCGGGCCCCGCCCCCGCCCGCGCGCTGCGCACCGTGACACGGCCGATCGTGGTGACACTGGGGACACCCGCGACCCCCGCGCCCGGTACGGACCCCCCTCTGAAACCACGCCCCCCGAGACCCCCGCGAGGGGACCCACCCCCCAAATCTGCCGGGACCCCCAACGAGACCCCTCCGGGGACCCCCCGTAACTCGGGACCCCCGACAGACACCCCCCCCTCCCCGCCCCGGGACACACCCTACAACAGGGAGCCCCCCCTAACCGAGACCCCCCACAACCGGGACCCCCCCACAACCGGGACCCCCAATTCCCCGCCCCCCCCGCAGAAAGAAGGGGCTCCCCCCTCCCGATGCCCCCCAATAACCGCCCCTCCCCCCAGGTGCCCCCCCGGGGCTCCCCCCGCTGCCGTTCCCGCCGCCCCCGCCTGTTCTGCGGCCCCCGCCCCCACCCCGGGAGCGGCCCCGGGCCCCCCCTGCGGGTGAGTGACGGGAATGGGGGGGGGCACCGGGACCCCCGGGATTGGGGAATTTGGGGGGTCCCAGAGCCCTGGCTCCTTCCTGGGGGGTGGTTTGGGGGGCTGGGGAGGAGACCCCCGGCTCATTTGGGGGGGGGGGTCCCGAACTCCTGGGTCCCTTTTGGGGAAGGGGGGGATTTTGGGGGTTCCCGGACCCGTTGGGGGGGATTGGGGGGCTGCGTAGGGGGTCCCGAACTGCTCAGTCCCTTCCGAGGGAGAAACTTTGGACGGGAGAGGGGGGGGCTCCCGGATCCCTGGGGCGGTTTTGGGGGGCTGGGGGTGTCTTGAGGGTCTGGTTTCTCTTTTTGGGGGGGGTCCCGGACCCCAGAGTTCCTTTGCAGGGGTTTAGGGGGGAATTTGGGCTGTCTCGGCCCCCAAGTTTGGGGGGTCAGGATTTTGGGGGTCTGACGCTGCCCCCCAGCCCCCCCCCGTGCCCCCCGAGACCGTGGCCGCCGTTTCCTTCGGTGCCTTCGTGGTGGGGGCGGCGCTGGCGGGGGGGCTCTGGCTCGTGCACGACCGGACAGGTGAGGGACCCCCCCCCCGAATCATCCCTGTCTCCCCAAAATAATCCCTCAACATAATCCCCCTCCCCAAATCATCCCCAACCCCCAAAAGACCCCCCCAACCATTCCCCCATCCCAAATAATTTCCCTCCCCAAAATATCCCCCTCCCTAAAAGAATCCAATCCCCCCAAATACCCCCGCAAATTAATCCCCATCCCAAAATAATCCTCATCCCAAAAGAACTCCCCCGAAATAATCCACACCCCCCCCCAAAGAATGCCCCTCCCCAAAATAACCCCCCAAAAATGACCCCCTCCCCAGAACAACCCCCACCTCCAAAATCCCCCCCGAACCCCATCCCTGGGCCCTGCCCCTCCCCCAGACCCCCCCAGGGCTGGGAATCCCCCCAAAACTCCCCCTTTACCCCCGAAATCTCCCAGGACCCCCAAACCTCCCTTAACACCCCCAAAGTCACCCCTCCCCCAATTCCCATTTAATCGATACCCCCCCCCCCCCAAATCTTCCGAGCCCCTCCCTGACCCCCTCAATTTGGGGTGGGACCTCCCCTGATCTCTGCCCCTCCCCCCCCACAGCCCCCCGGCCCCCCCACCGGCCCCAGCGCTGCCCCCCAGCCCGGGGGGGGCCAGGTACTGGGGGGACTGGAAAGGGATACTGGGAGCACTGGGGGGGAGCTGGGAGGGACATGCGGGATACTGGGAGTGCTGGAAGGGGGGAACTGGAGGGGCAGGGGGCAACTGGGAGCACTGGGGGGGCACTGGGAGCACTGGGGGGGATCTTGGGGGAGCTGGGAGGGATGTGGGGTATTGGGGGGGTCACTGGGAAGGGGTGCTGGGAGTGTTGGGGGGATAGAGGCCCCAGGAGTGACAGGGACCGGGGGGTTTGGGGGACCACGTTGGGCCAGGCTGAGGTGAGGGGGAGGGGTGTAGGTTGGGTCTCTCCCTGTTGTCACTTGTCACTGTTATTGTCACTGTCATTGTCATTGTCGCTGTCACTGTGTCACTGTCATTGTCACTGTCACTCTCACTGTGTCATTGTCATTGTCACTGTCACTGTGTCATTGTCATTGTCACTGTGTCATTGTCATTGTCACTGTGTCATTGTCACTGTCACTGTCACTGTATCATTGTCACTGTCACTGTCACTGCCACTGTGTCACTGTCACTGTCACTGTGTCATTGTCACTGTTGCTGTCACTGTGTCACTGTCACTGTCACTGTCATTGTCACTGTCGCTGTCACTGTGTCATTGTCACTGTCACTGTGTCACTGTGTCACTGTCACTGTCATTGTCACTGTCGCTGTCACTGTGTCATTGTCACTGTCACTGTCGCTGCCACTGTCATCGTCACTGTCACTGTATCATTGTCGCTGTCACTGTCACTGTCGCTGCCACTGTCATTGTCATTGTCACTGTCACTGTCATTGTCGCTATCATCGTCACTGTCACTGTGTCATTGTCATTGTCACTGTCATTGTCACTGTCGCTGTCACTGTGTCATTGTCACTGTCACTGTCATTGTCACTGTCACTGTCACTGTGTCACTGTCACTGTCATTGTCACTGTCACTGTCATTGTCACTGTCGCTGTCACTGTGTCACTGTCACTGTCTCTGTCACTGTCGCTGCCCCTGTCATTGTCACTGTCGCTGTCATTGTCACTGTCATCGTCACTGTCACTGTCACTGTCATTGTCGCTGTCATTGTCACTGTCACTGTCATTGTCGCTGTCACTGTCATTGTCGCTGTCATCGTCACTGTCACTGTCATTGTGTCACTGTCACTGTCACTGTCATTGTCACTGTCACTGTCATTGTCGCTGTCATCGTCACTGTCACTGTCATTGTCGCTGTCACCATCACTGTCGCTGTTAGGTGACAGGCGATGATTGACAGCTCTGAGTACTGAGAAATTCCTGAGGGAAAAGGAAATTCCGGCAGTGGGAGATGGCGGCCAGAGCTGATCCAGCCCCGGGTCCTCGCTCAGCTGCTCGGGACACATCCCCGCAGCGGTTTCCAGGGAGGGAAATCTCCTGGGATAATTCACATGGGAGGGGGCAGACAGAACCAGCAAACTGGGATATTAATAATCAAAAGTTCTGCCGTCTGTAACCAATGAGCGCTGACGCTTTCGTTCGTTAAAATGTCCCAATCGTGCAAAGCTTTGTTGATGGGGGAGCGGGGAGCGATCTTTGGGGACCCCCCGGCCTTTGGGGAAACCCTGGCTCCTGCTGTGTGCTAAGAACAAAACCTGAACCGCCTCTCCTCAGGGTGTGACTGTGCTCTGGGTGGGCTCAGGGTGCTCTCCAGGCTGGGAACAGCCAAAGCAGCCCCAGGATTTGGGGTTTGGCCAGAGGAGCACACTGGGGGCTGCAGGGGGTCCCATGGGAGGCGACTGGGAGGTTCAAGGTGTCCCGTGATGGAAGGCTGGAGGTTCCAGAGGGTCCCTGCGGAGAAGATAAGGGGGGTTCAGGGTGTACAGGAGGCTCCCAGTGCCAGCGGCTGCCAAGGGTCCCCGTGCCCGGCAATGGGCGGGTCTGGGGGTCCCGGTTCAGGATAAGGGGGTACACAGGGGTCCCGGTAATGGGCGGGTCTGGGGGTCCCGGCTCAGGATAAGGGGGTACAGGGGGGTCCCGGGAATGGGCGGGTCTGGGGGTCCCGGTTCAGGATAAGGGGGTACAGAGGGGTCCCGGGAATGGGCGGGTCTGGGGGTCCCGGTTCAGGATAAGGGGGTACACAGGGGTCCCGGTAATGGGCAGGTCTGGGGGTCCCGGTTCAGGATAAGGGGGTACAGAGAGGTCCCGGGAATGGGCGGGTCTGGGGGTCCCGGTTCAGGATAAGGGGTTACAGGGAGGTCCCGGGAATGGGCGGGTCTGGGGGTCCCGGTTCAGGATAAGGGGGTCCAGAGCGGTCCCGGGAATGGACAGGTTTGGGGGTTCCGGTTCAGGATAAGGGGGTACAGAGGGGTCCCGGGAAAGGGCGGGTCTGGGGGTCCTGGTTCAGGATAAGGGGGTACAGGGGGGTCCCGGGAATGGGCGGGTCTGGGGGTCCCGGTTCAGGATAAGGGGGTACAGTGGGGTCCCGGGAATATGTGGGTCTGGGGGTCCCGGTTCAGGATAAGGGGGTACAGAGGGGTCCCGGGAATGGGCGGGTCTGGGGGTCCCGGTTCAGGATAAGGGGGTCCAGAGGGGTCCCGGGAATGGGCGGGTCTGGGGGTCCCGGTTCAGGATAAGGGGGTACAGAGAGGTCCTGGTGGCAGAGAGGGGAGTGCAGAGGGTCTCCGTGCCCAGGAATGGAGGTTCAGGAGGGTCCCCGTGTCCGGGAATGGGAGCTCAGGGGGTCCCTCTGTCCCCTCGTTGCCCCCCAGGAGCCGCCCCCAGGCCCGGCGCTGGAGCCACGCGCGGCTCCGCCTCAGCCCCACCCCTGCTCGCGATTGGTGCCGCCGCCGCGCAACAGCCAATGGCAGCCGGCGGCGTTCGTGACGTCACCGGTTGCTGGGTGGATTCCGGAGGCGCCGTTTGGGAGGTGCGAAAGTGACGGAGGACGCGGCGGGGACGGAGAATCGTTGGGAATTCTCCCGGGACCCGTCAGGATCGCCCCCGGATAGCCCGAGTCCCGGTCCATGCGTTCCCGTGATCCCTCGTTCCCGGAATCACTCATTCCCGAGGTCTCCCGTTCACAGAGCATCCCGGATCCCTCACCTGAACAACCCCTGCATCCCGTTCCCCCCCAGCTGTCAATCAAACCCTCCCTGCTGGGGGCACCCTAAAACAGCGGGGACCCCCACGACCCCTCCCCACCTGCCCAGAAGGGGGGAGCTGGACTCGAGCAACTGGGACATGTGACCGGGTGTCCACTGCTCCCAGTGCCCCCTCCCAGTGCTCCCAGAGCTTCACCTCAGTGCTTCCAGTTCTCTTCAGAGCACCCAGAAGGGCTTCCTGCTTCGCCTCCCTGCTCCCAGTTCCAACCAGTGCTCTCAGTAGGACTCCCTGGTCCCCCTCCCTGCTCCCAGTTCCAACCAGTGCTCCCAGCTGACTCTCAGTTTACTCCTGGTGGACTCAGTGTAGCTCCCTGCAGCACCATCCCAGTCTCACCCCTTGTCTCCCCCAGTTCTCCCAGTGCCATTGCCGTGTCACTCCCAGCCTGACCTCAGTGCTCCCAGTTCACTCCCAGTGCTCCCAGGGTCACCTCCTGGCTCTCCCCACATCTTTTCAATGTCTCTGGAATCTTGGGCTCACCACAAACTGACTCTGGCTCTTTTGGATTCATCAAAGGCAGAGCAAAGGGGAATTTCTGTGGAAGCTGCAGACCCCCTGTCAGCACCAAAATTCCCAGTGTTTCACCCACTGTCCCAAGGCAATGCCTAAACCCAGCTTTTCCCACCTAAACCTGGTTCTTTCCACCTAAACCCAGCTTATCTCACCTAAACCTGGTTCTTTCCACCTAAACCCAGCTTATCCCACCTAAACCTGGTTCTTCCCACCTAAACCTGTCTTTTCCCATCAATGACTCCAGGAAATCATGCGTGCCAAGGACCTGTAGTCCGGGACATGGCACGGAAATGGAGACACAGAACTTCCTGCAGAGCCCAAGCCCCAAATCCTGCAGCTGCTTTGGTTGTTCCTTACCTAGAGAACACCCTGAGATCACCTGGAGCACAGAGATGGAGGACAAGGACACCCCGAGCCCCACAGAGCCCCTGGGTGGAGGTGGGGGCTGAGGACACTAAGGCCCACAGGAGATGCTGCAGGGACCCCCTACCTCACTGGGATCCCCTCGAGTTCAAACCCCCACATGGCTCCCCTGAATTTTCTTGACCAGTGGATATTGGCTGCATTTTTCCTTTGTTTCCAGGAAAGGTTTCTGTCCGTTTTTGGATGTAGCCCCTAGAGGGGCTTCATCTGCCCGAGATGTACCTGAAAGCACTTCAATAAATACAACTGCTTTTTATTCCCTTAATGTTGTCTGGCCTAGTGCAGAGACCAGAGAGGGGGAACTAGTGGGGAGCTCTTCTGGAATGATCATGAGCCATTCAGGTCTTGGAAGGCTTAGTGGTGATATTTCTGAGGGTTTTTCCACGTAAATTTTTGTGATCTGGAGTTTTTTGGGCTGAATCTTGGTGGTCTGGAGATTTTTGTGAATGCAATATGTCTGGTGACTTCTAGAGATTGGTTGGGGCAGGAGGAATCCCCAACAAAACGCTCTCATACCTTGTTTTTCTCTCAGAAATAGGATTTCTCATTTCCAAACCTCAGCCCTGTCTGTGGGCCCTGTCTTGGGGACATCCGCTGGTGTCACCTCAATCCAGTGTCCCCACTGCTCGTTGTCAACCTCTGGTCCGTGTCCTCAGTGTCCCTGTGTCACCCCTGTCCTGATGTCCCCCTTGCCTGGCATCACCCCCAGATCCGTGTCCATCTTGTCTTCAGTTGCAATGCGAGATGTAAGCAGAAGTATTTATTCTATCACCATCTGTTGAAACCAGGTGGAGCAGTGTTCTTTATCTCTTCCATGACCATCCCTCATAACTCCAGGGGGAGATATCCTCTGTTAATGGGCCAGCCACTAAAACCAGGTGGGGCAGTTTTCTTTATCTCTTCCACAACCCATCCCCTGTTCAGGGAAATACCTTCAGTTAATGGGCCACTGAGCCTCACTGCCTGACTGCTAAAATGACAAGATCCCATTGTGAGATGCTCCGCCCAGGGGGAGGAGCCAAGCATTGCTACCTGGATATATTCTGACATTTGGAACACCACAGTTGGGCTTTTCCCACTGGATCCCCAGAGGAGCAGCTTTTCTTCTCCACTGGATCCCAGAGGAAGACCAGACCATCTACACCACCACCAGACCTTCAGAGGAAAACCACACCGTTTCGCAGGATCATTGCTTCAACAGAACCACGTCTGTCGCTCCAGGAGGAATGCAGCCACCATTTAATTGGACTGCTACAAACACCCTGTCAGTGTCTTTTTTTGTACTAATGTGTTTTTTGTCTTTTTTTCCTCGTAAATAACTGTTATTCCTATCATAGCTTGAGAGAGCCCCTCGATTTCAAAATTATAATAATTCGGAGGGAGGGGGTTTACATTTTCAATTTTAAGGGAGGCTTTGCCTTCCTTAGCAGACACCTGTCTATTCAAACCAAGACAGGCAGTGGGATCATGAAACTTAATGAGCTCAGCCCTTGTTTTCTCCCAAACCAGGATTTCCCATTCCCAAACCTTGGCCCGATGCAGGAGGAGGAGGCCGCGAGGAAGAGGAAGATGGTGTGGGAGCCCCAGGCAGATGAGGAGGAAGTCAGTGCCCCTTTCCCCCTCTCTCCTGCTCCATCTCCCAGCCCAGCCTGGCCACTGGCTGCAGGACAACCCCACTGCGGGTGCCCTCCAGCCGGGGACGCTCTGGAGGGATCTCCTTGCCCTTCCCTGTGGCACAGTGGCAAATCTCATCCTCTCCTTGGCTTTCCTCCCCCAGACAAGGAGCTGAGGATGGAGACCAATGAGGACAAATCCCTGTGGCAGAACCTCGTGGAAGAGGCTGTTTTGAGTGGCTCCCCGGTGCAGGAATCCAATGTGGAGGAAAAGCCGTGGAGATCCCGCACAAGGGAGGGGCTGCAAACTCAGATCACAGGGATCCAAGGAGGAAAAACCCAGCCTGGGCCAGGGAGGTGGCCAGAGCTCAGAGCTGGGGGTCCATGAGCAGCTTCATGATGGGGAGAAGCACCAAAAGTGCTTGAAATATGGGAAGAGCTTCAGCCAGAAATGTGACCTGATATGCCACACAAGACTCCACACGGGGGAGAGGCCCTACGTATGTGAGGAGTGTGGGAAAAGCTTCAGCCAAAGCTCCAACTTGATTGTCCACCTGAGGAGCCACACTGGGGAGAGGCCCTACGAGTGTGATAACTGCAAAAAGAGGTTTCCGAGCAGCTCCAGTCTCCTCAGGCACCAGCTCACTCACACAGAGGAGAGGCCCTTCCGCTGCCCTGATTGCAGGAAGGGCTTCAAGTACAACTACACCCTCATCACCCACCAGCACATCCACACCCGGGAGAGGCTGTACAAGTGTCCCAAGTGTGGGAAGAGCTTCAGCCACAGCTCCCACCTAATCTGCCACAGGAGACTCCACACCGGGGAACGTCCCTGTGAGTGTGGGGAGCATGGGAGAAGCTTCTACCAGTGCTCCAACCTGATCTACCACCTGAGGATCCACACTAGAGAGAGGCCCTATAAGTGTGATAAGTGTGGGAAGGGGTTTCAGACCAGCTCTCATCTTCTCAAGCACCAGCAGATTCACAGGGAGGAGCGGCCCTTTTGCTGCCCTGACTGCGGGATGGACTTCAAGCACAACTCCACCCTCATCACCCACCGGCGCATCCACACCAGGGAGAGGCACTACCAGTGTCCAGAATGTGTGAAGACCTTTTCACAGAGCTCTACCTTGACGAGACACCAACGGAGCCACCACTAAGGGAAGCCCTGCAAGTGCCCTGCATGTGGGAAGAGCTTCATGCACTGCTCCGGCTCCATCTCCCATGGGCTCTGTGCTGCATGATCCCCAGTGCCCCCGGTGGGCAGAGCCCTGGTGATCCATGGTGCCAGTGATCCGTGTTGGGAAGATGTCGTTGTTAAGTCAGGAATGGGAACAAAAGACTCCAGTCTTCAGAAGGTGAAAATAAGGTGTTTAATGGAGAATTGTGTATCTTTTATAACCCAACTCGCTAAGCTAAGACTTGATTGGTCTTAGAGTAAAAGCCTCTCATACTATTGGTGAACTAAGAATAGCACAATCTGGAAAATCATATGTATAAACAACAAGTGCAGAAAGAGAGATAATAATTGTTTCAGTTCTTTTCTCTAAGCTTCCCAGGCTCAGCCTGGAAGAAATTATCTCAGTTCTTTCTTTGACTGAACAAAGAATATCCACAGAAAGACACCTGCCTGGGGGGCTGCACATTCTCCTGGCTCCCCATGGGCACCTGGACACATCCACAGACCAACATCAGAAATCCATCATGAAGAGAGATTTGTTGACTTCTGACCCCAGAAAAATCTCACTTTTTCCGTCTTCTGGTGTCATCAAGCAACACTGGATGGCCTTGGAGGTCTTCTCCAACATAAATCCATCCTGCCTGGCCCATGGGCATCTTCCACAGCCAAATGAGGGTGGACTGGGGCAAAACACATGTTTTTGATAAACGGTGGGGTGGAAGCCCCTCCAGTAAAGGTTCTTACCACCCACCCAAGCATGTGGATGCACTGCTGACAGAGACACGTAAATCCTTTTGTTTTGGCCTTGAAGTGAAAAGGTTTCCCTTTGAAAGCCCTGAAACTGGGGTAGAAATAAAGATGTTGAACTAAGGCATGGATGGGGACCTATGGGGGACATGGACATGGACATGGACATGGATGGGGACATGGACATGGGAGACATGGCCATAGATGGGGATGTGGGGAACACAGATGGGGACACGAACTGGGACATCATCAATGCCACCTCTGTGCCACCACAGTGTCACCAGCACTGTCACCTTAGCCACGGCCAAGTGCTGTCCAATGCAGTTCCTGCCACTCTATCTCCTCCACTGTCACCACTGCGGTGTCCCAGCTGAATGTCACCCCACAGCAGAGCAGGATGAGAGCTTGTTCAGCTGGTGACAAGTGGCCTGGAAGCGAGTGACAGCCACCAAGGTGTCCCAGGGCCATAGTTTTCTGGGGATCCCAACCACCCCTGGGGACAGGGCAAGGATCAGTGTCACCCGCAGGGTCATGTGGCCCCACACTGGGTGTGACTGGAGGCATCCCGGTGGCAGCATCCTCACAAGTGTGGCAACATTATCCCTCCTGTGCATCCTGGTGGCATCATGTCCCCTTCCCATCATATGTCCCTATCCCCTGCTGAGGCTTTCCGTCACCCTTCTGTGTGTCTCTGACCTGCCCTGTGTGTCCCTGTCTCCCATGTGAGTCCCTGTCCCCATTGCCCTGATGTGTCCCTGTCCCCTTCCATCTGTTCCCCTCCCTCCTCCTATGTCTCTGTCCCCTGCTCCCAGCAGGTCAAAATTCTCTGAGGTCCTGGGGTTGTGTCCTTCAGGGTGTCCCTGTGTCCCACAGGCCCCATGTCCCTCAGGGTGCCACCGTGTCCCTCAGGATGTTCCTGTGGCTGCTCCTGGCGCTGAGGATCTGTGCCCATCCTGGCACAGGTAGGGACATGCCATGACACCTTGTGACACTCTGTGACACCCATGACAGCCTTTATCCTCTGATTTTTGGGTCTTTCCCCCTCTGTTTTGCATCCATTCACCCTCTTTTGGGTTCCTCATCAAACCCCCCAAAGTTCCCCAAAACAGGAATCCCCTGGGACAGGGTACGCTTGGTGGCCAGGATTGAAGATCCCAAAACCTTTAAAAACTCATCAGGGATCCCAAAAATTCGTGTTGAGGACAGTCGTGGGATATCACACCCCCCCTGGTACTTCCTGTCTCAGATGACCCCTGTCGAGTCAGGTTGCAGAGCTTAAAGCCGTCCAGGTGGCTTTGGGTTTTGCTGAGCGAGAGAAGTGGCCGAGGCTCTATCTCTACACCGACTCATGGATGGTAGCTAGTGCTCTGTGGGGATGGCTGGGTGGCTGGAAAAAGGCCAACTGGCAGCGCAAAGGGAAACCCATCTGGGCCGCCGAGATTTGGCAGGACATTGCCACCCGAGTAGAGAAGTTGACCGTGAAGATTCGACATGTGGATGCACACGTACCCAAGAGTCGGGCTACTGAAGAGCATCACAACAACAAGCAGATGGACCGAGCTGCCAAGGTGAAAATATCACAGGTGGATCTAGATTGGCAGCAAAAGGGAGAATTGTTCCTAGCTCATTGGGTCCATGATGCCTCTGGTCATCAGGGGAGAGACGCAACATACCGATGGGCCCGTGGCCGAGGGATGGACCTTACTATGGACAACATCTCACAGGTCATGCACAACTGCGAGACCAGCACTACAATCAAACAGGTCAAGTGGGTGAAGCCCCTGTAGTACAGTAGGTGATAACTGAAGTACAGGTATGGGGGAAGCCTGGCAAATTGACTACATCACACTTCCCCAAACCTGCCAAGGCAAGCGCTGTGTACTGACCATGGTGGAAGCTACCACAGGATGGTTGGAAACCTACCTGCAAGATAAGCCAGAATGGCAGGTTGAATGTGGATTGATGGTAGTTAAGGCATCTACAAGTGATAAGTGTGAGGTTTGTGTGAAGGAGAAACATTGTTTAGAACATTTTGCATTGAAAGAAAGTCTGAGTCGGAGGAACGATACAGATGTTGATTTACAAGTAGCGCCCGCAAGACCAAGAGAACCTAACCCTATCCTGCCTGCCCCTACTCCTACTTCATCACCTGCTTCACCCAATCCTATTTTTTCTAGTCCTATTTCACCCACTCAAACCCTCTCTCCCTATCCTCCTCTTCCACCATCACCTGACCCCTCTTTCCCTGGAGATGATCTAAATTTAACTGTAATGTATAAAAGGGGGGAGGATGAAAATGGAGATAGCGAGAGTAGAGACGAAAGTGAATCTGCGATACCGGTATCTCATAGGACTTGGAATCGGTCAAAGCCCACCCCGGTCTTGGCCAGAAAAGATTTGGTTAGTCTACAGTGTCCTAAAAGGAGAAATACGGAAGAGGACATCCTGGAACCAGAAAATAATCAAGGCACTGACACAGCATCCACACCCATCATCCTCTGATCCTCCAGTCCATGACAACGTTCACGTCAATCCTGGATTTGAAGAACATGATATATAAACTTAAAAACTAAAGACTGTATCAAGTGAAAGTATTTGCACTTATGATAAAGTGAAAATACTTTCAAAGGGGGGAAAATGATAGTAAAAGGGTTTTAAAATCATGGGGATTTAGGGTTAACAGGAAAAATAAGCTTAGTAGGCCCTGGAAAAAAAAATAAACACCTTTAGCACATGAAGAACTAGTACTGCACTATGTAACTAGTATATGATAATTGATATAATTCTTAGATGTGACGATTGTTTAGTAATTAAATATAATTACTGTTTATTCAGAAAGAATAATCATGTGAAACTATGGTCATGGACCTAAGAAAGATCACGATAAACTCATGTCAATGTATACAATAGAGCAATGTAAGTTTAATAATTAATGTGTAAGTTATATAACGATAGAATATAAAATACGTTCAGTTCAAAAGCCATGTTGGAGTCAGATTTGGGTTTGTACCCTGACTCCCAGAGCTCTTAATAAAAGCACCTGCATATAATCATATCCCGTGATTATATGTGTTTCTGAACGCTAACAATCTGGCTTCACAGGTGTCTGAATGAATGACAGAACAGAAAATGGATACATTCCTAATCATGTTTTCTTGGATAAGTCAGATTTTCCAGAGGATTCAGAAAACAGGTTTGGGTTTGGTTTTTTCTCCCTCTAAAAAATGGCCAAAAGAGTTCTTGCTTTCGCTTAGTTCTGAAGGGTCACTCGGCTATGATCAAGGGCAAAGATAGCAGATTCCAAAAAGATGTTCTTGATTTTCAGACTTTTCACAGACAAAATACCATGAAAGAAAAAATTAAAATAAATTGAATTGAGACACCACTTTGCTCTCCATTAAACCACAAACCCACACTCTAACCTAACCCTAAGCCTAAACCCACACCCTAACCTAACCCTAAACCCACACTCTAGCCTAACGCTAACCCTTCTCATTAATACAAACACAGAAACACTGACAGCCTTGGTTGGCAGAAAAAGGAAAACTGATTTCTCGACAACTCATTGAGAGCTGTCAATGTTAAAGCCCCTGCCCTGGGTTTCACTGCCACTCCCCACCTGTGCCCATCCCTGCAGGGCAGGACCAGTATCAGGAGGACCTGTGGCAAGAGGTGGTGACAGTAGCAGGTCCCTCTGCCCGGGGCAGAAGGCACAGCACCTCTGCTCCTGGATGGAACAGGGGCCCCTTGCCCGGGGGGCACATGGTGTCCCAAAAAGAGGAGGGGCCTCAGCAAGAGGCCAATCCACCAGCAGCTCTAGCAGGGCTCCTGCAATTCGTTATTCAAGGAAAAGGAAATAAATTGTCATTTCCCTCACATAGTCCCTAGATGCTGGTTTCTCTCCCTTCTAATGCCCTTCACTGTCCCCTCGTGCCCCGCTGTGGGTGACACCCCTGTGCTGGAGGGCACAGCCATGGGCCCCTGGAGTCCGAGGGCTATGTCAGCAGTGGCACCTCTTCCCACAGGAAATCCTGCTGCAGCTGCCATACCCTCAGCAGAGCAGATGCCAAATGCAGAGCAGGCAGCAGGAGCAGCTGGTCTGTCAGAGGACCAAGCCCCTAACCTTCCTGTCCAAATATCTGGATACGCAGTGACTCCACAAGCCAATATAATGGAACTGGGGGCACTCCCCTCTGATGTTTCAGCCCAGAAAGTAGAACTAATTTCAGTCACTTGAGCTTTGGAATTGAGTAGAGGAAAAGGAGTTTACATTTGAACTTATTCAGAATACGCTTTTGGAGTGGTACATGCACATGGGACTTCTGGAAAGAAAGAGACTTTTTGACATATCAAAGCTCCGATCAAAAACGGAGAACAAATCTTGGGTTTACTTGAAAGTATCCAGAAACCAGAGGAAGTTGCCATCAGGCATTGCAGAGCGCACCAAGTGGTTAAGACCAAACTGGAATTGGGGAAACATTTAGCCAACGAGACTGCAGAAAAAGACATGTGAGAAAACATATTAGAAAACAAAGTTTTCTTATGCTGTAAAATGAAATATAGGTATTCAGAAACTAGTTCCCATACGGAACTGTGTCTCAAGAAAAGGGGGGACTTGATAAGGACCATAGAACAGAGTGTTAGCATTCAGGAACACACATAATCACGGGATATGATTATATGCAGGTGCTTTTACTGAGAGCTCTGGGAATCAGGGGTACAGACCCAAATCTGACTCCGACATGGCTTTTGAGCTGAACGTATTTTCTATTCTATCGTTTTATAACTTACATATGAATTATTAAATTTATATTGTTCTATTGTATACATTGACTTTATTCAAGCATGAGTTTCTCATGATCTTTCTTAGGACCCTGACCACAGTTTCTCCTGATTATTCCTATGATTAAACAGTAATTATATTTAATTACTAATCAATCATCACATCTAACAAGTATATCATTTATCACGTACTAGCTACACAGGTGCAGTTCTAGCAAGGTAGAAGGCCTATATGTACCTAGGGTATTTATTTTTTTCAGGGCCTACTAAGCTTAATCTGCCTTTTAACCCTAAATCCCCATGGTTTTAAAACCCTTTTACTATCACAACCATCATCAGCACTTGGGGGTGGCATAATTCCAGTGGCACAAACTGTGCCTTGAGGCCACTTCACTCTGTTATAAATGGCTAATGCAATGGTTGGCTCTCGCAATTAAGAGATTAATATATGTACGTTAAAGAATATTTATTGATGTATAGTTATGTTATTGCGATTTGTTGCTTAGACGTCCTCTGTTCACCCCATAGTCCATCTTCCGAACTCTGTAGAGTTGCCAAGAGAGGGCCTCAGCAGTCCAGACATGAGAGAGGAGGGTGTGTGTGTGTACCTGTGCCTTTGCATAAAACATTTGAGAAATGGGCAAGCTTGTTGCTAGGAAGTGCAGTATGACAACACCTCAAGTGGCAAGAAAGAAACCTCCAGGGATGAAAGGCAAAGAAGAGTCGACTGACAGACCTTGGCAGGGGCCAGGGTTGCCTGAGGCAATCCCCAGGGGTACAAAAAGTGGAGCAGCCAATTTATAGATGAGCTTATGGAGAGAAACATCCAGGGCAGGGAGGCTCCAGGGGAAATGCTCAGGACAGCTACAGACTGCACAGAGGGACATTAGAGTGGTGGGTCTGCAGGGAGAAGTCACAGCTGCCTCCCTTCTGAACCACCCTGAGAACCTGGACAGGGCCGTGCTGTGCCCTGGGCACTGACCTGGAACTGAGGGATGTGGCAGAGGCCTTTGGTGTCAGGGATGTTGAGAAGGCTGGGCAGTGTCACGGTGAGACTTCTCTCAAAGCCCCTGGAAAGGCCAGAGCCATCCCAGAGGGTCCTGGGCACTTGGGAAGGGCACACATAGAACCAGTCTGCAAACAGGGCACGGAGAGGATGGGGACAGTCACAGACTGGTCAGGCTCAGCAGGGAAGGGGATGTGGCAAATCCTCCTGCAGCCATTCCAGGCACTGGCAGCACAGGACAGGGACTGCAGAACACACGTGGCAGGGAAAAGAAGGGGATGTTGTTTGCCCAGACTTTAGCAGGGTCTGTGACATGGTCTGCTGGGTCTCCTCAGAGCCAGATTGGAGAGACATGGGCTGAAGGAATGGAACATGGGGTGAGTGGGAATTTGGCTGAACAATGAGGGTCAAATGTCATTCATGGAACAGAGTCCTCTTGGCAGCCACGCCCTGGTGACATCCCGCAGTGACCAGCCCTTGACTACAATGGAATATTCATATATTCCCTGTGCCATGGGACAAAATGCACTTCCAAGTCCTTTGTGGATGATGCCAAATTTCTGGAAACCCTTGCGCAGCTGCATCTGGTTAATGCTGCCTGCTAGAGAAAAGCTGAGCAAAACGACACTGGCGGGTTAAATGTGTGCGGCCATCAGGGGCCAGCAAGCCTCTTTCTCCCTCACTCTCTGTGATCTCCCAAACTTAAGGCAAAGGAAACACTCAGGTTTTGTAGATGCTCGTGGCTGAAAGAAATTAAAAAGCTCAGAGAGTCCACAAAGGCCTATAAAGTTTTCTTAATTCATTATGCATTTGGCATAGAAATTGGGATGTCAGTCCCTGAGCTATAAAAGGGCATGTCAGTAGGTTTTGTATAAAGGCACAAGAGGAAAGGTGAAAGGGAAGAGAGGCAGAGACAGGAGAGACAGAGACAGACACGTGAATCAGAAGGGCAGAGAGAAAGAAAATGAGAGAGAGAGAAGAGATCCCCAGTCCTGGTTCCAGCATTGATCCAGCCAATGGGATGTCCAGGGCGCTGGGGCACAAATGTGCCTGGCCTTGGTGGGAGGACCTCTTCACTGATCACTTTTTCCTGCCCTGGTGATAAGTGTCTCACTTTCTGTGCAAATGACTTATCACGTGCAGTTAGTTCTGCTACACCTTTCTGGAAATGGCTCGGAGGCTTTGGGGGTCTTTGGTGGTGTTGATCCCCCCACAGTCCATGCCCACTTCTCATTCCTGCACTTGGGCCATGTCGTGCTTATGCCCAGGAGCCAGAGCAAGGATGTTTGTCCTGGAAAAGTTCTGCCTTTATCTGCATGGCCCCTTCTGCAGACACAGTCTGTTCTTCCTCACGGTGTGTTATTGCCAAGAAGTCTTGGCTGTTCTCACCAATCCTTGGTTGGTCCCACAGCCATCCAGTTTTTGATGTTTGGGACATGCAGACCAGGTCCTGATCTTCTGGGCTTCTACACCCTCCTCAGCAAGGGCCTCAAAAGGCAAAGGCTGCAGGTGGAAGCAAAGAAACAACAAATGAGATCAATCCTCTATTGCTGATTCTCATCAGCAGACAATCAGTCCAGCCACTTCTGGCAGGAACGGATCAAGAACATGTACTTTGTGTTTTGTATGAGAAATGTCTTGGTAAAAAATATCCACAGCCCCCCTGCCAGCCCTATCCCCTTCCTTTCCCTCAGTTTATTGCTGACCATGACATTGCATGGAATGGGAGATCCCTTGGGTCAGTCCAGCCCAGCTGTCCCCTCCCTGTGCCCTCAAGAACACTTGCCCATCCCCACCCATTGCCTGGGGGAATTGCAGACATGCCCTGGGCATGGCAGGGGCAGGGCAGGGCTGGCAATGGCAGGGCAGGGCCCGGGGGGGCAGCGAGATGGGAGTGTGCAGCCTGCAGGGACACAGCAGCAGCTGTGGGACAGCGCAGGACAAGCTGTGCTGGACATGGCCAAGGGCCCTGGCAAGGCTGGCAGTGGCCAGGAGAAGCCAAGCCTTGGTGCCCTGGGGCACAGCAGCGTCTTGCCACCAAGGGCTGTGAGGAGGAGACACCTTGTCCTGAGGCACTGGGGCCTCCTGGCACAGCCCCAGCCAGGCTGGGCACTGTCATCCCTTGTCCTGCCCTCAGCATCCCTCCCTATGCCAGTGCTCCCGGCAGAGCCCTGAGCAGGCGGGGAGGGACAGGATCTGCCTTCCCTGGGGCTGGGGCTCAGGCCTTGGCCTTTCTGCTGCCTCCAGCCAGCCCAGGCTCTGCTCAGCAGCTGAGCTGCCTACACAGAGCCTCTGCCTCCCTGCACTCCTGGCCTCAGGGAGCTGCTGGGAAGAGGCCCTGGGGAGCCTTGGTCAGGAATGGCCCTGGGCCCTCCTTCATGCTCCCAGGGACGGCAGGTTTTTCAAAGGACTTGGGCTTTTGCCTTGGGGTCCTGAGAGGTTTGTGCAACCATGGCCTGCAATTATCTGCTGTAATTAGTCCCTGGAGAGTCTTTGTCAGGAGGTTTCCTACAATACTGATGGAAAACTATTTGCAAGAGCTTCCAATAAATCCACATTCCTCTTTGAAGAGTATATTTTATGACTGTTCTATTTAGAGCAGAGGTGACTGCAGCATTCAGTGACTGATATTGGCCCAGGGACTCTCCTGAGGATGTCTGGCCTAGTGAGAGAAGCTGTGCCTGGAGGTCTGAGGCAGTGTGGACAACCTTGCCCCACATAGCCCAAGCCCGTCCTGTCTCTGCTCAGTCACCTGGGACCTGCTGTGCTTGGAGAACTGGCTGCGCTCAGGCAAAGAGGGGTTTTCTTCTTTTATTTTTTGAAGCAATCTAAAACTCCTAAGCTTCCCCATTTAAAACAGACACACTCCTCAAGTGTGTGCCAAGCCCTAGGTACATCCAAGGAGGTTCCTTCCCCTTCCCCAAGGCAGAGCCCTGCAAGGAATGATGTAGACACACAGGAAGTTCTGCAATGAACACAAATCCAGAGTTGGCTCAGGGCAGAATGAGAGCCACTCCTGAAGGACAGACCAGCTTTGCACTCCTTGCAGCTCAAAGCTCCCAGTGGGTCGTTGGGAGGTGTGTGAGTGACTCAAGAGTGAAGGAAGGGAAATGCAGAGAGCCCTGGAAGTGCTTCTGTGCAGACAGGCTGTGGGGAAGGGCACCGCACACCTGCCCTGGGCCGGCTGTGAGGGTGGATCATCATCCCAACCTGCACTGGGCATTGCAAGGGACTGCTGCCATGGACACCGCACTGACCCCAGTGCGCCAGCCCATTGCTCAGGGCTGGTGTCACTGCCCAGAGCCAGAGGGGAGCCCTTGCTGTGGGTCTGTGCCGTGGCCGCCTGCCCTGTGCCGCGCGGGCCGGTCAGGCGCCGCGGAACCTGCAGCAAACAGCAGGGCCAGGGCCAAGGCCAGGTCAGGCAGACAGAAAGGGGCAGTGCTGGGCACTGTTTGCATGGCAGCCCTCACTGGGACACCACACCTGGGTCACCTGGCCTGGCAGGTGCCATGGAAACCCCTGGCAGGGACTGATGGCACAGACCCTGGCACTGAGACGCTGCTGGGCCGGGTGCTGAGCACAGGGCTGGGCACACAGAGATGCTTTTGTTCTTGCTGAGCTCCCACTGAGCCAAAGCCTGGCCTGCCCCTCCTCTGGCCACGCTGGAGAGGGGCTGGGGCTGCGGGGGAGCTTGGGAGGGGACACAGCCAGGACAGGTGACCCCCACTGACCCCGGGGATACCCCAGACCATAGGGCATCACGCTCAGGGTATAAAGTGGGGGGAACAAGGAGGAAGGGGGGACATTTGGAGTGATGGCTTTTCTTTTCCTAGGTAACACTTAGGCTGGAGGGGGCCCTGTTTCACCAGTGGGCAGGGTCAGCACCAAAGACACAGACACCAACTGAAGGAATTGTGTCATTTATATCATGCACAGCTGCAAAGAATTACAAAAGGATAAGCTCAGCAAAGCACATCATCATTAGCAAAGCATTACAAAAGAAGCTCAGCAATGCATCCAGTCATTGCTACCAGAGATTGCCTGGAGTGATTAAGGAAAGATCCATCACCAGTTAGCCTCAGGCTTTACCATCATCCACAGCCACACATCAGCTGGGGGAAGCCAAGGACTGGAGAGCCACTCCCAGACACTGGGAATTCCTGCAGGTGCCTCCACCTCTGCAAGCAATGAGGCTCCAGCCCCAAAGCTGTGAGAGGACCCAGCTTTTACACTGTTAAACAAACAAGCTGGCATCACTGCTACTGCGAGAACATCTGCTTTCATTCTCCTGACTGCTTTCTCCCAAAGCCTGGCCAGGGCTGAAGGAGGAACCAAGGGAGTTGACTTTGATCCTTCACCCCCAAACAAGGCCAGATTGGGCCTTGTCTGTTTCTAAATACAGAAAGACAAATCCATGTTTTATCAAGGAACACATGCATTGATCATGTTGTTAATCATGCTTCCTTAATGAGTGGATACAAATACAACATTTGCTTGGAAGGTTCATCTAGAGGTGAGCTTTGCCTCAGGGCCTGTTCAGGCCTTGATCACAACCTGTTCAGGCCTTGGTACTTTGATCGGTCCTGAGACCTACAATCAACTACAACCTTTGTAATAATTCTTTCAGTAACACAGCTTAGATTTAGGTATTAGGCATAAAGGCATCTCCTCTTGTTCTACAATTAAGTGCAGTTTAAGTTCATTACTCAGAGCTATTCACGTTCCTTTTAAAACATGCCTAAATAGTTGCTATTCTCTGTTATTTATCAAATGCCTCTCTTTTCTTGAGACTGTCTCTTTTAAGAAAGGTCCCAATACTCCACTTCCCAGCACAAAGTGTCACAGCAACTCACCAAGTGCACACACTGCAATGATGACAGGCACTGCCACGAATGCATTTCACAGCAGCCTCTAATTTGGCAGCCACGAAGCCAATCCCACCAAGAAGAATTTTCTTCTTTCTGCCACTCTTCTACTGCTCTTTCTGTCAAGGTGATTCCTGACTGTTGGCCTTCAAACCCATCACTGCTAGCAGTGCAACATCCCCGTCCCCTGATAGCCCAGGTTCCTCCTTGGCCAGCAAGCAGATAATCCAAGGCCATGCGGTTCTCTGGAGTCCCCATTTGTGTTTGTTGGAGCTCATAGGATGTGCTAATGGGCATTTCAACAGTATCATTTACTACCTCTTCTAATAATCCATTCAGCTCATTCATGTCAACTCCACGGGGCGGGGCAGCGCACATGGGGCACAGGGTGAACCAGAATCCTTTGCTTTCGGAAACCCAAGGCACTCTTTGGGTGGAAAATGTTCTCTGGGCCCTAAGTCTTCCGTGTGGTCGTTGCTGAAGGACCCTAAATGGGGGCCCTGCAGCTGGGAGTGGTGTGACACTGACACTGACCAGCTGCAGCACCCCAAGTTCTTCTGACATTGGGAGTGATGGTAAAGCACAGAAATCTTCTGACACTGTAGCCTCTATAACTGTAACAGGGTTTGGTTTCTCCTGACGGGAAATCTGAGTGAATCCTGTCACACGGATCGTTGTATTCCCGTGTCCCACAGCACAGGTTTCTGTAACTGTCCCTTCATTGACTCCGTTACGAGGCAGAGCCCATTGACAGAGTTCTGGCCACCCCACAGGGTGGGCCCTCCAAGGGAACCCCATTCCTCCCAACTTCAGCTGAGAACATACCCAGCAATTAGTGACACTGTGTGCTTTGGCTACCTTGGTCTTTAAATTTCCAAAACATTTTGATGACTGATCTCTTGGTGAAACTCTGGAGGTGTTTTGGCAAACGTCAGTAGTACTTTAGTGACACCGTTCTTCATTCTTTTTGCTCAATATCATTCAGGTTAGGAACAATAATTCTGTTGTCCATGGAGCTGGCAACTTTTTAATTCCAGAATAATGCCCCCAAGGTCCTTTAGTGTTCAGCTTTACCATGCTGTCTGTGGGTAACAAGGCTTGGTGGGGCCCTTTTCCCTTTGGCTGGAAGAGGGCCAGGACCTCTACTTAAAGAAAAAAAAAGGAAAAAGAAAAAAAAATACAATTAGATGAATTGTAAAAGATACAAATAAAATCCAAGTGTTAGTGAAACAACTTCTGTAACTTTGCATTAAGAGGTAAATGATCTTTTTAAAAAGAGAACTCAGTTATTTACATTGTAAATGTGCTGATGGCATGGATCCATCTTACTGACCTCAACAGCCTTTTTTAAAGGTTTTGGGGTTTGTTTCCAACATTGTTATTTTAAATTGTGGTCGAAGCAATAGGAAATTGATTGGGGCCCTTCCAGCTCCAGGCAGGACTGGGAATCTCAACTCTGTCAAACCCCAAATCCTTTAGAAGATGACCTTCCTTCTCACTCTGGGAATGAGCTGCACATTCCCTCTGAAATTGTCAGGGGTTTCTTACGGATGAAAAATCCCACTTACGGCTTTTTGCTCTGGTTTGGAAGTGGGAAGGGCAATTCTCCATCCATCAGCTCCAGACTGCACTGCCTCAGGAACACGGCTCACTTGCCAGGTTTGGCCCACTCATGGCACTTCTAGAGGAGGAAGAAAGTGCAACTGCACAATTCCAGCCAAAAAGAAATGAAGAATGAATAGTGGAGATCCAGGCGTTCCTGCGGAGATTCAGGGGTTCAGCTGGGACTATGGAGAGTTTGGGTCCTTGCCAATTGGATGTGTGTTCCCAGCTGCAATCTCCTGGCCTGCAGGGGAGTCTCACTCACCTGCCAAAGCAGAAAGCTCAGGCACTGTGCTCCAACGGGCTCGTCTGATGCAAAGCTGTCAGAGCAATGTGAGGGCAGAGCCAGCCCAGCTGTGCCCAGGGCAGAGCCCAGCAGAGCCCTGGCAGAGCCCAGAGCAGCCTCAGCACCCGCAGAGCCCGGCTGCAAGGAGAGAAACCAGAAAGCGCCCGTCAGCTGAAGGCTGCTGTCCCCTTGTCCCAGCTGCCCACAGAGCCCAGGCCATGCTGGCTGTGCCCAGAGCTGTGCCCAGAGCTGCCCATCACTGCTGCCTTTGGGAGCAGAGCAGGAGGGCAGGACATTCCCAGCCTGCAGCCAGCCACAGCACATCCAGCCCTCAGCAGCTGCCCAGAGCAGGAGCCTCCTTGTGCTTGTTGCTGTCTCCCAAAAGCTCTGATCCCACCATGCCAAGCAGACGGGGACTCACCTCACGCCATCCTCCGCTGGGAGAAAAGCTGGTCCCAAACGATGTCCTCAGCCTTCTCCAAGGGCACGGCCCATCCACGCTGCAGCTGCTCCCAGGCACTTCCCAATCTCGACTGGACCTTACATAGAACGCTTCCTCTAGAAAAACAAACAACAAACTGTTGAAAAGAGATTAGAGATAAGGGGAAATAGGAAAAAAACTCTTATCTCCGTCAGAGGTGTGAGGAAGGCCCAACCCCTACATGCTAGGGAAAATCCCACCCATGGGGGAGAGAAGGCCACACTTTCTCTCTTCCCAGCTGCACTGCCCCCCAAAATAACTGTGATCCCAAAGCAAAAAAGGGGAATGGAGCAGCCCAAGCCCTTCCTTGCCTGCAAAGCAAAGCAGCCCCTGCACAGGTTCTGCAGTCCCACCTCTGCTCCTGCCATGGGGGTTTCTCTGTGCCGGGCTGGCTGCCCCAGCCCCAGCCCCAGCCTCAGCCCAGGCCATGCTGGGTGCTGGGGGCTGTTGGCAGGGCCAGGAGCCAACTCCCATCTTGTATCCACCCCAGCCCATGCCCCCAGCCCTGCCAAAAGCAGCTGGGCAGCCGACTGAAGTTGCATCTGCCCCAGCAAAGGGAGAAACTTTTGTTCCCAGCCAGTCTGAGCAATGCCCAAATCTGGGAGCATTTCCCCGGCTGTGGACTCATCTGCGAATTTGCTGTGGAGCCTGGCTTTGAAGACGGTGCCAGAAGTCCATCATCTTCAGCTGCCAGTGGCCAGGTTGAGGAAGAGGTGTCATCCTTGATGTTGTCGTCGCTGTCTCCAGCAGCAGCAGCAGCCCCACCTGGTACAGCTTCTCCAAGGACTCCTTCTCCTTCCCTGGGGGTCAGACCAGGCTGTCAGGGTTCTGCCCAGGGCCCCAGCTGTCAGGGAAGCAGGACAAGCAAAACCAGCTCGGATGGCAGCCACCAGTGCTGGGCAGAGCAGCTCAGCTCCAGCACAAGGCTGCGTGTTCCCACCCAACAATCCCAGTGCATTGATACAGGCAGGGAAAAAAGTCTGGGTTTCCTTGCTTCTGATTGCCAGGGCATGTGTGGAGCTGCAACTCACCAGGGCCCTGGAGCAAAGTGTGCATGTGGCTCTCTCCCTTTTTCTATGGCAGGTGAATATCCTGTATCCAAGGTTCACAGAACAGGTCTTCTAATGAAGGTCTGTCCAAGAAGTGCATGGATAAACACCACCTGATAAGATCTTGGCACTCTGGGCAGAGAAACCAGAAACCACCGGTCAGCTAGAGAAGGCTCCTGTCTGCTTTGCCCCACTCTTCCCATGCCCAGGCCATGCTGCTTTTGTGCTCAGAGCTGTGCCTAAACTTTCCCATCAATTCCCTGTTGTGGAGGAGAGCAGGAGAGCAGGACATGTGGCACCTCCTCAGCGGCTGCCAGAGCGAGATGCTCACAAGCTGCTGCTGTCTCCCAGCACTGGTATTCCCCCGTGGCCAGAGATGAGGATCCACCTGGAGAGAGCCGCTGTGGCAGCGAGAGCTGATGGTCCCAGCTGATCTTCCGGCCCCTCCTGAAAGGGTGCTGCCCGCAGACCATCTGGTGCAGCAGGATGCCCAGGGACCAGATCGTTGCTGCCTCGCCATGGTACCAGCCCAAGTGGGTCCATTCTGGGGGGCTGTATGACAGTGTTCCTGTGGAATACAGATGGAGTTCATCAGGGGGATGCTGCTGCTTCCAGAGCCTGGCCCCAGCATCCCTGGGCGTGCAGGGGCCGCCCCAGTGGCACACGGGGCGACTGCTGCACTCTCGCCAGCACCTGGGACTTGTGTACAAACTCAGGGCTGGACAAGAAGCCACTGGTGTTGGAAGAGGGCAGCAGAAGCCCCGGCAAGGCCTGACCGTGACATGCAAAGCAAAAACCCACTCAGGGCTGGGGGAAAAATCATCTCCTTATCCTCCCTGCCTGCAGTGCCCCAAAAATATTATGAAGCCAAGGCAAACAAGGTGAGTGGAGCAGCCCAAGCCCTTCCTCTCACCTGCACACCAAACTGGCTGGTGCACTGCTTCTGGCTCCCTCCTATGCTACCCCCACCCACGGGTGCTTTTGTCGGGCTGGCTGCTGCTGCTCCAACCCCAGCCCCAGGCAGAGTGGTGGGCAAAGGCTGCCAGCGGGGCTGGAAGATGCCTCCCCACCCAGCCCCGCTCAAAAGCAACTCAGGTGAAGACTCAGTACCCTGACTGGCAGCAAAAGGGAGAATCCTCGCTGCCACACCCAGCTTGGCCTTTGAGATGTTGGGCCATGAGATGGTGGGACCGAGAGCACACCCCTGCCCGGGCTCACCTGCAAAGTGAGTGTAGGCTGTGTCTTGCAGGTAGGTGCCACAGCCAAAGTCGATCAATTTTGCCTGGCCAGTGGCCAGGTCAACCAGGATGTTCTCTGGTTTGATGTCGCGGTGCAGGACCCCTCGGCTGGTGCAGTGCCGCACGGCCTCCAGCACCTGGCGGAACAGCTGCCGTGCCACCTCTTCAGACAGGAACCTCCGTGCCCGAATGAAATGCAGGAGGTCCTGAGACCGCTCCGGCCGCTCCAGCACCATCACGATGTTGTTGGGGAGCTCAAGCCACTCCAGCAGCTGGACCACACCAGGGAAGCCAGTGGACACCTTGTCCAGCAGCACGATCTCCAGGGGTGCGCTGGTGCCATCGGGCTGTGGGAGGACCATGGTGCCACCAGTGGGACTGATGTCCTGCCAGGGCTGGGGAACCCCTCAGACAGCCCGGGATGCTCTGTGCCCTCCGCTGGCCCCACGCCCGCTCCCCATCGAGGGGTCCTGGTGGCTTCCCCCATGCCGGGCCTCGCCTCATCCCCGCCCGGCACGGCCCGGCTGTTCCCGCTGGCCCCGCTCACTCACCAGCTCTCCCCAGTGCCGGACGCGGTTCCGTGGCACCCTTTTGATGGCCACCTGCAAGCCAAAGGCACCACCGGGTTCAGCTCGCCGCCCGCCCTGCCGAGCCCCATCCTCCTCCTTCCTTCTCCTCCCTCTTCCTCCTCCTTCTCTTTCTCCACCTTCCTCCTCCTGCCTCCTCCCATCATCTTGTAAATCAATTTCTTTGGCTCCTAGAAGTCTGGAAGAAGTCTGGATAGTCCCAATAAGGAGGCAATGATTCTTCTCTTGAAATTTTGTTGTCTTGTTGCTGCTATCTGTATGCAAAAAGTTTCTTGGTTATCTTATCAATTCCTTGAGCTAGTTACCAGAAGTATCTTACATCACATAGTTTCTATTTTAATATTGTGCTATAGCCTAAAAATTATATCTACCACACTACTTAAAAGAGATTAATACAGCATAACTTTCCAACGTAACACATATAGTATTCATTTCAATATTTGCAAAAACCCAATCATATAATATACATCTATAACATTCCTGTCCTGGGCTGGACCTGCACAGGGGCTGTGGCACCACGGCTGGGACAGCACAGAGGCACAAAGGGGCCACGCAGCCGCTGCCAGGGCTGGCAGCAAGGCTGGGCACAGACAAAGAATTGCTGAACATGGCCTGCGCTGGCCAGGGCTGGCTGTGCCAAAGACAGAGCTCAGCTGCCCTTGGCGGCTGCAGGAACACTCAGGAGCCCAAAGAGCCTCCATGGCTGTGCTGGAGACCAAGGGTGGAGGAAGGAAATGCAGGGCTGATGGGGATGGAGAGGGGGATTTAATTTCAGCAGACACATCAGCTTGCAAGATTCTCTGCTCTCCCTCAGCTCCTCTCTGAGAGATACCAATCCCAGCTCAGTGCCTCAGGGCATTGGGGCCCTACAAGTGGCACTGCCTGTTCATGGGCACACAACTGACGCCTGTCTGGAAAGGGTCACAGGTTTTAATACTTGTACATTAAATAATATAAAACCTTCATCAACCAGGTCATTGGAGTACTTTTAAGAAATGGCAAAGTTTTCCCACCAGGAACAGAAATTTCCTGGATCTACTAGATTCTTCTACTGATGGCAGGAGAAGAAATACTGATCTTCCCCTCTACTTGAGTCATCAATATTCTGTCTATTGTTTAATTTCCTTTTTCCTTCAGGTGTTTCCAGCTCTCCTGTTTAAATGGACATGTCTAAGGACATCCCTCCACTAGACCTGCTGGATCTATGTCCTTCCCATTGCTCCCAGATTCACTCCTCCAGATGCTCTCTGGTCATTAAAGGGCCTCTCAATTGACTGGTTTCATGCTTTGAGCTTCAAGATGTTGCTTAGTCTTTAGGATGTTTAAATAAATATCACATTATTCAATATAAATATCACATTAGTCAACATTTTAATTGTGTTTATATCTATCCTAGAATTACTTTTTCTTATGTCTTTGTCTAAAACTGTTCCTGTACGATCTTGCAGAAGCAAGGGACCTTATAAATAATATGGAAAGCTGGACAGGACAAACGCAGATCCAACCAATATGGATATTCATGCGTTCTCCCTTTATTGTTTAAAATATGGCAGTTTATATACACTTCAATATAGTTTACAATTGTGAGCACACTCTCATTGGCAAGCAAACATTGTTTGTCTTTGTCTTAAGGTGGTTAAAGTTTCACACTGCAAACCTATGCTAATTCACACTCAGAAAGCCCATTACACTGTGCTTACACCTTAACATAATTTCTGCCTGCGCCACAGACTAATTCCCAACTGCGCCATAGGCTTCAAAGGCCTCACTGAGGCCCATATCTGAGGCCTAGGCTGGGGGTAGCTCAACCTTCACTCCAAATATAAATTGTGTCCTCTCTCTCTCAGAAATTCTGCTACACCTTGCAGTGACTGCGTCTGTGTGCACACAGGAGTGACTGTGCTGGGGAAATGTGGCAGAAATGCTGCTCTCTGAGGGGTCTGAGTGCCTTGGACAGCTGAGTCAGTCAGGCCTGTAAGTGAGGTTAAATCACAAGGCCTAAGCAAAGTTAAATGTTTCTAGTAGTTGTTCTTTTGCTAAGTTGCTATGTTTAATATAAGTTATAAGCTGAGCTAAATACTGTTAAATGTTATTCCTCTGTTAAATTGCAAAGTCATAGGTTATAAATTAGCTTAAATACTGTTAAGTGCTGTTCTTTTGCTAAATTGTAAAGTTTAAGGTAGAAGTTAAGATTAAGGTATAAGTTAAGTCCTGTTAAGTTTGAGCTCTGTTAAGCTTTTAGGCCATGTTCCTTTTATCCTTGCCCTCACTGTCCTTTTGTCACACACACACACACACACAACACACACACACACAAACACACAAACACACACACACACACACACAGAGGGACAGCTCTCTGATTATTTCTGCTTTGATTGTCTGGATTTTGTTGAGGTTTTTTGTTGTTTTGTCTCCTTGTGTGCCTGAAGTGTCCAGTCAGGAGTAAAGTGATGCTTGCCAAGGAGGTTTGTCATGTTGTTGTTGGTGATGGAGAGAGACGGGTAAGACTGATTCGGTGATCAGAATCCATTTAATTGTGGGATACAAATGCTTATATACTATTTTAGGGAAACTAGTAATGTGTACTACAATAATTAGGTTAAAATCACATACACAAACTTATGCATATAATAACATACCCTGATTGCAGAGTTTAATGAGATTTTCTTTTTCCAGTAAACCTCTCTGATTTAATCTTCTTGCAATCTAGATCTAATTTTCAAAATTCCGTTTGCTTTTGCCAA